TTCACTCCGTGGGTGGACAGCGGCGTCCTGGGTATGGAGAGAGCGGCTGGAAGATTTGAAGGGATAGGAGGCGGTGTTGGTGGTGGCAGCGGAGATGCTCAAAAGAAAGCTTTTGGTTTGGCGGCACGAGCTGCTGAGAACATGATGATGGACAGGACGTGCTTGAGCGGGTAATTTTTTTTAAGTGGGTTTTTATTTCTTGGTGATGAAGATCAATCGAATGAAGGGGATAAGAAAGGTCGAATATATGGCCCGGGAAATGGTTTGCAGTTTGACGCTCAGACTGGAGACGGGCGATTTCGTCGGATATAAATGTCGACTCAACAGACAATGATGAAGAAACAGATTAGGTAGAATTCACGTAAACGGCAAGAGTTGTTGTATTGTTGGCACAGCCAAAAGGGGATTGTTTGATGTATATATTTAGTAGTTTAGGGGGTTGGGCGAAAGGGGGTAAAACGATGGGTGAGCGTTTGTTGAAACAACCGAAGGCTAAAAAAGGGACTGAATAAAAAAAAGGCCAGCTTTTTTTCTGTTAGGGGTAAGAAGTGAAACACAAAAAGTCGCAAAACAAGGGGCGCAACAATAAAAGGGCGAGTAATCTCGAAACAAGAGGGCGACGAGTGCGGGACCCCTGGTCCTATTTATGGACGCGCCGCCGCTGGACTTGCTCATATGCAGCTGTATGCAGTCGGTGTGCTGGCTGGTGGTTGATTCGCTCTCGCCAGACGACTGCAGATGCCTCTTGCCGTCACACGAGCAGGGAAGGGGTGATTCCGGGGGCCCCTTGTGAGGATGTAGCCAATTACGGCCGCAGATTGTTGGTGCCATCGCCTGCATATGCAGCTAAGTAACAAGACGATGTGATGGGCACGACGCACACCAACCCAACAATGCTGGCATGTGCCTTCGATTGGCTGGCTTGATGGCTGGGAGAAAGGATCAAGCCTTCTGCGAGGGTTTCCAAGGTGGTTGTTCAGACTCTTGGAAGCGAGGATGGTCACTTTATCCAGCCCGTCCTGCAGCCACTGTCATCAGAAAAAAGTCCAATATCACAGTGATAAGGTGACCTTTACCACATCAAGATAGTGTCGAGGCTGGCGGATCAGTTACCCCTCTCTGGCGAGCCGACTATCGACGGCCGTGAGAGTTGATCTGCTGCTTCGTGCGGGACATGTGCGTTATCACACTGAAATCCAGAGCGGGAGAGTTGCCGACGAAGGATTCAGGGATGGATAACTAGACTGGGATGCACATAGCATCCGGGCCATAGCTAGTTTCTCCCATTTCCGGTTTCATCCGTCATCTTTGGGCGCTTTACCAGCAGCGAACAGCTTTCCCGGGCCCATACGGAGTATACCAACAATTACCAGACTGGCAGCTCTTGGTCGACGAGGAAAAGGAGCCAAAACGGCTGCCACGTCGTGCCCTGTGCGTATGTATGAGTTTTTCGGGCCCCTGGAAGAAACATTTATTTCTAGTGATACGCCGCTGGTTGCGACTGACTGCTTGATAAATGACATCTGGCACCTGCCTCCTTCCCCCCTTCTCTGTGTGCAGCCTGATGGAGAGATATAGGGCACAGAGTCGCGGCACCTGTAACATAGGTCGTGTAGTTCTGTTGTCACTGCAATACCGACTGGCCGATAGTCCCAACCAAATACCCTTGTTTTCGGCTCTCCATAGACCAGTCCACATCTATTCCGTACGTGGCGCGGTCTAGGTCTCTTTTCCGGCCTCCTATAGACATCGAGGTGACGGCTGGTAGTAGTTATAGTTGTTGTTGGCAACGGGAAGTGATCAAAAAATGCTGGATGATATGATATACCTGCTTGTTAATTAACTTGAACTTGCAGTACCATATGCAATATTCAAAGTTCAACGCAACACAAGAGAGAAAAAGAGAAGAAGAAGAAGAGATAAGGAGAGTCATTGCCTGCCCTATATCTATCAACACATTTATACATCCATATCACGGTAGGGAATGATATTCGAGTGAGGTTCTTTCAGAGGTTGCTGGTGTCTGTCTACCAGTCCTCAATCCAGGTCCAGACTTTCTTCCAAATATAATTATTTCAGTGTATTACATGCCCTCCCTTCCTTCTATATCCAATACGCCGTTTAAGCCAAAATAGAGTGCTAAATTATGTCATACACAGAATAATAAATCGGGCCTGCCACAGAAGATCCGCCAATGCATCTCTCTAAATAAACGATGCTAGCTTTTATCTGGAAACTGTTCATCATAGTCTGTATCGCCTGCGATAAGTTTCGGAAGGTTCAACCTCGTGCTCCATCGAATCATTTCGGTATAAGCCTTTTCTATTTGGCCTTCGTGCTTTGTGATATCACTGGTAAAACTACCATTCCCCGCCGGCCGGTGATGATTAAACAGCTGCGGCTGCACTGTCAAGCAGGTATTTCTAACCCGACCTTCAGTACCATCGCATGCATCTCGAAGCATAAGGTCATAAGGACGATCAAACTTCTTCACACCAAATTCATAGAGCAGCCTCCGAGCTGTCTTTTGGGAAACACCGTATCCAAGGGAGCAAACAGCAGTCATTGCATGATGGACTACTCTTGTATGCGGTGGAAATGATGATGTGAATTCGTCATTTTTCGGAGACAGTACCAGGTGCTCCGCCTCTGGAACTGTAGAGTCATTCCTTTGAATAACTCGACCTCCAGGTATATCCCTTGCGATGTCTCGAAGAGTAGCATCTGGGAAGTTTACTCCGCAATGGCCTAGCCATAGTATATCCCAATTATCGCCGTACGGAGAATGCACGGGCGGGATAGTACTTTTGCCTATATCAATATCTTTTGGCGTTCCTGCGGACTTTCCGGGATTCGGGAAGGTTGGATCCGCATACGCAAGATTCCCTGTCCCTGACAGAGGCTGGATAAGAGTCTGTGAGGCCAACGCGAAATCTTTTAATTGCGATTTAATGCGTATATCCCAATCCGCATCATCCTCAAGTATGAGAGCGGAACTTATGTTGTTTTCCACCATACTAGGTTTGCCGAGTTAGCCCCTAGATATCCTGAGATCGTGTGCGTAGGGGAGACTTGGGATCATACTCTTGAAGCGCATTGATATGGGCCCTCCAGCTCCCAATATTTGCATTTTTCATAGTCTTGTGTGATGCAGGCGGCGGCAAAGCCCGATCCAGGACGGTCTCTCCCATGATCCCATCAATCCAATGGAGTTTGATGCCACTGAGCGCAGCCATTAATACGAGGGCATCACGCCGGTCAGTCCGCGAGGGAAGATTAACAACATAAATTCGCTCAAACTATACGTAAAACCGGGACTCGGGTTAGCACAAGAGACACTCTTTATTTTGGCTATTTATAGGCTAACATACTCCAAGAGTGGAATTAGAAACATTATTCAGAATGTCATCATTGTGTCGAATATAAGGAGCTGAAATCCGGGGATGTTTCCAGTGGCCTGGCCGATAGAGGGTAAATAGAAGTATAGTAAAAAATGTCAAGCTCCCTGCCGCGATAACCAGTGGTAATTTCTTATTGAAAAGTTTGGTCTGTTGAAAGAGAAGCATCGTGGGTAGTTAACTGCCTTTTGGGGGAGGGGGATATTGAGCTCAACCTGGGAATGCTTCGAAATAGTGGTAACAAGCACTATTTATCAAGAAAAAAAGGGGCCTTAGCAAAGGATATATGGACGGCAGAGCCCCGGTGAGGACGTAGGAATTTCGGGCATCATTGGCGGCTGCGGTGGAGGCCAGTGGGCCTTATAGCTAGGAAGACTGAAACCCAGCGTAGATTATTCATGTCTTATTTTTAAAATGTCGGCGGCAAGCAGCTCGGGACGGAGTTAACTAATCATGACATGGGGATCTATTATGGATACCTAGGTTTTTATTACGGGGCGTCAACGGATTTTGACCAATTAATAGAAAAGGCTCCTCTGACCTTCATCCTCTGAGGCTGTGTTAGTTATTGGCCCCTCCTCCTTGCATACAACATGTTGGAGTATTCCCTGTCAAAACCGAACTCTGCTTAGGCATGGCGGTCCATTCTGGTGTTCATAAGAGTAGTTAAAGCGTTTCCTGGGAGTTATGCTGCTCTGGAGCCCCAGGTGCCTGTGTGCTTATGAATACGCCGTGATGCCTCGCTACCTCGTTACCTTACCCAGGTAGTTGGCCGTTTGTTCCTTTCACTGCTCTTCTTCCTTGAAATATCTAAGGCACTCATCATTACCCCATAGCCTGCGATATACTATTTGCACACCATGGGAAAGCCTCATTTCCTAAACGCCGGGATAATATTTATCATTATTTTTGAGCTAGCGACTGTTGCACGGGCGTTCGGTAACAGCAAAAATCGGTTTGTCAATCCACCAGCGGCGGACTCAGCGGATAACCCTGTATGGTACCTGGGTGAGCAGAAGATAGTTTCGTGGATAACAGAGTTGGTGGACTATGAAATTGTCATCTGGCAGGAATATCCTACGGGGGGCAGCGCAATCCCTAGTGGAGTAGTGTTTTGTAAGTGCAAGAATTACTTCTACAATTACGTTTGGCTATCACCAATGACTTACCACTATTGCAATATAGCAACGCATATGGCATCCGCTCAAAATTTTACTTGGACTGTACAGACCTACGGGCATGATCTAGAGTTCTCCAACGTTTTCTTTTTCTGGGCTGGACGTGATAACGAGAATCAATTTACGTCGAATTACTTCAACATTTCAAATGAAAAACCTCCAACCCAGACAACAACACCTACCATTCCTATAACAATCACCATCCCTGCACCAACCACCAGCCTTACTCCGACATCCACATCACCTCAGCCTGACAATAATGGCCCAGAACAGGAGAAACCAGGCTTAGCTACTTCGACGAAAATTGGACTCGGAGTTGGACTCTCTGTGGGCGTCATATTCTTGGCTATCGCAGGTTTCTTCGCTCATAGGTTCCTTCGGGGGCAAAAGCAGAAGCAAGCGAATGTTGTAGAGGAACCACGGATAAGAGAAGTAAATACGATGTCGGAGCTTCCAAATAAGCATCATTCAAGCCGATTCACTGAGCCGGCTGAACTAGACGGCGGAGAGTTTCATCGGAATTAAGAGCAATTACCAGTTGACCATTACCACCTGATCATTAATTCGGTTGCTGGTCGTGGGAAGATTGGTCTGGGCCGAACTTCAACATATTTTTCTATTGTTTAGCGTTATAGATTCCATACAGAGTACTCGTTACATGTTGTTTATGTTGGCCGAAGCGTTGCGCGATCTATGTAGTTAAGCTCTCGGGTAGCAAACCCTAACCAACTGTCGTGTTAATTCTTTTTGGCGATCAGGTTGGTCAAAGTTTCGCTTTGTGGAACTCAAGCGCTTATTTCAAACGCCGACGTGTACGGCTCTGTTTTTGTATATAGGGCTACCTAGGTAGCTATCTGGGTCGACTTTGTTAATGAGAATGCTAGACGTTAATAAGGTCTGATAATGACAGACTGAGATTAAACACTCAATATGCATACCCTCCATACGTCATCTTAAGCGATGGCTGACTTCATGCTTCATGGATGCATACGAGAAAGTAACAATCTACAACATTGGATGATAGAACGGGGATTTCCAGGAATCGTATACTTGATCCTCAACTGCGACTATATAAACTGTGTAAGCCTAGAGGCATCAGCTTTACCCTAAGTAGCTACATAGCTAGTTGGTCAAACAAAATTTAGAACGAATAGTTAATTGCCGAAAGTAAATGATCGGCCCCTGGAGCTTAAGCTACCACAAACCCATCCCATGCATTCAAAGCGTTCTGGCTTTCTACCTCATACTGCTTAAGGCCGCCAGCGTAATTGAGTTGTTCGCGCTTCTTGCCCGGGATGTTGGCACCCATATACCATGAATCAGTCAGTGGGAGAAGAGTGATGTTTGATGCTGCATTGACCTTGTCCTTCCATTCTTCCTGTGCCTTGCTTGTGGGCTGTATGTTCTTCCAACCGTTTTCAAGTATCTTCCTGATCACTTCAACAATCCAGCGCCCCTGAATCTCAATTGATGATGGCCCATTGCTAAATGCGGTTGGGCCATGTGTGGCATACATGTAGAACATATTTGGGTAGCCCTGGATACACATGCCAAGATAGCTCTTTACTCCATCTTTCCAGGCTTCTTCAAGTGGCTTGCCGTCAATATCACGAAGGCCCATATTCGTCATACTTCCACTGACTGCGTCGAAGCCTGTAGCGAGAACAATTACATCTAGTGGATAGAAAGTGCCGTCACCGAGAAGAATGCCGTCTGGTTTAATTTCAGTAATAGGATTCTTTCTGATGTCAACGACATCAACGTTAGGCCGGTCGAATAAGTCATAGTAGTTCTCTTCCAGTGATGGTCGTTTCGTCCCAAATGCATGCGGTGGATCCAATGGTGCAACGATATCTTTCTTTTTGGTATCATTTATCCTCGCTCGTGTTTTTTTGGCCCAGAAATCATATGCGTGACGATTTGCCGCGGGGTCAAATAGGATGTCCGAATAAGTTCCTAGCCAGAATTCAAATCCACCATTATTCCATAGGGTCTCAAACTGAGCCTCACGCTCTTCTTCGGATTCAGCCGCAGCAACTTTGGCCATAAAGTCATACCTCATCCCAGAAAAGGTGGTTTCTCTGTTTTTAAAGAATTTTTCATAGCTCGACTTTTTGCCTTCCTGTTCTTCAGGGGATAGCTTGCCCTGGCGCATTGGAAGCGCCAGGTTAGGAGTCCTCTGGAACACAGTCAAGCTAGAAGATTCCTTTGCCAGTGATTGGGTTAATTGGACACCCGTGGCGCCAGTCCCAATTACAGCCGTTCGCTTCCCCTTGACCTCTATGCCCTCGCGAGGCCAGGAGGCAGAGTGACACATTTTGCCTCTGAAGGAGTCCAGCCCTTTAAAATCAGGAATATACCGTTTGGCACAAAATCCAGTTGCCAGAAGAAAGAACCTACAGTGTGTTGTGCGTCCATCTTCAGTTTCCACGTCCCAGTTGTTATTTTGCAAGTTAAACTGGGCACCAACAACTTTGGTACTGAACTCAACGTCCCTTTTGATGTCCCAGACTCGATCGACATGATCAAAATATCTTAGAATTTCCTCTCCCCCGGGGTATTTCTCTGTCCACGTCCAGCCGGACCATAGTTCTGGGGCAGAGTATTCGTAAACGGGGACTTCAGAGTCGACGCGGATTCCTGAGGCACAGCCAAGGTCATAAGTATTCCTTCGTAAACTCGTAACCTAGACAAAGAGATGAATTCGCACCTGGATAAGTGTGCCAATACCACGTTCCTCCTAAACCAGTGCCAGCCTCGTATATTTTGCATTTCAGACCAATTTTCCTGAGACGATGTAGGAGAAAGATGCCAGAGAAACCGGCACCCACGATCAGGGCATCATATGAAGGTTTTTCAGTAGGCATTTTGTAACCGTTTATAGAACGGCGGTCGTCCTAGGTCTTCTGAGATGGTTCAACGGGAATAACACTGGCAGGAAAAAGGGGATGGTGTGCAGGCTGTTGTTGTTGTTGTTGTTGTTTTGGTTGTTCAGACTGGGTATATAAGAATAGAAACGGCGATTTAGCTTCGCTGTGTTATGCTGGTCTCACTCCCCTCCTCTTGCCCAACGATGCAGTCTGCATACATCAGTCAATTCGTTGCCTACCCTGCAGGAAATGTTACATGGGGTTTCGTAAAGCCAACAAAGCACTTATGTATCACCCATCAAGGGCTCTCTTATCCAGGTGCGAGGCCGTTCTCCGCCATGCTGCTCCAGTCTCTCCTTTCAAGTAGTTATCCAAACTTCTTCAACGCCCAGTGCTAACTGCATGGTAGCTAGTTATATCCCAACCTTCATATTTCCCACATGGACTACCTTGACTTATTACAAGGACCAGCTCGACTTCCTTATCTCTAGGCCGTACTCTTTCTTTTGTGCGGCCCCTGAAGCTCGATTTCAAACTTGGCCGATCAAATCTCTCACGTGAACTCGAGGGCGGCGACTCCAGCGCTGGCTGTTCACAGAGTACACCAAAGGACGATGCACCCCATGACTTCGATAGTCACTTTTTACGCGGAATGGGCGGCCGGACGAGTTACGCAGGCGAATGCCCAATCATGGACCGCAGCATCCGTGAGGCATCAGCGGACGCATGCACGTTGCCGCTCTAGGCTCTGCTGTGGCAGGGCGAGAGAATACACTCCTCGTTGGCCATCACCTGACGATGCCCTGGTGAGAAGCTGCAGCAAGCAGGGGAAAATCAGGCTGGTGCAGGATAGAACAATCATTTGCAGTGTCCTTCTATGCAATAAATCACTGCGCCCATCACGTATGGCCCGGGTCTCCGTATAGGCCATCAAGGGTATATCTCGACCAGAAAGCTCCAGGTATATTGCCTGTGCAAAGCTCCGCCAGCGGTGGCCAGTCTTAATACTCAACCCAATAGTTTGTCTGCAAGGTTATCACTGGCATGAGGCTGATAATCTGCGGCACGGCCGTTTGTCTCGGTTTATAGGCTATTGAGCTTCTCTGAAACCATACGTCTTCTATCTACGCAAGTTGGTTGGTGACATGACTCCGAGTTTCGCTTTGGGGCGAATGAACCAAAAAGACTGCACTTCCCATGTGCAATTGTTTATATTGGTGGTGCATAGTTTCTTCCTCCTTCCGCCAACTTTGCTCCTCCGGAACTTTCTTAGAATAGAAATATATTATCGAGACGGATAGGGCTCATGGCTCAAAGAGGTACGGGTGCATGCCATTTCATGACGAAGAACAAAATAACTAAGTATAAACTGCTAGTAGATAGCACCGAGGTCCTCGAAAGAGCCGCTGTAGGATTTGAACTTTCTCTTTTTCTGAGCGCTGTGAACTGTGAGGTCTTCAATGGCGGAATTGAAACTCACAGCATTGCGAAGGGGGTATCATTCCTGGCCGTTTCGTTGAAACATGCAGGGCGGATTCTCCAGGAGCCTGACCCCATTTACTCTGCGCAAGCTGGAAACACCATCAGGGAAATCTCGCATCAGAGTGCTGCAGTATTTGACGAACTCAAGTCAATGCTGAACAATGTTCAGGCTTGTGACAATGGCTCATCCAGTAATGAGACTTTACGAGACCATTTTCTACGTTGTTTCAAGAAGCACCGTGTCACATACCTCATAGCCTACATGGAGTCACTCAGCCTTAGCCTTATGGCTATAGGGCAAATAATAACGCTAGGGAAATTATTAGCTTCAAAGAGGTAATGAAGTCACTGCCGTTTTTCATTGTTTGCACTCTTGCTCATTGTGATTTCATGTCTAGGTATATGGAGCAGGACCTTGCTACAGCTTTAATTGAACAAGAACGCGCTGAGATTCAGAACATGCTTATCATTCGATGCTGGTCCTTGAATAGAATAGACAGGTTCTATAATCTTGCTCGTCGAGAAGCAGAAGAAGGGACCATATCTTGTACAGGCAGCCCCGCTACTGATCCATTTATACCCGAATATCAGCGTAATGCTTTCAGGAAACTCCGTGCTATCTCATTTGGAGGTGTCGATACCGCCCTAAAGCAAATAAAGAAGACGCCCAAGGATATGGTTCAGGTATCTGCTGAGGCAATTGACCCTTTATTACAGCTATGGGTGCGGCAAAAAGAGGTCTCATGGAATCCAAGCTCATACCTACACCATGAAAATTGCTTCGAGCTACCCTGTGGTCTTGCTACCCCTGGGTCTGTGGATGCGGAGACTACAGAAAACTCGGAGCAACCATCTCAAAGAGCTAGAATATATGCTGATGATCTTCGGCAAAGCAATGCCAAATATTGGGCTACTGTTCAGACCGATTCGGAGAATGAGCCTGAGGGCGATGAAGGCTTACCAAAAAACGTTGCCGATCCGTCATCCTCATCTCCTCATAATTGTCCTTCCGCAAATGATAGTAACGCTCGTGGGCGTTCCAACTTACAAGGGGACGTCAGCTATATTACACCCCACGCTCATCCCAGCCCACAGGCGGAGAACCAAGGCAACGTCAGGTTGCAAACATTTGCTCCTCAAAGGACTAGCACCGGACCTTTTGATAACCGCGATACATACAAGATACCAGTGCATGATTTTAAAGGCTCCTCTCCAAACTTACCCTCAAATACGGACACATGGAAGATACCATATAATGTAAACCAACCACCAGAGCAACATCCTAGAAGGCCTAATTATCCACCAACCGCTACATCATACTTTTATCCAAATTGCTACCCAAACTACCCGATAAACCCACCTTGTCGATCCAACAGCTATCCACCTGGGCCGTACCCCCGCCAGCATGCCCGCTCATATCTCCGCGACTCTCAGACACCTTTACACATGGCCCAAACCCCGTCAAGAACAACATCTCATGCTGCTCCGTCTAACTATGATGCCCGTGTCTGTCGTTCTAAGCCCCGTGTTTCTTTTGTGGAAGACCAATACTCCGATTCTTCAAGTAGTGAGACAGACAGAGATAGGTTACGGAGAGGGGCTAGAATGAAGGAACGGAGAAGGCAACGAGCAAACGGGCGGGATAAAAGGTCCAATTCTCGGACAAAGAGCTTGAGACGATCGACGTTGCACGGCGTTTTGGGTGCAGGAGCTATCACGGCGTTCCTTCAAGCATTGGAAGGGCTCTCGCCGGGAGATTGGTCTCTTTTCATGAAATACTGAATAGACGTACACATGTTGTTTGTTGAGCAGGTGTATAGATAGTAATACATTCCGTTTCTCCTAATGTATGATTCTCAGATAATTCTACTAGTATAGCCGTAGATAGGCTCATACTATACCAAGCCTGTCGAGAAGGGTAGCATCGTTGCAACGAAGGATAGTCTAAATCTATATTCCACTCTGGTCTATCCCTTACTTTCTATCCTGGCGAAGAGAAACAGGCGAAAAAGCGACATGGAAAACAAGCTAGAAAATTGTATGAGGGAGGAAAAATTGGAGAAAAACTGATCTGTTCCGTCTTTCCTATGACGATATGAAATTCAAGGTTTAGTTGCAATAATTTGAGGTGTAGCAAAGCCTTCCCAATAAAAGAAACAAAAAAAAAGTTATCAAAACTCAGTAAAGAAAGTACAAGGGTGGAAAATGGGTCAAAAGAGTCTAAATATGCTGAACAAGGAAATTGACCAAAGTACCTGAGGAAACGGCGAAGACAAACGGAGATCCGGGTGGTAAATCAGGGGTTATGGGAATATTGTGGGGGTATTGCCGGGTGTTTTACAACTTGAGATTTTCCACTTGGGATCAAAGGGCGATGATCGAGGTTGACTTAGACAATTAATATCATGATTCGTTAATTGGGTGTGAAAGGGCTTAGGTTTACTTGCTCAGCCCTGGCAAGCTAACACCCGTTGGGGGTTGCAGGCGGCCGAAGTTCGGTTCGAGGTCCAAAATGAGTTTCAGCGCATTCCGTGATCGAAGGTAGGGTAGTGGGCCAGAGGCTGACTGCAAGCCAGCTCCAGGCTCAACGTAGCCGGTTGGAATCACTTCTTCGTGCTCGGATCCTGGCATTGGCAACCATTTCTGTAGTACTTCGTACGCAGCAAGGGTGAAACCGAATTGAGGAGACGAACGCAGGATACGTGCTGGTCCACCTTTGAAGAAGGCCTTGAAGCCTTCTTCTTTCAAAATGGTGGTGGCACAGTGGCGGAGAGAAGTGTACTTGGTCTCTCCCTTTCGGGCTTCAACCTGGAGACGGGTCTTGATGACATCACAGGGAGTCGTGAGATACGCAGCAGGCATACCGGCAATAGCTCCAGCAGTCAGGAGTTGAACAACACCCAGCTTTTTGGTAGGAGATTCGCCGAAGAAATCCGTTTTCAAATGGGAATATGTTGGGAAGTAGATTGCGGAGAATGGAACTGTTGGATAGCATGTTAGCAAATAAAAGCAATATCAACAAGAAAGGAAGTAGTGGCGCATACCATCACGGAGCAAACAGGCACTAGCACCCTTGTACAACCCCATGAGACCCAGATTCTTCACGATCCACATTGCGGACCTACGAGGAGCTGCAGCCTCATTGACATTCTTTGCAATCTCTCCTTGGATCTGGAGACGAATCTTGACGATTTCTAGCGGGTTGGTGAAGACCTAGACAAGGTTAGCAATAACCTTCGCAAAAAAAAAAGAAGAACTAAGAGAATGAAACACATACCACCTGACAGGCACCAGCGGTACCACCAGCGATAACCTCGTGAGGCCACCATATCTTGCCGCCCTTATCCTTGTCCGCAAAGTATCCTCGTACCAGATCGTTGACGGTAAGCTTGATAGCCTTTTCGGGTGCAACTCCAATCAATTGGGGGATTACACCAGAATACAATCCCAGAACACCTTCGTTCCGAACGACCTTCTTAGCACAGTCGAGTGAGTTCATATACATCTTCTCACCGACACGTGCGCTTCTCTGGTTCTGCATTCTGGTTTTGACGAGATCAATCGGATAGACCATAAACGCGCCAAACGCACCGGCAATACTTCCAAGGGCAAAATGATGGACAGATTCCAGGATGTTGTGAAGCAATTGACTGCTTGTTCCAGTGACTTTTTCGCTTGCCTTGGATACACCGGCCAATGCCTCTCTGCCCAAAACGCTGGCGCTGTGCCACGAAGCATCAATGACCTTTGCGAAATCTCCGAGTTCGAGTCTACCGGATGGTGCGTCGAGACCGGCGAAGTGGAAGAGGATGTCGGCTTCCATTGGCGTGAAAAGTGAGAAGCGAGTGATGCGTGCGGCCTCGTTCAAGAAATCGGAGCGAGTGATCTTTCCGTCGTCACTCTTGCGAACGGCGCTGCGGATAATGTAATCTATAATGTCCATTTCTCTGATGATGTTCTGGAATGCACGCACGTTTGCGTATGATATCTTGCTGCCGGACGAGATGTTGCATAGCGTAGGCAGGTTTTCCAACAGGTGATCTGACAGCTTATGTTGCGAGGTTTCTAAGATGATGCGCTGGAAATCTTCTGGCTCGATATAGCCGTCGCCGTCTTTATCGAAGAGGTGGAATGCCTGTCTTATTCGCTCTCCTTGCAACCCGCGAAGCATCTGAGCAAATTGCGGATATGTCATGTCATGTCTTGTCTTTTTCGAGCCGGTGTAGAGCGCAGCCCATCCCGAATTCCAGTCGAATGGAATGTTGCTGCCGTCCTTGGCAGAGCTGAACAGCTTCTGTAGCGTCTCATGCTTGACTATTCCCGTTCCCTCAGTATCGAAGAGTCTGAATGTAATCTCGTACTCTGCGTCTGGTTTGGCCAGAAGGTCCTCAAACATTGACCAGTCCTGGAGGTTGACCTTGCCGGTATGTCTTCGGTCGGCAACGCTAAAGAGAATGCCATATTGTTCCCGTTTTATTTTGTGCTATAGAATAACCAAATATCACATTAGCCCTATGTCCTGTTTCTTTTCGCCAAAAAGAAGGGGTGTTGTTGGATTATGCTTAAGAGTTCTTATTTATGCTTAACTGAGCGCCGACTAACAGTAACGGCGCAAGCAGCCCAACCCAATGCTTCCGGAACAGAAGGAATAACTTACATAGTCTTCATTCTTAGGGGCGATGGCTTCAATAAAGTCTTCTCTTGTCATGTATAGTTCACCAGATTCACTGTCTACCCTCGCGTGCTGCATAAAATGGGCTTTGACATGTGCGCTCATCGGTGGCTCAGTAGACCTGCCAACCAGCTGTTCTTTTATATTCTGCGCCATGATGCGATCTCTCTACGGTCGGTCTCGAGGCTCTCTCGTCCTATCGTCCTCTATACGAGTAATTGGGGCCGCTGCGATTGGGGATGGCGTGAAGAAGACGTGTCCTTGCAAGAGCCGGGGAAAGCTGGAGAAAGCTCAGCAGCAACTAGTAGGGATGCACCGGATGCGAGTGAATGGCTCGGACTTCACAACAGCCAGGATGAGAAGAAGACGGAGAAGGACAGGAAGAGGAAGAAGAGAGAGAGAGCCAGCCGATCCTGAGGAGTTTCCTTCGTCCTCTGGGTCCAGAAAAATTTCTCTTGTCTTTTTCCTTTCGCTGCTCAGGAACTGGAAAGCTTACCCGATTTTCGGTCGCGGCAGGGCTTGGCTTTTCGCCTTTTGACTTTTCTTGCTTTTATATACTTAAACTAACTATAGAACAAGGACGGTGATATTGATATATTTGATATTCGGTGTTATTGATTGCCCTTTTACTTTGCCTCCCTTTGGCGCTTCACCTTGAAAGAGCCCCTAGGAGGCCATCCTCTCTTTTTACTAAGGGTCCTTTCTTTCTTCTTTCTTTTCTCTTGCAAGGCTTTCTCCAGGGTAGTCACGTGTGATGCGGGAACCGGGTCGGTGGGCAAAGGCCAATCGCGTGCCTCGGCAGGGAGCAAGACGTCGACGTTTGATCGTATCTTGTCAAGCGAAGGGAGCAACTTGGGCAGGGGAGGCATGGGCAAAAAGCAAGCATAAGCCAGCAGCAGACGAGCAGCAGAGGCGGCCATAAATCTGACGATAACGAAGATGTCGTGATAGTCCAGCTGTCGCTGTCGCCGTCGCCGCCGGGCCTTCTCCCGGGGTGTCCATCTCCACTAGCTACGGAATCGAGCGATATCTTCCGCAAGCTAGTTAAACTGTTAACTAAGGGCAAGCTGCAGGTCTCTTTGGCGTTGAGATTCGAGTGGACGCAAAACTTGGTGTGCGCGTGACTATTCAACAGAGCCGGCTGAGCTGGGTTGATTATATATTGGGTCGATTTACAGAGTGCTCGATTTTGGCTGCTATAAAATGAACAGTCATCTGTTGCCGTATCCTTACAACCAGGGCGAGGTCCTCCCCCATTCTCTGGGTTTAAGACATTGGCTGATGTGCTCTACTGTGTTCACCTTTGCTGTCGACAACCCCCTGTTGCTCCGCCAGTCAATACCAAGCCAATCCAAATTGTCTGCATCTCGGATACCCACAATTCGACCAGAGAGGTTTCACCTGGTGATCTGCTCATCCATGCTGGTGACTTAACCCAACATGGCTCATTTGAGGAGCTTCACGGTCAATTTCAATGGCTCTCTGCTCTCCCACATCCTCATAAAATCGTCGTAGCAGGAAACCACGATCTTCTGCTTGATCCAGATTTCGTTAAACGTCATCCTACCCGCATTCCCAAGGATTCTGGATCGTCCATCTTCAGTTTGGATTCGTACGATGTCGACTACCTCCAGGACCGATTTGTCACCCTAAGATTCTCAAATGGAAGACGTTTAAATGTTTATGGTTCGCCGCAGACACCAGAATTTGGTATTTGGGCCTTTCAATACCCAGCTATTAGGGATGTTTGGACCCGTAGGATCCCTGATAAAACGGATGTTGTAGTGGTTCATGGCCCACCCGTACTTCATTATGATACTGGAAAGAAAGGAGATGGGTATATATTAAGAGAGCTAAGAAGAGTGAGGCCACAGCTTGTTGTATTTGGTCATGTTCATGATGGATATGGACAAGACTACCTTTTCCATGATGGAGTACAAAGTGCATGGGAAGATGCAATCCTACGAAGAAGTGGTGTACTTGCAATATTTCGTACGAGTTTCTGGATGATTGTAGCATGCATTAGAGTCTTGCTAGGGCTCTCACAGCCCAACCCAACGAGGTTAGTGAATGCAGCTATCGCACCTGGAGAAAACAGGAAAACAGAGAAAGACCCGATTATATTGGAAAAATAATAATAATGTTCTTGACCCCACGATGAGACTACGAAAGTATAGGCACCGCTGAGTGCCTGTTATGGTCATTTAATTAGACGGGCGCTATTGGGAAAACCCACGCCGCTGCTAATTAGATAAAAATGAGTATCAGAAGTAAACAAAGACTAGCATGCTTTTTCGGGCAACATAATAATGCCTTCATCGTACATTCAAACGTTCGACAAAGCAAGCCGCGGACGCTGACGTCGATACTTAAGACTACCGGCTCCGGGTAGGTTATTATTGGAACGCGTCAAGCTCAAGTATGAAAACGAATCATTAAACAGCCAATATACAACAGACTAACGTCGTGGTTAGCGAGGAGAAGGCGAGAAATGAAAACGGGCGCCTCTTTTTACTTACATTTGAAACTTTGATCTGTTTGATCACATCCCCATTCAGGTCACCCACTCCCTTAACAGAAGTGCCATGTCCAAAATGCAGACCGTTCACCCTGTAGTTACACCGACCGGTAACAGAGTAGGCTGCCGAGATGTACTCCAATGGGCCCTCAAGAACAAAGGATTCAACCTCTTCCATGAGTTCCCCTAATATCCTCGAAGGTCCATCCAAATAGGAAATCCTAATCCCGCATATAAAAGACTCCTTCGGCGTGGTTTTGTTATAGACTGTGATCTTCGATGCCGTTGTTAAAGTTGCACAAGAAATAAATACGTTACAGGTTTCACCCCTCTTGAAAGTAAGCGTACTCATGGGCCAGCGCAATGGATCCTGATCCTCATTGGTATCTATACTCAGGCCAGGTTCACCTCGAAAAACTCCAATAGAGGATATATCACGGATACGGTTATCCTAAGTTTGGCATTGTTAAAATAAAGCCCACCTTTAAGCCATTAGTCGAGGCAGTGTGATCTCTTACCACCACAGGGTTGGAGCAAAATACCCCTTGAGGGAAGGCAGCTACTTGCCACGCCTCTACTTTGGGGCACCCAAAGAATATGCATCGACCCCGACTCGTGAAAATCTTATACATAATTCATTCGGTAACTAGTAATACGCCATAGATATGGACGGAAGGAAGTTGCTTACCTTCACCGCTACGCTTGACTCCTTACGGCCTTCCGTACAGGCCAATCCAGTAAATAATTCCCCCAATTGGGATTGCGCTTCAATTGATAGTTTTGACCCCTCGGGTTTGCCAATAGTAATCTTGTTGTTTTCAAGTAGAAACTCGAACCCGGAAATAGCCTGAGTCTCAGTGCTGACAAACGCACTTACAACATTCGCCGCTTTCAGAGGCTTGTCAACGTAGCTAACGGGCAAGGTATTACCTGTAGGTTGGCATTTAACCAGAATATCTGGAACTAGGCCGTCTGGCGGAAGCCCCGAAATCCAGGATAGAGGGTTGCACTGAGCCTCGCCATGAATATGTGATAAGGCGTGTATTTTAAAAGCCTAGTAACAGTACTTAGTGTCAAATGCCATGATAGCACAAAACAGGACTTACATCAAAAGCGATGTGGAATTTGGTGGAAGTGCCAAGAGGCCATTCTATCTTGGTATATTCAAGCCTGCATGAGTTGCGGTCACTGCCATACCAGTGGGACTCCCAAATTAAACCATCCTTTACTTTTAGCGCCACAATGCCTTCCTTGTCTGATGCAAGCTGCAGCCCGCAGAGTTGTTTCAAATCTATGTTAATAGCAAACTCGCCTTCATATCCAAAAAATTCATCATTGAACTGGAGGCCGCATAGGTAAGAGCGATCAAGGACATGGTTAAACCTCAATGATACCATTAACGTATCACTGAGGCGAATCTCCTTTTCGAACAAAATCCGCGGTGTGGATACATAGTGCACTTGGTATTCCGATGTAGAGCAATCTTCTGCCCCAAGTAAACGTTGCTTTGCCTTTGAGAGCAAAATCTCAATGTTATCCCAGATTACTGTGTAGTTCTGAATATTTGGCAAATCATCTGGGTGGCTTTGGAGATTGTGGATAAGCCTCCTAAGTTTAACAGCTACCTCGTCAACAGACCCTTCGAAGAAAGGTGATCCGTAAGCAAGGTATTTTCGGCCAAGGTTGAGCCATATATCTCGACCCGGCTCAATGCCAACTACCCATGTAAAATGAGTTATATCGAGATAGCTATCAAAGTATCTATAGATAAGTTGAATGATTTCGTATGGAAGTACAGTGTTGCTAGTCTGTATTCGCTCCGCTGGTTTTGGGACTGTGTACAGGATACTATCCGGTACTAGAGGTTCGTCTGGAAAAGATATAGGGGTAAGAAAAGGTCCTATCTGAAGGAGGAGCTGACGGAATCTTTCGAGCCATTCATGATCTGTAACTTCCGTTCCGACAGCCTTGGTCACCGCATCCCAACAGAGCGAATGTGTCACGTTTTCGGCACCATACCATAGGCGACGCAATGAGTTTACATGTCTGCTATCCTCCTCAAGCGCTAAATGTTGGCAATGTGCCTTCCAAGTTCGAACTCCATACTTTGTGAGATACTGGAATGGTTTGCCGCACAAAAAGCAGCAAGGATGGGAGCGCATCGTAGAATCAAGAGTTAAAAAGACGAAAGGTTGTAGATCCAAAGTGGAAACCTGCGGGGCGTTAGGAGTTTTTCTAGGGAGTACCGAGTACCGAGGGAGTTGTTTGGCCAACTACTCCGTATTCCATAAGTAAGCCAACCGCTGGAGCCCCACCCATGCTGCTTAGCTACGCGCCTAACTGTATGTAGTAAAGTCCGAGGCCGCATTCTTGGCTGAGCGGCGGATTTCGGCACGTTAATTCTGGTCATGCAACTTGTGGTATGCGGCGGAGTCACAGGGGCGCCATGAGGTTTGTTGACGTTGGCTTCATCATCCTCCTGCGGTCGAATTACCCATCAGGGCATTGTCACTCCTAATGGAACAGCCATAACTAATAATAATAACTCTTGTCGTCTCTCCTTTATCTCTTAAGAGAGACTAAGCCCCCGAAATATCAGCTTGGGGCCCGTAGCCTCGTTTATCGACTGCGCCAGTATTTTATGGGCGTCTGTCACCCCATATGGGCAGGCTTTCAGGGTATACATTGACCTGTGTTGCTTTTTTCGAAAAACGCACTGATGGATTTGAGAACCTGATCTACCTGATGTTGTAACCCGGTTTGATGCTCTGGCTTTACTGATTTCCATTACTACTCGTTGAGAGTAGCAGGCGCCTTCCAGAAAACCTCTATCGACGAATCTGGCACAGTGCCCTTATAGTCGTGCTTTGAGGAGTCACAGCCGAACTAGTTATTGTTATATACGCTGCAAAAAGGTGGACGGATCCAATATCTGAAAGGATGTTGGCATGAAATTCCTTGGGTACGGAGTATGCTTGACTTTAACTAAAACTGATTATCTAATCAGCGAAGTTCAAAGAAGCTCTCGGATTATCAATTATCCCACGCACGTGAAAACCTTAAACTCTCCTTGTTTCCAATCTTAAAGCTGTTGTTCAAGGAAGAAAAAGGACGAGAAGGCTAGACGGAGTTGATGCAAGGGGGGAAAGCTTCACAAAAAGGCCCCTGAATCACCCTCATCTCGTTTGGTATATACGCTATCTAGCTACAGCAGAGACTTAGTTCCGCAAGAAGAGCGAGTTATCCGCGGTAGGCTTCATCTGACGCCTTTTCCATAGCTGCGCTGAAGCTAATCGACCTTAGATAACATAGGGGCTGATTTCTATGATCTCATGACCTGCATGCGCTCCTGTCTTTATCCACGCCTGCCACCCTCAAACAATAATTAGGCATTGCATATGGGCTGTTTGCACTGCTTGTTCCATTCCCAGTCCTATAAACTCTCTAACCTCCCCCTCTACCCCTTCGTCTTCGACCCAAGGCCTCCGATTTTGCCGCAGCAATAGGCAGCACAACAAAACGGCTCATTAGACCGGTATCGAGGACACTTATATCGACTTTAGTAACTGGGAATGTCGTTCCTTGCTGCTGGGGGAAAGATCTTACGCTGGGATTTTTGCATCATCTCATCGTGGCGGTGAGAAGGGTGTTGACCTATAATGAACTCCGTAGCATCCGTGGACGACAATATTAAGGGGAATGAGGATAAAAACATGGTAGTGGATAAGGGCGGCCATGGGGAAACAGGCCAATGTGGTGAGGAGAACGATCAGAAGGGGCCAGAGAGCGCACCGACAAAACCAGTGGCTGCCAAAGAAGAGCTTGACGATTTTGGCCTGCCGGTTAGGCCGCGAAGATCAACTCTAGCAGCGAGATCCGTGTCAACGCATAGTGTACCCTCCGGCCCTCCAGATAGGCTGAATACACCTCCAGACTCAGGTATCTCAAAGCCCATGGTCAGATCAGTATCTGTGCCTCTTGAGGCGCCGAAACAAAAGGCAACTGATTCACCCGCTGAAGAACCTGGATCAGATGTAAATCATCGTGATGCCTGCACAGGCTTATCAGAGACACAAGAGACTGGCACTTCCACAAAACCCAGTGATCCCAAGCCACCCCATGAGGCGCATTCAAAAGATGTATCGGAGTGGTCACATCAGAAGGTAACAACAAAAGACGACTCTGAAGAAGAAGAGGAGGAGGATACATGGCAAGCTATGCCAGCCCTAGGGGAATTTGATGTTTACGATGATTATGGAAGAATTGTGGCTCGCGGTGCCAAAGATGATGATGATACAGTTTATCAAGGGTTAGGGGGGGCTGGGAAGGGATATACCCGGATTCAAATTGACGAAGATGCACAGTCTGCAACAAGTATGGATGAAAATACGAATTACTTGTTCAAGGAACCCCAAAGTAATGCTCTTGGTGTTGAAGACGATGATCTACGCGACCCAACCTCACAATTAGAAGCAACAAAAGATTTGCTTACTGAAGGCCAGCGAATCGCGTATGTTGGAGCTACAAGATTAACTATTTTCCAAATGGTTAAGCAAGTGGAATCATACGAGTCATCGTCAAAAACGACGCGCAAATTCTTAAGCACTGCAGTAGATTCAATGACGAAATGGGGCCAACAAATTATGATCCGGCTATACGGGCATATGGAAATTAACTCCGATGAACAGGTGATGATTGAACAACTGGCTGAACATGGGGTTCGGCCAGAGGACCTGGTTTCTCCACTGATGCAGAATGCTCGTGTTAAGAATCCCCTTGCCGGGGAATTTGAATCCAGCCCCAAAGAATCAGTTGATGAGTCTGTCGCGGACGTTGACAATAAGACATCAAAGCTCTCAGATGAGCCGTCACGATTACCCACGCCTCCACCGCCTTATGAGTATAACGACAGTAATGAAATACCAGAAATCCAATCATCCTTCGAAATTGAACAGTCTAAAGATCTAGATATAGATCTTCGATGGACTGTACTTTGTGACCTGTTTCTCGTTCTTATCGCCGATGCAACGTACGATGCCAGGTCTAGAAAGCTACTTGAATTAGTTGGAGAGTCCATGCATGTTTCCTGGAATCAAATCTGCCGATTTGAGAAACGCATTATTGATGCTTTAGAAATGCAACAAGAAGCTAGCAAGGAGACATGGGATGAAGCACAGCATTTGGAATCGCGAAGGAAGGCTGCTTTGAAGCAACGGTATCTGATAATGGGCTTAGCAACGGTTGGAGGCGGCCTGGTAATTGGCCTCTCAGCTGGGCTTCTTGCACCTGTCATTGGTGCCGGCCTTGCTGCTGGCTTTACAACTATTGGAGTCGGCGGTACGAGTGCCTTCCTTGGCGGAGTTGGTGGAACGGCCCTGATAACCTCCGGCGCAACCGTTGCCGGGAGTACCATTGGGATTAAGGCCTCCAATAGAAGGACGGGCGCTGTCAAAACATTTGAGTATCGCCCGTTACACAACAACAAACGACTCAATCTTATTGTGACAGTCTCGGGATGGATGAATGGCAAGGTCGATGACATCCGGCTACCATTTAGTACTGTGGATCCTATCATGGGCGACATTTACTCTGTTCTGTGGGAGCCCGAGATGCTGCAAAGTACGGGACAGACCATCAACATCCTTGCTACTGAGGTACGATATTCAATTATCTCTATTTTACCCATGTTATACGGAGATAAAGCTGACCGACGACCTTCCCCAGGCTCTTACACAAGGTCTTCAACAAGTCCTAGGTGCCACGATTCTCACAGCTTTGATGGCATCGCTACAATTGCCTATTGTTCTAACTAAGCTATCGTATCTGATTGACAATCCCTGGAACGTGTCACTCGCCCGTGCAAATGCTGCTGGGTTAATCCTGGCTGATTCTTTGATAAATAAGAACTTGGGCAATAGACCCATCACCCTCCTTGGATTCTCACTGGGATCACGCTTGATATTTTCCTGTCTGAAGGAGCTTGCAAATAAAGGTGCATTTGGACTGGTCCAAAACGTATATCTATTTGGTTCTCCTGTCGTCGTATCCAAGGACGAGTATACCAGGGCCCGAAGCGTTGTATCCGGGAGGTTTGTGAATGGTTATTCTTCGAATGACTGGATTCTCGGTTATCTTTTCCGGGCAACCAGCGGTGGAATTATGCGTGTAGCTGGACTCGCCCCTGTCGAAGGTGTTCCTGAGATTGAAAATGTCAACGTTACACATCTAGTCAGCGGCCACATGGCTTACCGTACCGCAATGCCTCGACTGCTACGAGAGGTTGGATGGGATGTAGAAAGCGACGAGTTTACTGAAATCGAAGACCCTGATCCAGAAAAGCACGAAGAGCGGCAGCGTGAATTAATGCGGGAGATAGACGAAGCTCGCAGACAAGCCGAGTTGAAGCCGGACAAGAAGAGATTTGGCTTCTTCAAGAGCGGGAAGCTTGCTCAAAAGAAACGGTGGGAAACTTATGATGTGAACAAGAATGCAAAAGAGCCGAGCTCATCTGGAAAGCCGGGCGATGCGGACAGCTCTGTTCTCTTTGATATTGATGCCATCAGAGCTGAGCTTGCAGGCGAACAAATTGAGATCAAGCAGTTGGAGTCTACGCTGCCTCCCATTAACCTTGATCGAAGCAATGAGCCATCTACCCCTGCAAACACACAGGCAGATTCAACACCAAAACTGGCAGCAGAGAATATGGCAAATAAAGACGGAGATATTAAGCAATCCCCTAACGTCTCTCAAGTCTTGTCTCCCGCGTCTAATAACTCATCAGCCTCATTGGAAAACAAGAACCAGTCAAAATTTACTACACATTCATGGCCTGCTCGAGAGGAGGAAATTGAAATGACTTTTGATACCTCCTACAGCTCACCGGTCACCTCCCCTGCTCAGAAATTTGAATATGACTCTCCAGGATGTCCCACGATCTCCTCGCCTAACAGCAGCCATGGCCTCTCAGGCATCAATCCCTCTCATAATGCTTGGGCCGACCAGCATGATGATTATACCGAACCCAACATAAAGATGACGTTCCAATGAAACAGGTTATCTCATGTGTAATTCAAGTACGCTAATGCGATCAATGTATCTAATTTTACTTTACATTTCTTGTCATTATATTCTTCAATTTTATGAAATACATTTGTATCTATTTTGCACTATATGACTTAATGAGCCATATGCCTTACATGAAAAGGACATCCGTGAACTAAGGCCATTATTCAATGGCATTTCGAGCCATCTTGCATTACTCGCTACTTTGGATAAGTATGGTTACACAATGGGTTTGTGTACTTCGTAATGTAACTTCTACCTGTTATCTGCAGAGCTCGACTTGGCGCTTAGCTCGGTGGTTATCGCGTCTAAATAGATCAAACCGCAAACAGAAGACGCGAAACGTCAGCAAACAACGGCTTCGACAAACCTCCAGCGAACCACGGAACGCCCATAGTTCTTACCAATCCTGCCCGCTATCTTGCCGGCGCCCATGAGGGATGGCTTCTGCCTCAAGACCAAACCCTAGCTTCGCGTCAACCAGGTTAACAACCAGAAATCATAGCGGAGGCCCACCGCTCACGCAGGTCGGAGGGAGGCCAACACGGAGCGCGCAAAAGAGAGCTGCGGAAACAGAGAGCCAATCGCCCGACGATTCGACAGAACAACTGAGCCATGCATCGACAAAGCGAAAGGCCGAGCCTGCGACTGATGATGAACCTCTTGCTTCCAGTGATGAGGACGAGTACGACGACTTCGGAGAGGTAGAGGAGGTATCACCAATTCGTGATCCGCAGAAGAGGACTCTATTCTCGCCAAGGGACTTAAACTACCATATACAGCAGAGTGATGCTACAAAATACTTGTCGAAAGGCCGCCTGGAGGGGAGAGATAGTTCGGAAATAAAAAATTCGCCGGGGAGACGGAAGGTTGCGCCTACACCTAAGAAGAAGCAAATCAACACATCTAGGAAACCAGTGGTTAAACGCAATATCAGGAAACCTGCAACTCACCCTTCCCAAAAAGATAAGGATGAGGAGCCCATTTTTGCTGCATTTCCAAATCAAGTCCGAAAACAAAAGCAGTACTCGTCAAAGGCATCTCACAACATCCATGCTTCAACGCCCCTGAAAAAACAGACAGCGCGCGAATTGGAAATGGAATCTTCGAGCGATTCGGACGATGGCCCTGAACAGTCACATAAATCCCAAACAGACAAAGGGCCCCGGTTTAAGGATCCCACCTCCTTTATGGAAGCCCACGTTGCAATTCCAGCTAGCTCTTGTCATGAAAATGATTTTGACATGCTAGAACTCAGCGATGGATTTGAAGCCGTGTCCCCCTTGAGCTCCGTATCTTCGTCTTTCTCCGTGCATATACCCCCTGAAATCCAAGAGGAGATTGACCGTCGCACAGCTGCAGTTACTGTGTGCCCAGTGTGCGAGGTACCTGTGGATGTGGAGCTGTTCAAATCTTTCAAATCAATGGAAAGGATGGGCCAGCAATCTCGGTTCTGTTTGTTACACAGGAGGAAATCTGCAGAAAAGCAGTGGAAAGAATGTTGTTATCCAACAATAGACTGGGGCTCATTCCAGGAGCGCATTGAAAGCCACTTTGCAGAATTGGAAAGAATGTTGCTACCTGATAGTGTCTCGGTTTATCGAGAATTGTTAAAATCATCCGCACAGGAGTGCAACAAGCAAGGGAACTTTCGCCTTAGCATTACTAACTCTGAACTAGAAAAGATGACCACTGGGTATTATGGGGCGCGAGGTGCAAAAAACATGTAAGAATTACCCCTATGCTTAGTTCTCAGTGTTTCGCATGCTTACAAGCTTTCGTAGGATGGAAGCTATTGTTACTCGCTTTGCTCCACGAGTGCGAGAATTAGCGTTATCAGACTCACTTGTAAAGGCGGTCGGAGTTTCCGGTTATGTCCAAGCAGTGCTTGTTCCAGAACTGACAACAACGCTTGTGAAGGAAGACATGAATGTTGACGAAGAGGAGGCTAGGCGCATCATGCAAGAAAGCATGGAGATTGGTGATCTCTTGAACCCGCAAATTGACGATACTATGGAGCTAAGGAACGAAAGTCTGGGCATCTAGCGGAGGTCGAGGAAGAACATCCTCGTACGCATCTAATCAATGCAAAATGAATGTACTTGTTTGTTTATTTACACTTTTATTCATAGCACAGGAGTTATTGGGTGAAACGGCTTGACGAAATGGGAACGGGAATATTTAGCGTGATATCTCTCTGTACTTATAATATTGAGATGTGAGCGTTTCATTTCTTCTAGAATTACATATTTCTTACTACAACACAAGCCTTTCACCCTGACCTCGTTCCATGCAATTGGCTACTGTTTAAGCGGATGTCTTCTTATCTCGGTAAGCCAAGCCGAATGCGATCAAGCCATACGTTGCCAATATGCTCAAACCCACGGGAAGGGGTTTTCCGCCGGTTTTGATAACCCTTGGGATGGAGCTACCGCCTAGAACTGCGGACGCAAGAAGGCCAATCTCTTCTCCGTAAGGCTGATGACCTTGTAGGCGGAAATAACTCACGGCGTAAAGCGCACCGATTGTGAGCCCTGCAGCTATAGATGGAATAGATCCTGTACGCGCATAACCGATGATGCCACCGCAGGAGGTGAGAAGGGAGAGGGCCGCAGCCGAGTAGCTTGTATTTGCGTTCTGGAGAAGCCTAGTATTAGAGATGGTAAATGACATAATTATGACAAGTATATAGCTTACCATTATAACTTGTATACAGAATTTGTAAGTATTTTGTATGAGCAGCCTTAGTAGTGTCTAAAACAGTGCTTTATTTATAGCCACGAGTGATGCGTCTTTTTCACTCTGTGGTATGTTTCGTGATAGAACAACATGCCACTAATGATTATTATCTACTTCCAGCGACGTTGGAGGTTACTTTTGCTTACCTAATTCATCATATCATCACGTGATATATCGGCGAGCTGTTCATTCGCATCAAGATAGCTTCAACATCATCAATTGGACGGCGTGTCGAGAAGGGCGGACTTGACGAAGGAACGCATACGTTTTACGGCTGATTGATAATAGCTGGGTTATCTGTATACCAGGCAACAGCTTGATATTTGGCCTCCTGGGCTTCCTCCCATATAACTCTGTTCCAATGGCACCAAAACGTCGAGATGTACAGCCAGGCCCAGCGACCACTCCTTCGCCCAGCAAGGTGAAGCCAGCGACAGCCTCTGCGACAATACCCAGACCACCGCCATCGACATCTGCAAACGCCCCAACAACAGATATAATACTGAATATATGGGACAATTACACCACAAAAACCCCCCAGAGGACCCTACTCCTAGATACGTTCATGGCCTTCTTAGTCCTTGTTGGAGGAATCCAATTCGTATACTGTGTATTAGCGGGCAACTATGTGAGTTTACTCGAAAATATCCGTATCATCTCCGGAGACAGATCATGAAAGGGAATGAGAGCTAACCACTTGGGTTATTCTCAATCTAGCCATTTAATGCGTTCCTAAGCGGGTTCTCTGCCGCTGTTGGCCAGTTCGTTCTCACGGCAAGTTTAAGGATGCAAACCAGTGATGTAGGGAAGACTACAACTACCATAAGTTCCGGGAGCTCCAGCGGAGCGGAAACACCAATTCAAGACCGGGGAGAAGGTTCTAGTGAGAGGTCAGCATTAATTTCAATCGGCAGCTTTGGGACAACGGAAGAACTGCGCGTTTACTAACAGGTTTAATACAGGGCTTTTGCGGATTACATATTTGGGAGCATTATATTGCACTTTTTCTGCATTAATTTCATCAACTAAGCAATGGAATGAGCTTTCACCCTCGAGGGGCTTCATCTTATATTCGGCTTCTCGGAAATTCAGGAAATAGAAAGGGGATATGGCTTCAATAACTGCTCCGATGACTCGTGTATACTACTAAAAATTATAGTTCAACCCGTTATTCATCATGGAGCATTATTTTCTATTATAAATCTGTTAATGCCAGACATGACCTGGAATGCTATGACTAGGACCTATATTTTGCATTAAAACTCTCGACAGCCTCTCTATCTCTATCCAAGCGCTCAAGACAATGGGAAAAAGACACAGCCTTGTCGCTCAAAATCCCCTTCCGACTCTTTTGGACGGCGGCCTCTTAACCACGCTACCACTCGTAACCAGCCCACCGGTAGTTCTCCTTACCCCTGGCGTAGCAGTCGGTCTTCTCACTGCAGTCTGTATTTCCTGTCTCTTTTTAGCCGACTCTTTCTCAGCTTCGCGGGCAGTGAGTTCCGCAGCTTTCTGACGATCTGCAGCCATTTGTGTTTCTATTTCCATTTTCCTATTGAATTCACGCTCTGTGACGCGGCGTTCCCGTGCAGAATAGCCCTTTTCTTTGATTGAATAGAAAACACCACCGAGATCGGCAAGCCACTAGTAAGTAAAACCATGTTAGTTATGTTTGCAGATGTAATGAAATGCCGGTGGGGGAAGAATCATCTCACATGAGGATCAACTGCAGTGACAGTAGACATATATTCTTTGCTGGTCAATATCAACTCATGATATACCACATAGTCAGGTAGGAAGCCAAGACCGTATAAGGAGCTGGTCGGATGCAGCTGCACAGTTACGCTCGTCCGGAGATTAATATACTCTCCAATACCCTTGACCCGGCCAGCCTGATGGTAGTAGCCGGAACAAATGCATTTTCGAATAATGTCCCAATCCGTCCCGCAGCTTGTCAATTGCATTTTCTGCATTTTCATTATATCATGTAGCTGTTCACGGATCTCCTTGGCTCGCCGAAGAGCCTTGGGATGGAGGAAGTGTCGTACGCACCACCCGTCGGAATAGCCGTTTGCTTTCCATTGTGTATAGACGTGAAGAAGAGTGAGATGGTCTGACTCTGGCACGAAGAACTTCTCCCTAGCTGCGTCAGACTCTTCTTGTCGTTCCTTCGGACGGTAAAACACGCTAGGTACCGAGAGCATAGATACTATTGTGAGCATTTCTTCGCTACAACCATACAGCTCTGATGAAGTGATGAGGAGTTTGGCAAGTGATGGGTCCATGGGAAATGCACTCATTCGGCGGCCGATGGCTGTTAAATCGCCCAAATTATCAATTGCTCCAAGAGCCCAAAGGTCAAACAGTGAGGTGGTGATTGTATCTTGTGGGGGAGGGTCCATGAAATCGAAGTCTAGCAGGTCCTTGATTCCCAATGATTTGAGTAGAAGTACGGTGTTCGCAAGGTTTGTCCGTTGAATCTCCGGGATGGTTTGTATATAAAACTCGTCCTTAAATGCAAGCTCGGTATATAAGTGATACGCTTTCCCAGGCCCAGTCCTGCCTGCTCGGCCCGCTCGCTGGGAGGCATTGGCCTGCGAAATGGGTGTGATTTGGAGTGTGTCCATGCCCATCCGTGGGTTGTAAACCTTTAGCTTTGAAAACCCGGCATCTACCACGTACATAATGCCATCAACCGTCAAACTGGTCTCAGCAATATTGGTAGCCACGATAACTTTCCTAACACCCGGAGCGGCCTGTCGAAAATCTGGCTTGTAAATCTGCCGGCACTATTCTTCGGTGGGTCATTCAGGAGAACCGACCTCTCGTGTATCAATTCACACGTAGCCTCGATATCCTCCTGTCCTGTCATGAACACTAGGATCTCACCAGGCCCTTGGGAACGTGGATGGCCAGCACTTGCTTGACAGCACTATCAACATAGTCCTCGCAGGGAGAACGGGAATATTGTATATCGACAGGAAATGTACGTCCGGGGATGATAAACTCCGGGGCGCCTCCGTAAAACTTTGAAAATCGGTCAGAGTTCATGGTAGCAGACGTAACGATAAGCTTCAAGTCTCTTCTTCTAGCAAGAACCTTCTTAATCAGGCCCATCAAGACATCAGTATTCAAAGCTCTCTCGTGAGCCTCATCCATGATAATGCAAGAATATTTGTCAAGATCAGGCTGGACCAAGGATTCTCGTAGCAAAACTCCATCAGTCATATCTAAAAGAACCTATTAGCCAAATGCCCAATGATACCATGGACAGATCAACTCACATTTAATCACCGTTTCGCTGCTTGTGCAATCTTCGAAACGTATAGCATAGCCCACAAGCCCTCCAAGTTTAACTTCCATCTCCTCGCTGACTCGTTTGGCAACACTCATTGCAGCAACACGGCGTGGCTGCGTACAGCCTATCAAGCCAAGCTCCCCGTAGCCATCCTCGTAGAGAAACTGAGTCAATTGAGTAGTCTTTCCGGACCCAGTCTGGCCAACCACAATAATTACTTGGTTATCCCTTATCACTCGTAGCAGTTCTTCTCTAACGGCAAAGGCAGGGAGATATTCCCTCTGCTCCCGTAAGGTCTTGCTCCTACTAAACGCACTGGATCCTTCGGATTTTTTCAAATGTGACGCAAATTTACTGCTGTTGCCTGGCTTTTGATCTTCCTCTCCTGGAATTGCCGCCGCACTGTCGCCTTCATCTTCTTTAACACCCATAATATTACCCAGAGTAGTCCCAGCAGCATTTGTAGCATCCTGGGCTTGCTTCTGGCGTTCTTTGCGCTGCCTCCTTTCTTGAACAACTTTGCTTCCTTTCCGACTAAAAACAGCCATGTCACTCTGCGGGTCTCGTACGGCGGGGACAGGTTCCAGCTGCTTCGTGAAGACCGTACGGCCATCCAAAAAGGGAGGACGAAGATCATGGACCAGTAAGTGCACTCTTGTCGAGTCATCATCATCTTCAAAATCAGCATCGTAGTCTCTCCTCTGAGCAACACCAGAGGTTAGCATGCGATTCGTCTCCCACGCATCCACATCCTTTTGTTTTTGTACAGCACGAGCATTGAAGCGGCGGCTGTTCTTCTTCTCCGACAATGCCGCCTCGCGGATCTGGTCCGCCCATGCGCTTTCTGGGGCGCCAAAGGGATTATGTGTCTCGTCTCCAAAGGTATGCCCGGATTCATCACCCATGTACCAGTCACGGTCAAGCGCCATAGCGTCATCATCGTTCACGAATGCTTCTGGTCCGTCGAATGAGTGCTGGTGGGGAGTTGATGCGCCATCTCGGCCCCTGCTGGACCCTGTCTGGCCATCATCGTCGTCTCTTCCCTGAGGTCTATCGCGTCGCTTGAAAATATGCCTGGGGCCAGGGCCGGTGTAGCTCTTTGGTGACGATGGGGTAAATCTATCGGAGTCTATCTTCCGCCGTTTTGGACTCTCTTCACGACTCATGGTGGCCTCAGTTTGTGAGCTTCCTTGAACGCATCCAAATGTTCCACAGCTCTTGTTCCCTGCGTCCTTGTAGCGGCCTTTGCGACGCGCTTCTCCCACAGGCGACTTTGATTATATAAACTAATAAGGATCGAATTATGGTTCGTTAATAGACGTGTTTGCCGCCGCTCGCCAAGGCGCTTTGTGCCGCAGCGCAACTCAAAACTCCAACTTCAATAAAGACCCGAATGTGAGCTTATCAAACTACCTCCCGTACTCAATTCTTAGGAACAATTAGCAGTTACGCTCGTAATATCTTAAGCTACATGGCATATGGATATTTAAAGATGTGGCACATATAAATAAAAGACAGTTTTATTCCTATCTATAGCTCGACTATAACATGGAAACGAAAGAAATGAAAATGTCAATAAACGGCCTAAGATACCCTAATACCCTAATATGTTCTACTACTCGCATAATTTTGTGAATACAAACGTCCATATCGTACAACTTCACTTATACCCTTAAATTTATATATATATGACTCTTCTACGCGGAGAAATCGGCCGCACTAGAGGGCTGGCTTCAGTCCAAGTCTTGGGTTTATAGAAATATACCACTATTACCGGCGGAATATCAGAATTTGGAAGAGAAATTCATGTTATTATTTTTTTCCCGGAAAGGAAGTCTATTCTCGCGGGCATTGGACCAATAGGAGCTGCTAGAGCAGCTCTAGCAGTCGCCGTCTCTGACATTCACTTTCTCTCCCCTTGTCTTATTGGCGAGATATTCTGTTATCGCTGGCTCCGCAGTCACTTCAATCTGCAACGTGCTATATAGCCTGTCAGAACCGCGAAGTGTACACTCCTTGGGCAGCATTGCAATTCCTCGACTTCGTATACAGCAAGGACAGAATGCTGTGCAGTGGGAATAATACAGTTGTCCCGAAGGAAGCATGCCTCGTGGCTTTTGGCAGCATCCGCACCCCCTTGAACAGCAACCTTGTGCGTCTCTACACTGCCCTTTCCCATGTTTAATCGTATAAATCGATGTTTCCCCCTCCATTAAAAACCAGGATTTGACATATTGTGGTATCCTTGAGTGAAGTGGCTGGTCTTTCAGCAGTTGCGAATAGACCTGCTCGCAGGCCCAAAGCCTCTTTTTCGAATCGGCTAGTTTCAACCGCCAGTCCTTAGGACCGAGATCATCAAAATTTTCAATATCTTTGAGCCTACCCCGCGCAGCAGCATCCAGGACCGCCGACCTGAGAAGAATGTCTCTTTGCTTGAGGGCGCCTATGTCATAAGCTACGTCATCTAGCGGAAGGATATGCTTGTGCTTAACTTGCACTGATGGTTTCACTGATGGCTCCACTGATGGCTGCACCTGTGGCCGAGGGGCTCTGTGGGGTATAGGATTACCATTTAATTCCCTTATTACATCCGCGGCCTGCTGTGCGCCCATGGCCTCAAATGATGCCTTGAGGATCGGCCCAAGAAAAAAAATGCAAATTCGGCCGGCTGCTAAAAGCGAGGGAATACCAATTATAATCAGCGGGCCGATTACGTATGTTAATTCAAGCCAGTGCATCGTGGAGAAGACAGTGTTAATATGTAGCGTAAGTGGCGGGCGACGTCGTAAGTGGTAACTAATAGAAGTAAAAGAGGTGAGCGGGAAAGATATGAGCAAGAAAGTGCGAACCTGCCTTCTTATATGCTTTCGGTTCTCAGTTCGAGTATGATGCAACCGACTGGCTGTGGCAATGCTCTGCCAAAGCTGGCTATCACGCGCTGCCGGGCCCCATCAGCATCACACCGAGGCACTGTGGTAGAGTGGTTAATACGTTGCACTGCTACCGTTATACAGTTTCTCTGCATACATAGCCATGCAATTCCTTCGGGAGCCAGGGTTCGAATCCCTGCGGTGTCGCTTTTTTTGCACTTTTTTATATTTTATTAGTATTTTATTTATTTCTCGTTATCCTGTAAACTTCCTTGATCATAGCCATCCAGCAGATTTTTTAGGTACCCATAGAGGTCGTGTCTTTATTATAGCAATGCTCTAGTATGTGTATTTTGTAGGCGGCCGCTGTGGTGGTGATGGTGACGTCTGGCTGCCAAGAGACGACGATCCTCCCGAGCTCGAGACAGCAGCCAACAGCACGACAAAGTGACACGCCGATAGACGAGCAACCAGCTACGACAGCGCATGAAGTGAATGAAGCTTTAGACACCGTCTGTGACGGAACAAGCAACGATGACTACGAAAGACGGCAAACACACGCCGACGACCGATGAGCTGCTGGCTCAGTTTGACGACCTGAGCGTCGAGACAGTCAGCGCCAAACCACCGCAGCCAGGCAAGCAGGGAGGCGTCGAGGACGATGTGTTAGATGAATTTCAGAATCTAGTCTCCCAGAGGCCCTCGAGTCGTCCTGCAACACCCCAGGTTTCATCGACCCCGACCAAGTCGCCGAAACCGTCAGCGGCTGCAGCTACACCGACTACTGACAGGTCCAGCGAGGACAAGATACAGACCAGAAAGTCAGGGGATAGCACAAGGGCATACCACAGGAGCATCACGCCCTTGTCAGAGATACAGAACACACCACCGAGCCCGGCACCACAACCACAGGCCAGCAGCGCCAGCGGCGGCGGCGGCGGGTGGTGGGGTGGTCTCTTTGCTACGGCTACTGCAGCCGTCAAGCAAGCTGAGGCAGCCGTGCAGGAGATTCGAAACAACGAAGATGCTCAGAAATGGGCGGACCAGGTCCGTGGTAATGTTGGCGCTCTCAGAGGACTCGGTAAGATATTTGATAGTGATTTCTATTTCAAGTATGACCTCGAAAAATCACTTGCTAACACCGAAGTCTAGGAGGTGAGCTACGCACCCTCGCACTTCCAACGGTTACATCCCTTCTCCATACACTGGCACCTCCAATATCAACTCATGAACGTCTCCAAATCCATATCACGCATGATCTCCAAGGCTATCCTGCTCTAGACCCCCTCATATACAATGTGTTTTCCCGAGTCATGGCCCAAGTCGAAGGAGGCGACCTACTCGTCATCCAACGCGGCCAGGAAGCTGCTCCAAAACGTGGTGAGGGTGCTGGTACCACTCAGTATAGCTCAGCAGGCTGGAACGATGGGCCATGGTGGCGCTATACTTCCCCAGGAGCAGGCCGTTCGATCTCCGCGATCAAGGGTACTATGGTAGCCAGCAAACTTGCGCGAGCTAGTGCGGAGTCCTATGCAAATGACTTCTTCGCTACTCGCGGTGGCATAGAAGAAGCTACTCGTCAAGCCTCCGAAATCATTTCCGACACCAACCCTGTCAGGAACAGTGATATCTTCCTCGCCATCCAAGCCATCAACCAGCCTGTATCAAATGATCTCTTCCAGGCCGGTGCTGGGCCCAGCGGAGAAAGCGACAAACCGGCCAGCGGCGTCGTGGAGGCTGAGCAAGAAACTGAGGAAGAAGTGTCCTTCGCCGTTTACCTGCATGATCCTATCCACGGCATTGCTTTCCATACCATCTCCCAGTCTCTTCCGCAGAAGTGGATCGATTGGCTCGACGCTCCTGCCCCTGACGCCTCCTCCGCGGACCAAACCCCAGCCTCTCAAGAAATGCAATCAACTGTTCCAGAAGCCATTGCGGAAATCATTGAGAGTGGAGGTGTCGATCCACGTGAGTGGGTAGCTGAATGGGTTGAAGATGCAATTACTTTGGCTGTAGGCGTCGTTGCTCAACGTTACGTGGCCAGGAGAATGGGTGTCGGTGCCGGTGGTGTCAACAAGGGAAAGATGAAGGCCGAGCAGGCGACTGTTGTTGAAAGCGGAGCCGGGGAGGTTGCAAGAGCTATCTAGAAGAGATAACCCGCCCTTTTTCCAGCCTAATCCCACCCATTATCTAGTTGGCGTTTGTTTTGTTTCTCTTGTATACTCCTGTCCGTTTAATGATTTTCGGAGTGTTACTATGCCTGTCGATAGTTTGATTGACGCCATTCATAATCCCATAATGACAATGCAATGTACATGAACATCATCCCATTCCGGCCCTTCGTGGGGCCCCCCATAAGTTCTCGGTTTATGAGTAAATAACGGAGACGTTCCCGTATACCATTGTTGTTGGCCGCATCAAATTCAGCCCTGTCATAGACCGTCCACACCTCCAACACCGCACGGAGTGCTGGCATAAGAGGTCATATCACATCCGTCAACAACCTGAGCCAGTTGTTCCCTGTATTCCGAATAATCCATCCCAGCATCAGCACCGGTGTGCATTACCTCATCCCCGCGCTTGCTCGTTTCTTCTGCGGCACTGTCTTTATGCCTGCCATCCGGTAAGAGTTAAACGTGGAAAGTGCAAATAATTAAGTCCCCAATCCTACGAAGCAGCCCTTCACTTCTTTGCGGCCTGCTTATTATCCCCCTTTTTATCCTTTCTTGTCCCCTTTAATAACTCCAAATGTCCTGCCTTTTCAGCAAGCAATCGCTCGGTCTTCCCCGTAAGGCCAGACGTTAATTTCTATTTTCGTAGAACAACATATATTAGCTCGTCACCCATCCAATTTCAAAAGAGGAAAAGGCTTAACCTACCTTGACCAGTTTCTGTTGTTTTATAAGTTTCGCTTTTTTAGGTGCGATAGTCTTTGCGCCTCGTTTTGGACCTAGAGATGTTGGCCTTGAAGGAGGGGTTAGTAGGAGAATATGGGTATAGTAAGGAATTGTGGCATAGCTCACTTTTTCGCCTGGGTGGGCTTAGACTTCTTGATTGCACCTTGCGCCATGGTTATCTCGTGAATTAGGAGTGTGGTTTTATTGTGTCTTTAAGCAGTTGTGAAGAAGACTCCCTCTCTTATCTTTTTCGATCTAACGTCTTGAAATTTCCATCCAATAAGCACATGCTTGGGCTTAGTAATAATACACGTGAGTATTTTCCAAAAAATATAGATCAGGTGACATAATGTGTATTTATAAGCAAAATACCTCCAAACATAGTAATTTACAGGCACAGATCTTATTACATAGCTGCATACATACTATTACTTGTACTATCTAAGATAGCCAATTATAGTGCTCAGAAACTGAATTAAAAGGTATATCCGATACTGTGTTTGATACCGGAATAAGGATACGGGCCGCTCTGAAGTTTATTGGTCATCCAGCCCCTATTTTAATTGGTTGAAATCCTTCAAATGGAGATGTAAGAGTAAGAAATGGGTACAGGAACGGAGTAGGTATCATCTCTGTGTGGATGACAGAAATATGCAGATTATCTGAAGTCTCAAGAAGGTCTGTCTTGTTTCCACCCAGGGTCAAGTTCCCCGTAGCATTACCAGACATTTCTAAGTCAATCCATGGAACATGACCTCCGAATAACACTAGTAAACGGAGTATTTATTGCTCGGTCGCTTCCATCTCGGCCTTTTGTCTTCAAATGAAATGAACCAAGCGCCACTCTATAAATAAACCAGCTAAAAAGGTATGGTATGCGAACAACACATCTCCGAGAGTCTCAGGTCTCCCACGCCCTGTCTAGATGTGACATAAGGCCAGGGACCTTATCATATATACGCAGTTGTCTACCCCTGGCTAGCTAGGTTGGATCCATACAGAAGGCAAGGAATAAGGTCCCCGCCTCCTCCATTGATAGAGGCTTGCATTAAGCGTTGGTTTAGAGCCTCTTCCTGCTGCCTGGCGCACCGGTGGCTGCTGATAGCGTTGGCTGTTTGAAAGCTTCAGCTTTTTGATTTTTTACATGAGAAGCTGTTGTCTTTTATCCCTTCACACTCAGTCATTCTTTTGCTCTATTCTCTCCTAGGTACGCTTGAAAAGAACAGATCTTGGTCGGGTGCTGTTTCAGCGTGACATTTCTTAAGCGGTTGGATAATTTAGAACAGAGCGAAAAAAGGGGAGAAAAATGTCGACTGCATGGCAACGAGTGCTGCGAGCGCTCATTGTAGCCTCCGTCATCAGCGTCGTACTCATCTACTCAGCTCGACAGTTTGGTCCTGCCTCTGTCCACACAGCAATACATGATCGCCCAGATGATCAGCATAAGGCCTTTCAGCCGCCGCCGCCAGCGCCGGATGGAGAGCCTCCTTTGATCTCGCACCCACCGCTGGCCGTACCAACACCAGCATCATCATCAAAAGCTGCACCAGGACCACCAGCTTCCAGTACCTCAGTGGTTACACCGGCAACAGCAACAACAACATCATCATCATCACCACCACCACCATCACACCCTGGAGAGGCCAATGAAGCAATTCCTGGGGTTCCTAGCAAGATATGGCAGACAGCCAAACATGCCAACCTTAGCAGCGAGTACACCGACATGAGCAATACGTGGATAGCGAACAACCCTACGTTCCGCCATGAGCTGCTCACCGATGAGTCGAGCGATGACTACGTGCGCAGCCGGTACCCTAACTCAAACATCGTAGCTCTTTACACAGGGCTCAAAATTCCCATTCTCCGAGCCGATCTGCTGCGTTACCTCATCTTGTTATCTGAAGGCGGCATCTGGGCTGACCTGGATACTACCTGTGAGCAGCCGGTAAACAGCTGGCTACCAGCTGAGATGCACAATGCGAACAGTACCGTCAAGGCTGGTCTGATTGTTGGACTCGAACCTGATGCCGACCATGGCGGTAAGAAGGTTCTGACCAATGCTGTTTTGGCAGCGCAGCCCGGTTCCAAGCATATCAAGGCTGTCGTGGATGATATCGTGAAGCAACTTTATGAAATTGCAAAGCAAAAGGGAGTCGGGCCAGAAGGGATCACACTCGAGATGATCAGCGATGTTGTTGAAGTGACAGGCAGGAAAAAGATGACTGCAAAGATCATCGAGTCTCTTTCCAAGACGCTGAATAAGGAGATAAAGGAGGGTGATCTAGTGAAGAACGGCAGCAAGGAGCCGCAAGTTCTCGACGACGTGATCATACTTCCCGTCCCCGCATTCGCCTCGTATGACGGCAACCCAACACCCCCCGGCCGGGTGCTTGTGACGCACCACCACGCAGGCACATGGAAAAGTGCTGCCGAAGATGCCAGGAAGAACCGGGAGAAGCAACTTCAGGAGGAGGCAGACAGGCTGAAGAAGGCCGCAGATGAGGCCGAGAGGAAGCAAAAGGAGAAAGCGGAAGAGCAGAAGAAGGAGGAAGATGCTTCGAAAAAGGCAAAGGAGGACGGGGAGAAGCAGCGTAAGGAGCAGGAGACTAGGGAGGAAGCGCAGAGGGAAGCCAGCGACAAGCAGCTATAATCGCCTTTCTCCTGAGGACCAAGAGATCAAGAGACCAAGAAACCGAAGCCAGCTGGCCATCTGTGTTTGATATATGCAGGGGTCCTATAATATTTACCAGGCATGCATCATCCGCTTTGGTATGACGGAGCATGTACACGCATCGAGGCCATTGTCCCATTGTCCTCCCCTGTACCACCACTGCATGCAACTCTGCAACGGCAAACTACTACTACTACAACAACTACTAATACTACTACAATTGCATGACTATCTACCATCAACCACAGTTCACCTTCCTCGTCCGCTTCTTCATCTTATCAACTCCATCTTATCTCCATCACATGACCGCTGACTCATCCCTGTGAAACATCTGAAAGTAAACAAACTTCCTTATGGAGAAAAAAGAAAAAACGACATCAAGAAGAGCAGAAAAAAGGACGACGAAGAAGAAACAAAAAAGTGGATGACGAAAAACAAATAGATCCATCGAATTTAAGAACTATGGTTTCGCAGCAGAACGTCTGCCATATGACTTGACTCTCTTTTCCCTCTTTCTTCCTCTCCCTCTCAACCTTTCTCCAGAAGGTTACCGTTTTACCCCTTTTCCCCCAGTCCTCTCCCTCGGCATCTCACGAGCTTCCGCTTGCTTTCCCATCTGACAGCTGCGGCTCCCGGCCAATCGGACGACCTGGCTGTTTATGGGTAGTGGTGCCAGCTGGGGGGGTGATGGAGACTGGCCGGACTCGCTGCTGCCTTTATTATCCATAACCAGAGCCGAGAAAGGATGGACAGGCGCCCAGAGATAGGAGACCCTTCGAGGTCGAGGTACTTTTATCTTTCTTCCCCCGTTGACCAGAAAGAACAGTGATAATAACGAGAATAATCACAGCATCAGTTCATTTCGCAGCCGATCGCCCACCCTGAGTCCCTCGCCGCCGTTTAACACCCAGAACCGTCGGCTACAACTGCGTAACGCTCGATTCAGGGGGGCATTGCTTGCCTCGGCCTCTGCATCCGCTTCAACGCCTGCCACTGCGTCTTCCTCCAGACAAGTGAGCCCTCCACAATCTCAGATTGAGACATGGAGGAGTGCACTGGACGGGATTGAAGACGAAGACAAAGAAAACGACTGGACATATGAGGGATTTCATACCACTACTGCCAGTACCATCGCCAGGGCCATCATAGCAGACGCTCAAGCATCCTAAGGGAGTTGGGAAACTCTACCCAGCGAAGGAGATCTCAACATACCTCCCGTGTACCGGTGACATCTATATTTCCGTCGCAGCCGGACTCGCCTCCATGGTCTGCGTCGTTTGGCCGGCCCAAAGCTAGCGTTGAGGATCTGGATCAGACCCACGACTTAGAGCCGGATCTCGACTGGGAAGAGAAGATGCAGCTACAGTCTACGAGAAAAGCGTCGATATCGTCGCAGAAGAGCAGCACTTTCACCAGTGTTGACCGGCTTAAAAGACCAAAGGGACGGAATCGAGATGGCCGTCGAGATGCATCCCAGTACATTGAGCATCTCGAGAACCAGCTTGCAGCCACACTCCAGGATGCCGAGTTGGCTGATGCAAAGACTCACGCTGCCCGATACAAGGCACTAAACACTGAGTATCGGATCCTGAGACAGGAACTGACTGAATGGGAGGAGAAGTTTGAAGCTCGGGTGCAAGACGAAGAGGCAGCGATTGCAGAGCGAGAAGCACAACTAAAGATACGCATACGAGCGTTGGAGCGTGAGGTAGAAACGAAAGACAACAAGATCAGAGAGCTCGAGTGGGAGGTTGAGAAAGAGGCCCAGAACCGACGGACGCTGGAAGCTGTCACTGCTACGAACCGTAGTCTGGAACGTCGAGTCGATGTCCTGACTGAACTGCTTGCTCAGTCACCTACTAGAGTCGAACTGCCTCCTCCACCACCAGCCTCAGCGGTAGACGGTGCCTCCTCGATGCCTGGCGGAGATGGTAGTATGTGTCGTACACCTCGACCCAAGTCAATGTTTACCAAGATACCTCTGTCTCCTGTTCGGCAGCCTCTTTTCCATCCCACCAGCGAGCCGGACGCTTCGTTCTCTGACCCGTGCAAGAGGGCTTCGGGGGATGAAGACTCTCGTTCCTTTGAGCTAGCATCTGTGGACTCCGGGTTTGATTCTGGCCCGTCACATTCCCAGCGTACTTCTCTTCTATCAAGCCAGTCTGGTCCTGGATCAGCAACGTCGTTCCCGTTATCACCAGAACTCCAACTGCAGGGGAAATTCCAGTCTCGAAAGAGAAAGATGCGCCGTTTCCCTTCTGGTTGCTGTACGTTGAAGCCGCTTGTCTTGCCTACTGCATCTGCTGCGCTCTCGCCTTATGCTCCTCCAGTAAACCCATCGTCGTCACCCAGTTCTATACAACAACAGCGCCTAGCACGGTATTTTTCAACGTTACGATACTCAAAGGCTGGATCGGGTTACGACGAGTCATTGTATGATGACGAGACGGATGGGGATGATGCCGATATGGATGCCGCGAGAGTAAATGCACTTGACTCGCTGGAGGGTAATACCGTGCACTACCAGTCCTTTGAAGAAGCGATGGCCGGCCATGACTTGTCCTTTGACGACATGGACGAGTTTGGACATAGCCCATTTGCCCCAGCTAAGGGCAACTCGCCAGGGAGTGAAGCAATAAGCTACGAAGGAGAAGGCACCGTTAGAAGACGACGCAATCGCAATCGCCAGACATCGACTCTACGCATCGACATAGGCCCTGTTAGCCGTATATTTTCGGCCGGACAACACCACACTTCGCTCTCATGGCTTGAAAAGTTACAGCTGTACATTCCCCAGCTACTGGCCAATACTCGAACGCTGACCTGCCGTATCTTGTCTAATGCATGGCATTCCAACTGGCGCCGGCTAGGTGGTATATCCTGGTGGTTCCTCGGGCTTTTGCTTGGTACACATACACGGAACCAGTGGGCCAGGTATTCCACCATTCGAAGTGCACGATGCGTTGGAGGTATGGAGAAAGCTGGCACGGAGGCGGACCGGGAGCCATCAACTCCTGTCAGCGTCAACCATCATCGACCAGACACTGCAGCATCACTTCCAGCCTGCTGTACATTCGCCATGCAGGAATGGCTCAAGTTCTCCGTCACGCTTGTGCTAGCCATTGGTCTCGCTATCCGTGACGGACCAAGCACACTGATATGTCCCTGTCCGCTACCAGAAAATAACATCAGCTCGGACCTTGACGCCGACGCGATGTTGGAACCAGAAGTTTATCCATCATCGCCCAAATACCAGTCTGTACGCACCAGCTTATCAGTTCTCAGCCCGAGTGCTCTTCCTAGAGACGATGAAGCATTTGATAACGGCCCTGACTGACTTGACCTGACCTGATCTGACCCGCCATGTGCAAGACCCTAATGATTAATGACCCTCCCTTATTATTATTTTTCCTTATTGTTCCACTTGTTTTCTCCCCCTTTCCCTCCTTTTTTATACAAGCCTTATCGCAAACCATCCCACTCTCGTGATGCATTCCCGTGTCTTATGAAAAAGAGAGCTACCGGAATCGTGTTTATAGGCGATAGATAACGTCAGACTAGCTCGGTCCTGGATAAATAGAGAAATAAATAATAGATTCATTCCTTTCTGCATGGATAATAGAATTATTAAAGTAATAATATAAAATTTCAGCCCTCTTTATAAAACTCGCCTCGTATGGAGATGCTGGAATTTTCATCCCATTGAATGGTCACATGGTATAATTATGGACCATAGTAGGCTCAGCCTCCCTTAGGTGTACCCGATGACTTTCAGAAAGCCGAGTTGAAGGTAATATATAAATACAGTTTGGCTCTATTGAACAATATAAAACCATGTATACTTATATACGGAGTATTACGATAGTATTTCAGTATTCAATATTACTAGTTTCTTGGCCTCTCATGCTCTTAATATCTGCTAAAGCATTCCAGCGCTGCAAGCTTCCAAAAATATTCTTTCCTCTTTTTACGGGCATTTATTCAACCACCTAAAGTACTCTTTCGCAAGCGGTTAACTGCTATGGGCTCTTCAGCGTCTGAATCAACTACAAATACTAGGAAATTTATTAATCATGAAATCTTTGGAGGACGCCCGAATATCGAAATATTAGGCCTAGAATCCGGCCATTCAAAATGTTCCTCACCAAAACTCTACGAGCTGAAAAGAGAAGCGACACCGAGATTTGGAATAGCCCGTTTCCAACCACTAACGGCACAGTCATTCATAACATGTCGCCAATCACTTCATCGGTCACTAGACCCATGTTGCTCTGATCCGGCTCTACACGACGTCTATGTTGTTATGAAACATGACATAACACATAGGGGGACTACACAATGTCGAAGACACGTATCAATATATTGCAACGGCTTTTACTACCACCTTTCAGCGCCCGATCGTCAGGGTGCTCAGATTGGGCCGAAAATTAATGGGTCTCGAACTGTCCTCAAAGTTACAGAGTACTCCGATTTTGAGTCGGAAGCACACCGCCAACTCGGAAAACACCCGGGGCCCGTCCTTGTTGGCTATCATGTCGGTCAAACGGACTATGACCCAGAACAGATCCAGACACTTAGCGAATGGATAATAGAAAATTTGGGAATTTACAATTTTTTCAGCAACAATTGCCAGCATTTTGTCTTCTGTCTTTTGTCTCGAATCATATGTCGTGGACGAAGAGACACCGTTTTTATGGGGTCGATGAAGCAGATTGCTACTCTCGCTGCACAAGCTCAGAGGGGCGAATTGATGCTTTTTAAAAATGGCTTCTATGAAGGTTTCTGTTTGTCGGGTCAAGATTGTGCACAGGCTCCTCTCTATTCAAAGTTGCCTAGACTCTGGACTAGTGAAAACAAATGGTACGAACATCCAGGAACAGCGTTGAAATATATGTATCATTGGGGAAAATGGGTTAGATCAAACCAAAGGATGGATTTGACGGCACATCAATTATGTGTTTTATGGAATCAGGGCCAGATGGGTTTGCTTCCGAACAACATTTTGGAGTATAGTGCATGGCGGCGCCAACTTCTCTTTCCAACAGTTACACGCAGGTTCCCAAAAATGAGACTGCTTCTATTGAAGTCAGGGAGTTATCCAGAAGATAAATAGAGTCAAATGGTATTTCACTTTGAATAAAATAACAAATTACTATTGATAGGGTGTTATAGACCATCTGTAGCACAGCCTAGATAAGTATACTCATTGGACAAGGTTTTGGAAGGGAATAACCCCAAGAACTCTCTAAGTCACGTAATAACTAAAGAGAGATCCTAAATACTAAGACTATAGATAGGTCTATAATAAGACTTTAGAAGAAAAGTCTATAATAGAACCTTAAGGGAAAGATTTAATATAAGGCGGTGAGGCTTATAAATACTATAATAGTGCTTAATAGTTAAATATATACCTATATAATATACACCTTTAGGGGTTTTGACTGCCGAATATGGCTCCTCGACGGCCGAATATGGCAGTTTCTGCGGCCGCTGCCTTTACTTTAACTTACTCAGCCAGCCTAAGCTATTGTGGTCACTGCTCATCTCTCCAGGCGCCGCATCTGATGACCCCTGCTCCTGCATTCTCAAGACCCTCATTCCCCCTGCATTCACCTGCATTCACCAGCATTCGAGAGGCCCAGGGCGATGGGCTGGTTAGCATGGAACCGCCTGGCGACATAGCATCAAAATGGAGCGGCCGCGAGAAAGGATGGCTCCCCCCATCAATATAAATACAGACACCCTCCCTCTACCTCTTCGTCGACGTTTCCCAGCAGCCAGGCACTTTCCCTTCCCCCATCCCCATGCATCTTATACCACACGCCTTGCGAGGCATCATTTCCAGTTTTTAACTTGAATATCCCCATATCCCTTCTTCGGGGCCTATTCGTGCCTCGCTGAGACGGAGCACCATGACCATCCAACGCAGCAGGGGCCGCCGCCGCGTATATCACTCTGGGCTCCCGAAAGGGCACTTCGCGAAAGTACGCGAGGAGTTCGCCCGGGCAGGACCGACAAAGAGGAAGCGAGCGGACAATTCTAAAATCGGCATACGGACGGTGATGAACAAACTTGAACAGTAGGTCTCCCCCGCCAGCCAACCCCTTCTTCGACAGGTATAGCTTGCTAAACGCCGACCTCCAGGTATTGCCCCAGTGAACTCAACAAAACACCAAGGGAGTGGATCGAGACGCTCGAGGCCCCCGATGCGAAGGCATTCTTCAGCTGGATAAGGCAGACCCACGGGACATCCATCAAACGAGGCTCTGTCCCCAGTAGCTATTGGCGCCGTATTATAATGATCCACCTAGAAGTTACGCAAAGATCAGTAGACAATACGATACAGGCCGACGTTGATACCGTGAGTCCCCCTCCATCGTCCAGAACGCTGTCATCGGACAGGCTAACCAAGGTAGTTTCTCGTTGAGCTCGTCGAGGAGCGGGGGCTCCTTCCACCGAAGCAGAAGGATACTGCGAACAAGAAGGTGGTATATAGAGTTCTTGCCGCCAACTGGACCCTATGCGAGAAAGTCTACGCCGACAAGAGGCAGCGACTGCAGCTATCGGCGGGAATCCTACTTGGCTGTATCACCTCGTTCCGCCTAGTGTCCCTCTTTGACACCCGCAAGGGGGAGTCGACGGGTCCGACGCAAATAGCGGTCATTCCCCCCACACCATCGAGGGTGGCGGGCCAGGAACCCTCAGTCGAGATGCCACCCACGTCCTCGAGGGAAAGGACAGCCGGCCACCACTCAAGAGTGGAATCATGGCTCGACGAATGTGCACCCCAAGCTAAGCGACGGAAGGCTGTTCCAGGAGCAAGCCGGCCGGAGACAGTCAGGAGGACGCTACCGGCCCGGGCAGCGCGTGGCACAGTGCGTTCCGGCATCCCCAACTCGGATATCGACCTTGGAATGACGGACTCCACGTCAATCAGTGGCTCTGGAGACTCCGTCTTCAGTGATTCCGCCTACAGCGGCTCCAGGAGCGAAGCGTTCAGTCTTACAGCCCCGATCGACGAAGGGCCCGCGATTCCCGTGGAAGACGGCTGTGAGCTCATTAACCCTGCACCGGACAGGTCCAATGTTGCAGCGGAGGGCTTCGATGTGACAGACCTTATTTCCGACGGCAGCGTTACCGATGACGGCTACAACGCGGGCCCGGAGGAGACGGGGGCCATCGTGTGGAGACACATCTCGTTCCACATCATCCGTGACCTGCCGACCAAACATACCGATTGCGAAGATAGCGCTCCTTCACACCAAGGGCGATGATGGAACCTATCACCCAGTGTACGACTTCTTCCCCATACCCAATTTTATCATATACCATGTCACTGACCAAGGTGGCTAGAAAAATATTTACCATAGTCCATAACCCCGAGCCTCTCTACAACCTCCTCGGACAGCTCCTCTTGATGGCTTTCAAAGATGAAGTCTTTGAAGTAGCATTTAGGAAGCTGAAAGACATCTACTGGCACGAGATCCCTACCCACAAGCCTGGCATACAGCTAAAAATAAAGAGGGAGAAACTAAACCTGCCAACATTCCGTAACCCCGAACGGACAGAAAACGGATACTGTACCCCACCCTAGATAGCGTTAACGGCTGCCACGTGAAGCCGCGGCATAAAGGCGGCTGGGTTAGCCGCCGGGTTGAAATGCTCTTTCGGTCAGTACATAGTTCGGCGCCTCGCAATCAACGTCCTTAACGGTAAGTCCTCCCAAGGCGGATAATACTCCTGGAAATTCGCATCTCTACCACATGTCGCCTTCCATCCATCTATCCCCTCCCCTTTGTCAAGCAGGATTGAGCCGCTGCGTGACCGCTACTAACCCGTCTCTAATAACCAGGAAAGGTGCTCCAACGTGTGTGCCTTCCACAGTAGGTTCACCGGCGGTTGGAGAACGCGATGCCGCTGGCGGATCCATGAACCGAGAAAATCATATACCAGCTCTCAAGGAAACACTACAGAACGTAGCGAAGTTTGCAGCGTACCTTCAGCCAGGGGGAATGTCAATCTGATTCCTCAATTCGAATGGAGAATTGGAATTCGACAATCTAAAAACCGCCCAAGATACAGTACTATGATTGAACATATTAGTTTCAAAGGACCTACTATGCCCAGGACAGCACTTGATGAAAAAATTGTCTAGCCGATGATTGTTCAGAAGGCCCAGTCTAATAAATATCTTAACCCAGTAATTGTCGTAGTTATTACTAATAGAAGCGTATGCACTCCAAACATATTGTAAACATGATGTCGGTTTAGGGGCCAATCAGTGAAACAGAGTTCAGATTTTGTTTTCCATTCCATTCTGATCGCCTCCCTTTAATCTTTTTTGGAAAATTATAGTGGCGATGAAATTATAGATAACAAACATTGAAAGTACAAAATAAACGAGGAAAACCAAAAATAGAGGAGCGAGAATGGAAAATAGTGCGAACCCATACGATACAGTATGGAAGACAGTGCTATCACTCAAATTATGAGTAGCTAGCCCAACTTGCATTGCTGTCAATACCAATGCAATATACACAGTGGTTCCGGCAACTGGAGCTATGTTTGCATTAAACATTTCCCCATAACTTTGGTATGGTAAACGATAGCCCCTTAAATAGCATCGTGCCCAATAAATTTTATTTAATCGGGAGAGCCGGAGTTCGCCGTAGTGGTACCGCTTGTTGATAGTTTCATCGCTCTTCTTTCTCAGGAGCTCACTGACAAATCCTGTCCACGAGTCCCAAGTTAAGTTTTCCGGTACCAGATGCTTGTCCTTGGCAATATGAAAGTCACTCTCATACTGAATTAGTGCGACATAGGAGAGTAAAAAACCAAACGCGCATTTATAAAGATCGATATCGTAAACAATGTTATCTTTCCAAAATTGGTAATCCAAAAGGTAGCGGGGAATAGGTTTCAGAAAAATTCCTCCGGGGGCGGTCCAAACTAGGTGCAGATCTGCCTGCTCGTTGATGATGATATTGCGAGAGCAGGCTAACTGGTAGCTTAGAGGTCGCGGAGGCATTGGCCTCCCGGCAAGCCATAGCCAGTCATCAACGTCGTTAAGTCGTTTGACGCTCAGGTCACCATAGATATATTCGACGCTAGCTGTAACAATACATGGTTTACCCTTTGCGTCGCTAACGCGGTACGACGCCGGGAGGAGAGGTTCGAAAGGAGAAGTGCCTCGGAACAAAGAACGCGATGTAGAACTTGTTGATGTCCATTGTATTGGGTCTTTCGACGATGGCCGAGCTGTTTCAGGGCCAGCCCTTGCAGTCACTTGACCTGTAAGGGAAGGTTGATTTTCTGCGTCGGATATTGACTCTTTCTTGAGCCTATCGAAAACGCACTTATCGAATGGAGGCTCCCGCATGGGCTAAACAACACGGTATTAGTATTAGTATGTGATCTGGCAGGTGAGGCAGGCTTTACGTACCCTTTCCATCTAGAAAGCGACAGGAGAATTAAATGGCTGAAAACATTCAACCCTGCTGGGAGTTTAATACATAAGGAAAGAGCCCAGGGAACTTCGAGCATTTTATTTTCTCAAAAAAGGAATAACTGCCAGACATGCCGTCAGGCCTGAGTGAAAGTTTCTGCTGGGGTTTGGGTTACGAAGTAAATCCTTCGCTTTCGGGTCGTAAAATGAAATGCCAATCATATCCTTGTACAAGCTCATGAGTTGTTACAGACCATCTGCGGCACAGCCCAGATAAGTACGTTCATTGGAAGAACAAGGTTACGGCACGGAAGAACCCTGAGCTACACCCTAGGAGAATCACGTGATCATGCACAGTCCAAGTTGCCAAGGCACTAGGTAGTCTAACGATGGACTGGGGATCACAGTCTAACGGTGGACTACGACTACAGTCCAAGGGATGGACTGGACGATAGTCTAAGGGATGGACTTACGGGAAACGAGGGGCATGGACTTTAGGACTTATATATATAAAGACACTCGTTTCACACCTTGATTTGAGCTATCTTCTGATACTCAAGATTAAAGCTAACTTTATAGTAAGCCATAGCTTTACAGCACTAGTTAATACACATACACTTCCCTTTGTCTATCTGATATCCCTCGACACCTTTATACTAGACTTGACCAGTGTACCAGCTTTATTGCTTATAAGACCTTAGAGAGTACATGCACGCTGAGCCAGACTTAGAGCTATCACCTTGAAGTCGGATACCGGAGTATCCTCCCTACAGTGAACGAGCACCGTTTATACTCCAACCCATCCACAAAGCCCCTTGAGTTACCCCTTTCCTCAAGACGCCAATCTTATATCCATAAGAGGCCTACCCTTTGTAGCATGAGTACTGGTGCTAAAACGCCTAATGCTCGGATCGGATGCCCCTACTCCACCTATCTAACCACATCGAAATGATCCGGTGTACGGAGTACTCCGTACTTAGGATTAGTCACTTCGTTTTGTATATGTGTTCCCACGATAAAGAGGGCTATCCTGCGTCTTTAAGGAGCTTAACAACTACCCTTCTGCTTAGTATTCACATACCTATCTCCTTATATCTCTACATGCTCTCTACCTGCCTGCTCTGTCTCCCTGCGCTGCCTACCAATATATATGAAAGAGTAGAGAGGTAAGGAGGGAGCTCCTTTGTGCTCTGTTGTGAGTAAGAATAGAATATATAGTTTGAGTTTTTTTTAGAGTGGGCGCTTGGCACGAGTAAATGAAATTGAAGGAGAGAAATTCGTACATCCATGTACTAATGGTAGGGAATGCTGCAGCTACAGGCGCTATCACAGGGATGGCCTGATGCCGGCGTCACGCATCGGCAAGAATATGAGAGCAACTTTTTTGCTTCTGATACTCGCTACTTCTGCAGGTATGGAGCTGGTATGGAGTAACGAGGTAATATAGGAGCTTCTGATAGGCTACATGAGCCACCGTATCTCGTAGGAGGTAACGAGACATGATCGTCCTTCTACATTAGATGTTCAGAGTAGCTGTTGGTTTATTAATAGTTAATGGCCTTCTACTTGCCTTTCTGAACTACTTCTTTGGTATAAAGGGTAGCTAGCTACTCTACGGAGTATACGTGCTTAACTTGGAGGTCTACTTGCCTAGTATCTAGATCTCGTTTAAGCGCTCATGGCTAGGATGAGAACTGGAGCTTCAGGGGATTGATTCTCTTACACCAGCCGCCGACTCTGCATGTGCATTTCCATTTGGTATATCAAGAAGCGATAATATATATTAGATGCGTGTACTCCGTAGAATAATAATACTTTATTATAATATATAACAACATCAAAAGCATATATGTATAGTGCTAGCATTAAAAGGCGGTAATCCACGTAATAGACGTCAGTGAGATCAAAAGGGTAGCCAAAGGAGAATAAGAATTAGAGGGAGCTTTTCGTATCAGCCATATCAACGACGGCTTGTCGAGGTCTTGCGGCGTCCGCAGTATCTCAAGGTAATCTTGCCGTCCTTGTGCGTCGAGACCTCGCAGTTCCCAGAGGCGCAGTCTTCGTCGCTGCGGCAGACGAAGCCCGTGGTGGCCTTGCCATTTCTGAACCAGTTATTCTCGACGCAAACACCAAGTTGACACTTCCTTTGTCGCTTGCATGGTGGCCCCGTCGGCAGTGGCAGAGCCTTTTCCACTTCTTCCTCAGTGATGGCTTTCCCCAATGCTTTGTATAGCTTCTTCAGATCTTTTCTTAGCTTCATGGTCCTTGCTATTTTCCCTTCCAGGGGACACCACTCGCAGTTCTGGTCCGTCTTGCAGGTGCGGCCAAACACGGCATCGCCCCGAGACCTGCAAGTTCGAATTGCTTTCTCAACGGTAGGGAGCCAATTGTCAGTTGGGTAGGCGCAAATCTTCCCCTTCTTGCAGTCTTCGTTGCTTCCACAGGCACTATTCTGGCACATCCCTTTGGCGCAAATATTGCCCTGGCATTGAGAATCTTTGCTACATGTGCCGTTCCTCTTTAATTTAAGTTGGCAGGTGTTGTCTGGCGCACAATAGTCCGAAGCAAAACAATGATCTGTTGCCTCGCAGTGACCACCCCTAGGTATTTTCTTCTTACAGTAAGAATCAAGGCAATATTCGTCCGGCCCGCACTGCCCAAGGTTGGTTTTCGTAGTGGTGAGGCCCAGGTTATCCTTGCCGAGGAAAGTTACCACTCCACAGCGTCCTCCGTCGCCCATAACGGTGCCTAGAAAGAGGGCGGTGGTGAAAAGGGTTAGATGCGAGCTTCATGCTGGCGTTGGCCGCTTTGCTGGCTGACCGGGGATGGGTAAATAGATTATGTAGAATCCGATGTTGGTGCAAGAAGGAGGGTTTCTCAGTGAATATGATGGCAAATGAACACTGATAAAGCCCGAGAGGATGGATAGAGGGAGAGAGCTGTCGACTTGAGGGGGTCTCCCTCGTGCTTTATATCTTGTTTCTCCCTATCTTCCCCCTTATCCCACGCTCCGCGACCTCATCGATCAGAGACTCTCCTCTCATCTCGACTATTGCTGCCGACGATCGAGTACTGGGTATTTCCGCTGCAGTGTCCAATCGTGCTGTTTGGTGGCTACCATTTCGGCGCTCTCTCCCACTACCTTCATGATTCGGGCCGATGGCTTCTTGCCGATGTCAATAGTCACCATCGAAACATCTCACCAGCACCTTCACTATCAAGTCCCAAATTTGAGGACCTCAGTTTTCACGTCATGGAGAGCAGCAGCTAACCAATGGAAGGGTATATATGACTTAATCTGCACTCCCCGTCTTCGGCGATCGTGGCCTCAGTGATCTGAGCCATCCATGGACCTGGGCTTCCCTCGTGAATAATAAAAACATGACCAGCTTTAAGCAGTAAAGGCGCCACGATATTTAGCCACATTCACTGAGCAACAACTGATTTTTCAGCAAACTTAAGTTAGCTATAACTATACTCACACGGCGATCATGATCGGCCATGTCTATCCTCAGCGCTCATCCTGTTCACTCCCGTAACTGACCGTGCTTGCTCCAAGCCATTCTCCCTGGTTAGTGAGCTGAAATCCACCACAACGGGGTCAGTTAATAATACCTTTTGAATCCGTAGCTATGAGCTAGATACCCCCAGCGGTATGTACTCCGTATTGGAATCCAGAGCTTTAGGTTGTACTCCAACTGGTTGCTGTTAGCGCGAATAACCGTCTCTCATAACAGGCGCGACATTATTTACGTTGTTGTGGTCGGAAGCACAAAAGAAGCCGACCAGCGAATGGGCTGCCGTATGCGTGTGGAACCATCTCTGGAGTAAGCGTGTCTTTTGTCTTTTGGGAGAAGGAGTGAGTTTTTAGTGATGCACGGAGCTCCTCCTGAAAGCACTAGACGCCGCCGAGATGATATCACGATAAAATACTTAGTGCTAGGCTATTCCGTTGCAGTTTTTGACTTCCATGAGGCAAAAGCGATGAGTGCGGGACCCCAGGATATCCAAGTCACCGAGTATCAAGCACTGGAGACCTGTACGCTGTATCTTGGGAGGCTGGAGAATTCGGCTATGAGCTTCGTTTAGTTACGCAGTCACTTCTTTTGGCACCAAGGGGCACACGTATGGCGATACGAAAGAGATCACGGTTATCTTACTCCTTTTTTTTTTAGCTCTCATGATCGAAGAGGGTGGAGACTACGTTGAGTTGCATTCATCAGATGAAGCACTGCTCAGCCAGGCATTTTAACCTATTGAAAGCGGTCAAATTATTCACCTAGCCAGAGTTGAGCGGGAACTATTATATAATTGATGATGCCTGCATATGTTACCAGAAGGAGCTAGTAGTTGTATATAGTTATAGCGTCACCCAGATGACCAAACCACCAGGTGATAGTTCCTGTTTGTGGAAGTTCCCGCCATTCGCCGTTTCGTTCATTAGCATTACGGCAACGCGAGGCCGTTTGGATGTCTTGAATAATGTAGCCGTTGTCATTATAATTACCTTTCCTAACGCATATAGGTGGAAATGCTTCACTGGAAATATCCTGGTCCCACCGAAACTGCCCAAGCGATTCAACTCGACCACATTTGTAATATAGCAGTAAGCCAATACATGGCTTAAGGACATGTTCCCGATCCCTACAAATTTGTACCCTCAGCAGGCCCTCTAGGGGGGCCTTTGTCAGATACCAAGTCGTGGTTGGTGAGCCCGTACGACGAGGAATACGGGGTGCGTCATACCTTTCGAATGGTGGCTCTAGCGTTATAGCTCCAGCACGGTGGCTTTTATCGCAGGTAACACCGAACTCCGAGATTTGTCCACGCTCTGGATCTAAGCCATCGTGACAAATCCCTGATATAACTCCATCATTGCCACTGACTAGAGGGTGAAATGCATATCGCCGTAGGAGTTCAGTGGGAATGTGGGGTCCAAATGTGGCGGTTCTTCCAAAAGTAGTGCGAATCTTTTATCAGATGAGCAAGATAGTTATAGAAAGACAAACAGCAGGCATTGAACTTACAACTAATATAGGACTAGAAGCAAGTTCGTGAATATTTTTAACTCTCCGGACCCAAGCCGCCTCAACCGATTCACCGATGTTTATCGGGAAAAATATCCAATAAATTGGCTTCATTTTAGTACCTTGAACCATTGAAGTAACGAACCTTTTGAAGGACTTTGATATGCCAGAAAAAGCGTAAAATCCCGCGTTTGTGGCGTGATAACAACAAACAAGGAGTCCTTTAATGCTGTTGTCGTCGAGTTTCACATAATCTAAACGGAGACCTTTCCGAACACTGTGTATATTCCATGGTTGGAACTTAGGTGGTGAGGGGGAGCTCCAGACTCTAGTCATATCTAGTACATGACCCTGAGGAGGCTGCACATTTCTAATGAATAAGCCCTATTAGGAAGTTAGCTACCCACAGATAAGCGAGGGCCGGGAGAAGCTTACATCAAAGGTAACTCGTAAATTCAGACCAGATTCTACGAGGTCGACAGTTTGATACCACGGCGACTCATCTGCCGATGGGTGAGGCTTTTCATCCACGAACTGCAGGCTGCGTACGCCAATATGATCAACGGATAGAACAAGACTTTTGACCTGGGCAGGTAGCTTCACATTCTTTTGACCAGAAGTACCTTGAGACCATGGCAGCGGCAGTACGTTGGTAATATTCGTAATGTAGGAAATGCCCTGGTACATTATGCTGCTGATGTAGATCTCCTTGCTCTTTGTCAAATTGAGTCGTTCAAGCTGACACTGGCGGAAATTCCGCAAAACTTCTATTAATCGCCGAGTCTCACCAAGTACGATCAAGTACCAGCACGGACCAATAAATCTCGAGATCATGGCCTGAATCTCCACGGGTAACCTTTCAAGCAGTTCTCGCCTGAAACTGCTCTCCAAAATAATTCTTGTGTGCTGACTATAGAGCCCTTCCCATGAAGACGCGGTATCAATATACTCTTGATCCAAGGGCCGGTATAGGGGCTTGACTGCGTTACCAAATCTCCGTATATCATCAAGGGTGGGTTTTGCTACTCCATAGCTGCTTTTTAAAAGGCCAAAACAGAGAATATGAGTCCAAAGTTTGGGGTTCCGGGTGTCTAGACACCGTAGACATGGCAGTGGGCATTCAGGTACTACGAATTTGTTGTTATTTAAGTCTATAAACATCGTTAGCAAGACCCAGCGTATTCGAGAACAAGAAGGGGGCAAACCGAGAACAAGTAACCCAGGGTTTGCCGTCTGTCTACAGAGAAGACATAAAGTCTTTCCAACATGGAGGTGCTCTTCGGGTTTATGCGTGGAAAATCTCATGGTATATAGATGAGCTAGTCAAAGGTTGCTAACTTCAAAGTTTCCAAGGCTGATAGAGTTTGCTGTGAGGAAAGGTTTGCAAGAGGCATTCTGAGTTCAGTTCTCTGGTCGTTGAAAGAACATACTGATTTGATGGCGGTTATGGAAACTCAAATACTAAGATTCTGGAGGGCGGCTAGCTAACTTGGCATCTTTAGCTAGTTTATAGCAGTCACATGCTTTAAAGCCGTGCGTTACCTAGGTTGGAGCACGGTTGGGCCAGAATTAGACTCGTATATCACGTGATAGGTAATAAAATGTCAAAGGTAATCTACGTTGCGGCTCGAGTAGATCTGTCGCATCGCAAAACTCTCCGATATTTTCGAATCCAGGGTGTCAGCGCGAAAATAAAGTCGTATCTACAAACGTCTAACTATTAAATAACACTATGAATGACCAGCCCAGGCCAAAAAATACCCCAGAACCCTATATACCGATATCTAAATCCGACATAATGAATGAAAGAAACGAAATGTCTAAGTTGATATAGTCGTGACACATTTCATTAATAAGGATCCCATTCAAGACGTTGTATCAACAGGAAGGATTCAACGGGTACTCCTCGCCCGACTTTCTTGCCGTCGGCTTCCCTGAAGAATTCCGGTTCAAAGCTCACCTCTGCCCAAGAGCGTATGAGGTGTCTCCAGTAACACGCTTCAGCAGCGGGGGTAAGATACTGCTCACGAAAGATCTTGACATTATTCCGTGCGATTCGTCTAGCATCTTCCTCATGTTCTTCAAGCCACTGGATTTTCTCATAAAGATCCGACCAGTCCCTACGCACCTCGACGTAGTTCTGATCTGGTCCCGAACTCTTCATGAGAGGAGACTGGTGCTGGATCCACTCGAGGCTGTGAGAGATGACTACCGAGTTGCAGCTCTGGAGATACTTCAAGCGGCCAGAGTAGCTATTTCCTTCAGTCTGAGCGAGGTATTTGAACTGGCAGTGTTCGGGCATGGATTTCAGATCGTTCTGCATACTTTCGTTATCGCGCCAAGTTATTGGCTTGATGTCCGCCCATGTCTGGTTCTTGGTGACTTCAATAAGCTTCTCACGGACCTCTAGGTCCATGGTGGCGCCTCGCCAGAAAAGCTTGGGTATTTTCTCCGACCACGTCCATGTTTGTTCTTCCTGTTCGGCTTTCATGCGAACTTCTTGCATTGTGCCGACTTTGGTCTCGGGCCAGGACCAGTATCCGAAGTCAGGCATGAGCCATAGATTTGTGTCCTCTTCGCGTCGGGCGTACCCCCACTGCGCAACCGAATCGACTTTGTCGTCGGTGTTGAAGACGAATTCTATATTTGGTAGTGGGTCGGGGGAGGAGACGATCGCGCGGTGTAGGGCGTGTAGAGTCGCATATTCCCGAGAGTATATAGTTCCATTAACAGCGATGACGTATAGCTTAACAGCGCGACGATTAGCCTCAATTCATATATAACAAAGCCGAAATCTCAATTTTGGAGTTGGTAATTCTTTCTTTCTTACCTGTTGGTCATATATCATCGCACGGATGTATCCGTTTTTAGGTGTGACAGAGTCGATTTCCGCAAACGTTATAGGGGTACCGGCCCGCACTTGTTTAGCGCGGTCAACCTCAACAAAGAGGTCTGGAAAAGCAGCCTGACATCGCTGAGAGTCAAATACCAGAGTGTTGGCGTCTCGCTTGTGATCCCATTGGCTTCCAGGGTCTCCTGCATGATGATGACAGCTGGTGGCCGGGGGTACAATTGGGCGGCTAGGGTAGCCGCACAGCTGGTACCAAAGTAACACCAGCGCTAAAAAGAGGCTTATAGCGATGAGGCGCCTGCGATGCTTTCGGGCTGCAGATACCGAATGGCCGTGAACTTGCGAGTCCATTTTGCGTGACTATATGATGGAAGACATCATTGTGAGGGAAGGAAATAGTACACCCCTAACTCAATCGCAAGATAATAACTGAGCAATCTCTGTAAAGGGGCTTGCACTGGTTTCGAATCTTGCCGCCCAGCGCTTATGTCATGTGACGGATGGCGCCTTTTGAGTTTGTCGCCAGCAAAGTGTGGCGCGCTTCTTGGCGGGCCATTTGCTCTCATGTTTTGTATCCTTTGCACGCACGCAGCAGTTTCGCAAGTGCTGTCTGGCTGTAATACGTGAACGGTAGGTAGGGAGTTTAGCTAAGCGATGGGAGGGATCCTGGGTATTTCTCGTTTAAGCCTGGCGACAAGTTTAAGCTTAACTTGGCTTCTTCGGATCCACGGATACAGCTTGGAATGTCTGGAGTTTCAGGGGTAGCTTTTTGCTCCTAACCACGGAGTACACCGAAGTTATTTGCAGCGCAGAGAAAGGAGCACGATGTCGACAAAGCAGCTGGATGGCCATCGTCGGAGAAAACCGCTCATGGTCAGCTGCACGAGTGTCTATTTCGGGGCAATCGAGCGAATGTTTTTTTTTTTTTTAGACTTGTATGACATCGTTCGTCATGGAAGGGCGCATGAAAGTGTCGCACTAACCAACGGCCTCTAACCGGCTTCTACTCCGCTAACTAAGCGATACCAGGGACACCCGGGTTAAGCTGTGTTAGACGCCCTTTCGAGAATGACAGACAGATTTTTTCTGGCTCCATGTTTTATCTATAGATATCCTGTCTTGTATGGGGTCGTGTGTGGTGCACTGCATGCATGCATGCCATGTCATGCTATCCCCGCTGTCTCAAGCATGGTTCCATCATCAGTCAGGATTAGACGAGATTCAGACGCATGTCAAGTGAAGTGTCATAATCAGGACATCTCATCTCATCTCACCCTGCAGCGGATGAAGCTGAAGCTGACGCGGGAACTAACAGGAAAGACAACGGGACGAGGTGAACTGTAGTTAGCCGTAACTGTAGTCGAACCACCTAGTGCATCGCATCCTAGGTACCGAGATTGTCATCTACAAACACTCATTTCCGTCGTAGGGTAGTCGGCAGCCGGCAGCCGTGCGCAGGTCGAAGTAAGTGCAGCTTTCCCCAGCCAAGCGTAGACATCTTTAAAGTAAAAGGTAAGGTGAAAAGCGGTAGACGGGCGGATACGGGGAAGGCACGTAATAGCGAGTGTTAAAGAGGCGGCGCAAGGGGAGATCCCAGACAGCAGCGCAGAAACGAAATAAAGCCAAGTCGCGCGAGTTGATTAATCGTACCGGCCAAGGCGTTTCAGCTGGTGAGCTTCATTTACCCGTCGCTCACTAACTGGCAAACGGCGAATGAGCGGAAGTATACATATACAGATTTACAAACGGCGTAAGAAAAACGATGACTTCTACACCGCAAGTAAGTAAGGAGCAGCGTATGTATGTATACGAGCAACAAGGAATGAAACGATAGTTGTGCATCGCGATCACCGCGGTTCTCCATACCGTAAGTATTTCCCGCTCGAGTCGACCCGCACCGTAAGGCGACAAAGGCAGTAAAGTATGGAGAGACAGCCTTGTGCCCAACCTGAACACCGCGGGGATGAGGATCAGTGGACAGTAAGAAACCTCAAGCTCGGCAAAGTTGCTGGAAGTGTTTTGAGATCAGCGGGATCGACAGGAGCTAGGGCAGCGATTGTTGGATGACGAAATGGACCATCTCATACAGTACACAACTACATGCTTACATGTGGGCAGAAAAAATAACCTGAAAAAGGGGCTTGGGGGATGGCTTGAGGAAGGCTGTTAAGGTTATGTCAGCGATAAGCTTATTTCGGGTTGTGTATCTTGGTTGTGTGACGGTGGCGTCGAAGGGCAGACGCAGGATGTAAGTTGTTTAGTATGTATGTAGGATGCAGGATGAGGCCGGAAGCCGTTGAAAGAGGTGAAACGGAAGAAGGGAAATTAGCCCTATAGCCGGCGTGATATGTACAGGGAAGAGAAAGTAAGAGTAAGTATGTAAGAAAGAGAAGAAGAGGCAGTGTGGTATTAGTATGTACATACAATACGGAGCGCATGGAGGATATATGATGAGGCAAGGAAAGCAGATTTTGGGTAGTAGAGGATAGAAAATCGATGAAGGACAGGCAAGCTGTGCTAGATACGGTAAAAGCGCTCGTAGGAACGGCGAGTAAGAAGAAGTAGAAGTAAAAGTAAGAGTAAGAGTAAATAAGAGACAAGAAGAGAAAAGCGGTTAAGTTGTTGTAGTAAGAGGGAATATCATCGCACGGTTCATGAGGCTGATCTTGGTATGTCTAATACATCTTTGATTGAAGAGAGAAGAAAATAGAAAAAAGGTGATATTAATTCTCTTTACAAGGCAAAAGCAGCGGCGACAACGAGGAGAGCGGCACCGACACCAGCACCGACGCGACCGGCACCGTTGTTGAATGGTGGAGGAGTGAAGGTGGCAGCTGGTGGTGGGACGGGAGCACCGGTGCCAGTTGGAACAGGAGCTGGGTTGCCGCCAGTTGGCTGGGGGGTGCCGGGAACGGAGCTGCCGCCGGTTGGGTAGGGAGCAGCAGTGGCAGTGGAGGTTGGTGGGCAGACGGAGGTGGTGAGGGTGATGACACCGCCGGTGGAAGCAGGGGCGGTGGAAGAGACGACGATGTGGGTGGCTGGCGCAGATGGCTGGCGAGTCCAGGTTGGCTTCTCAGCAGGCACGGAGGAGTGCTTTGGGGGGTTGTGTGGCTGGTCGTTCTTGATGCCGAAGTTGGTGCTGTACTGGTACTCGCCGGTGCCCTCGACGACGATCAGGAGACCGTAGGCAGAGTCGCCGACGAGAGAAGTGGATGGAGTCCATGGCAGGGAGCCGGTGTTGGGGATGCCCTCGGCGAGAGTAGCGACGGGCATGCAGTTCTTGGGGCAGCCGTGGAGGAGCATGACGGAGACGGGGCGCTGGGTGGTTGGCTTCCAGCTGATGGTGTAGGGGCTGCCGGCGGGGACGAGCTCCTGGCTGCCTGGGGTGAAGATGGGGTTGCCGGATGGCGACTGGGAGTAGTTTGGAGGAGTGACGGCAGAGGCGACGGCCGCGAGGGCAGCGACGACGAGAGTGAACTGCATCTTGTCTGGTCTTGTCTTTTGGTTTGTTGGTTTTTGGTAGATATAGATCTGGGTATCGGAGAAGATTGTAAAAGGGTATTAAAGACGCGGAGAGACGTAAAGAGCAGAGCGAGCGACGAGTCTAACGAGTGACTGAGTTGGCTGACTTGAAAAGGAAGAAAGGAAAGAGAGAAAAAAGAGTGCGAGAAAAAGGCAGCGGCCGGCGTAGTTATAAGTTTTGCCTAATTATGTATACGAAGACGAAGGAGCAAGACGAGACGAACGGAGAAAGAGGCTGAGGGGAGACGACGAGGGGGGCAGATCAAAAGTGTTGGTGCAAGCGCCCTTTTTTTTTCTTTTTTCTTTGTCTTTTTTTGCTTCTTCTTTTTTTCCGCGTTCGCGAGGCTGTCCACCTGTAGCCGCTTCGGGCTTAGCGCAGGTTAAAATGAGATGGGGCTCCATCGGGGGCGCCAGCCTATCAGAGGGCGCAGAAGGAGACCTTGTCCCTGGCATAAAGTGGGGCCTTACTCTTAGTCTGACTTAATAAGAAGGAGCCCCCTTGCATAAACTTTGATGAGTCGCTCTTTCCTCATTTCCTTTGATACACACAAACACACATTAGGACATACACGATACATAATAAATACATATTAAATACATACATAATAAATACAACAGAGAGAAAGAGAAGGAGGAAGTCGATGGTAGAAGGAGAAGAGACGAAGAGACGAGCGAGAAGAGAGAGAAGAGAGAGAAGGGAGGAAAGAGTAAGTGAAGGAGAAGACGAGAGAGTCGCTTGGTCGCTCGTCCGATTGGATGGCGGGCATCCTTCGCGCCCAGCATCCGGTTGGTTCCCAGGTGCCCTGCCCTAGCTTAGTTACTTCAGAGTGCGCAGCGCTGCGCAGCCAGCAGTTGGTTCTTACTTGCTTTACGTACTTTACCTAGCAATGAGGCAGGATAAATAAAGAAACAAGCAAAAGGGGAGGATACGACTCCATCGTCGCATGAGAGGGTCGTATCACTAACTTGTCGGAGGATGGGATCACGCATGGATTATGACTATATTGCCCGTTATTATTCTCGATATCAGCCGCAAGAAAGTCTAGAGGATGCGATCAGATACGAGAGCGAGCGACGGATATAGCGAGGGCATGAACTTGGACATGAACTTGGATATGAACTTGGACAAGGATGCCGGCGCCAAAGTGAGTCACTGAGTAGAAGTAGTAGTAAGTACTCCGTCGAAAGTAGTAGTAGATGGAGGAGGTGGAGGAGCATGCATGAAGCTCCGATGCATGAGAGGTTACATGGCAGCTGTTGCCTTGCTTTGACCTGCTCTACCTTGCTTTGCTCTCGCATGGATGGAAAGGTCATGCGAACAATAGCTATAATGCTCGGTGACTCCATAGTTGTGTTGTTATATGCTGACCTTGCTTGGGTAGCTATGCTGCCTGGCCTAGATAGCCGTTGGTTCCGTGGCCTGCGCCGTTTCCAGGGGTGGCGGAGAACATGCAGTACTCCGTAGATGCTGTCTCCTGCTCTCTCTCCTGCTATCTCTCTTCTCCTTCTTCTGCTTCTTCCTATCAGCTCACTTCCACTCACCTTCACTTACCTTCCACTTCCTTACGGAGTCCAGCTATGCCACAGGCTCACTAAGAGCTCCTGCGATGCGGCTTTAATCTTAACTCGGTCCAGTCAGTTCAACGGAACAGCCAGCGCCAGCGCCAGCGCCAGCCAGCCCAGGGACAGGGACAGGCACGTTTTCCCTCTTTTCTTTTTCGCTGCTCTTCTTCTTCCTTTCTTCCTTCTTTTCTTTTGCTCCATTCTTTGCTTTTGCTGCTTGCTTGCTTTTATGATCCCCCCTGCTTGCGCTGCTGGGCCATGTCTATATGTTTGCCTGTATATACCTCTTTCCAGACACCGCAGGACCTGACATGGCCTCCCCCAGTACAGGCGCTCCGTGCCCGCCCTCCGAATGACGATGGGATAGTTAAATGCTCGATGGATGATATCGATGTCGACATCGCGATGGTCGGTGTCTCACCCCTTCCGTGTCTGTCGGCCTGTCGGTACTTGGGAAAAAGGGGGTCTCCGGCTGGTAGAGGCAAGCAAGTAAATAAGTCCCTTCCCTACCTTTAGTGAGCGGGTGATGTGATGGGAAACAGCTTGAGCTTGCCAATCAGACACCCATACAGGGCATCACCCTCCCTCTACTCCATACATACGCTGGGTCGAGAGGGGAGCCAGGAGGAGGTCAGGGCACACACATATACATAGACAGATCATTACGTGCATGCATGCACCTTGACTGGCGATAACTTAGAAGACTGTCGTTATTACTGCCGGAGAAAGGCAAGTAGGTGGAGGAGCAGGACGGATGCCACGGCCGGCAAAGGAGGCGCTCTGGAAGATGCCTTGCATGGACGCCGTTTTCTCCCTTCTCGTCTTTTCCGTCTTCTTTTTCTTCTTCTGCTCCTCCGTCTTCCTCTTTCTGTCCGTCTGTGTGTCTTTTTTTTTCTCCGAAGTTCCCGCTTGGCTGGTTTATTTTTGGACACGGACGGATAAGAAGGCAGAGGCAAAGGCAACTGTCGGATAGCCAGATAGGTACCTGGGCTAGTTGGCTCTAGCGGTCTCTGTCTGGACCAGATGGTGCGAACGAACGAACGGCCACGGTCGGCCAACTCAAGACAGAGGCTTCAGGCTTCAGACTTCAGACGGTAGCAGAGGAAGTCAAACGTAAGTGCCGGATGGTGGCTGATTCACGTCGACTGATGAAACACATGGCTTCAAGTAGCTACCTCGTTAGAACCGCCATGTCATATTTTTCTTTCTTTCCTTCTCGCAATGTCGGCTGCCGTTCGAAGGGGAGAGGGAGAGAGAGCGAGACGAGGCGGTTGACTCTCTCAAGCGACTTGACCTGCCTTATTTATATTTCCCACGCTCAGGTTCGTACTCACTGGCCTGACCTGCTAGTTGTAGCTAGTTGGTTGGCTGAGAGCTGAGCTGAGCTGGCAGATGTTTCAAAACAGGTGTCTTTAGCCGCTAGGGTTGCGACAAAAGCCACGAAACAACCAGTCTGAAGCAGCAGAAGAAGAAGATACCCCAGAAATAGACGTCTTGTCTCGCGTGTCTACCTGCGCCCTTTAGACAAGCGACAAGTGACGTGTCCCCCTGCAAAAGCTGCCTGTTCCTGCTTTGGAGAGCCGAGTACGGACTCGAGATGCAATCCAAACTCCGGAGTACAGAGTATGCACGAAGTCGAATACCCTGATATCGGCCATCTAGAGACGATTTCGTCCTCTATGACTCTAGACTCCAGCGGTCTAGCGGATGTTCGACGTAGTTAAGAGACTGCGGTACTCAGAGCCAAGTACGTTGTCTCAGAAACTGGTTGGGATTGAGAGCAGTCTTTGAGTCGGGGCCGATGGATTGGTTTATATATTTGTACGTCTGATTCACTTTGATCAACCGGTTGAATGGAAGGGAGAAAAGGGGGAGAGTACAAACCTGGAAATGGCAGCCAGTTTGAAATACTGGTATACCGTCTTCAACTGCCCTGCATCTGCATGGCTCGTTGTATCACCGAACACTACACTTCCGCAGCAGGTCAAGTCGGGTTTGCAATAATAAGCAACGACGTACTCCATCTGTCTTGCAAGTAGTTACAACCAGTCCTTAATCAGTCCTCTAGCAAGAGTGTAGCTGTCTATCTATATATACTCCGTAATTATAACCATAATTCGGATACTCGGATGAACGCTCCCAGTCCAGTCAGTAATAGTTTATCGAGACGCCTGCAGGTGTTCGTAGAGAGCCAACCGGGGTCCTACTCGCTTAACACCACCAACGACATCAGACAGTAGACGATAGCATTAATTAGACACGGCTTTACAGCTCTTCCAGCATCACAAAGACCGACTTGCTTGAGAAAGGGCTTCATCAAAGGGCGGGAAAGTGGACAGCTTGCTCGTATAGGCGACGTCCGTATCCCCCAGCCCTGGGATCCTCCATCTCCACCAAGCGAAGAGCGATAAAGAGCACAGATGCGAGGAGATCTTCGCTTGCTGGAGAATAAAAATATCATATCATCTCTTTCCAAGCCATAATTCATCTCAAGTCCACCAGACTATGCCTTGAATGTTCATTTTTCTTCATCCCCTTTATATTATCGCCCTACGCCCTGCAACGCAAACACGACGATAACAACGACAATAACGGCTCCAGCTTATCACGAAGGTCGCCACGTCCCGCAAGCGGCTGTCTTGTCTGTCCCTCCTTCTGGTCGTCTGACCAGCCCGTTGCGGCTGTTGCTGTTGTTACTGCTGCTGTTGGGCAGGACGTTACGATGGATATCCCAACCGCTGCTTTGACACACTACACACAAACCACCACTCGCCCACATCAAGACCCTATGACGTCGACGCTCTCACCGAGTTTACGGAGTACGGGCTAGCAACCTGGGGTAGGAGCACCAACGACTCGACATGCATCAAGTCACATCGTCTGCACGCGATCTAAGGTTAAGCATAACACTCATATGATGCTTGCGGCCACAGCGAACGGGCGACGTGGATCCAACGGGGGTTGCTGGCTCTGCACATTAAGCCGCCCTCCCGTCGACGATCATTCCAGTTTGACCTCAGTCAACCACACATATGTACTACCGGGGCTGGCTACTTGGATAACCATCACATCAAAAGGGCGGGAACATGGTACATCCCTCCGTATACTTCTTATCCACACCCAATTTCTACTGCTAGTCCACCGCAAAGGGAAACGGACAAGAAAACGGAGGAGTCTTGGAGGGCGTGAAGAGGGTACGGCTGGAGGGCGCGTGACGCCCTGCAGAAAGAGTGATCAAAGACGAGGACCGAAGCATGAGATTGAGATGAGATGAGAGGAGAGGACGCCGCATATGGATGGAGGAGGCAAGAGGCAAGAGACAAGGAAGAGAGACCCAAAAAAGGGAAAAAGCTGGGATGACGTTGAAGCTGGGCCTGGTAGCTACCCTAGGTAGGCATGGCGATCCCCGTTTCCATCAACCCCTGAAGATGATACAAGTTTGGGGCGGGCGCAACAAAACATCTTGTTTCGACAATGATGTGAGGCCTAGAGCCGGCAGATGGGAGGTGTCTGTGATGCTCGTGATGCCCGCTGTGATTGATGGCTGCCATGCCATGCCCATACCAGCAGTCTTCCCAAGATTCTCCTGTCCTTCCACCAGGTCACTCTGTCCAAAATCCGGGGAAAAAGCCTTGAAGAATCCAACCACCCCAAACCTTCCAACCAATCTGAACGACTCCATGGAACAGAAGGGCCTCGTGCCACCCTCGGCTGTCCGATACAATGGACACCAAATGTTGGTCGACCCGGTTTTATCAGCCCCATAGCCAATAAGGCGGCACATATGCACGATGATCTGCAGCCGTAGCAATGTGATATCCATCGACATTGATGATATCCAGACTACCCCCCCGGCCCACGCTGGATCTGACATCGCACACACGACTGGCCATCCAGCTTTCAAGTCGATGGAGATGTGTTTTGTTTTGCCTTCTTTCTGGCTATTGCCGATCGTTCTTGCTTGTGAAACGTGGGTCATTATGAGGAACTCGGACCTGGTGTGGAAAGCACATAAGTAGGCCTGCGTCTCCTGTCGATGAATTTCGATACTTCCCTTTACATCCCAAAGAAACTCAGGAACATCACCTTAATCCTATATACACGCACACACATAAATATACACATACTCGGTACCTGATTGTGTGTGTAGCCAGCATGAAGTTTGGGGCTCTCTTTGGGCTCTCACTGGTTGGCCTCAGTGTTGCCTCCCCCGTTTCCAACGTTTGGTGAGACTCTCTTTTTTGCCGCACCTGAAATCTTGATTTTATCCTCTTTTTTCTGCCTCAATTGTGTTACTGATTATGAATAGGAAATCACCTCGTGGTGCTACTGACGATTTCATCCGTGGTGTTAACCTGGGAGGATGGCTGGTGTTGGAGCCATGGATCACGCCTGGTATCTTTGAGGAAGGAGGTGATAGCGCAGTGGACGAATGGACTCTCAGTGCGGCTCTCGGTGATCGTGCCCATGAACGGCTAAAGCTGCATTGGAACACCTACATCGACCAGGGCGATTTTGACCGCATCAAAGCTGCCGGACTCACCCATGTCCGTATCCCAATTGGATACTGGGCCGTCGCTCCCATTGAGGGAGAGCCCTTCGTTCAGGGCCAGGTAGATATGTTGGATGCTGCTGTCGACTGGGCCAGACACTCTGGTCTCAAGATCAACGTTGATCTCCACGGCGGTACGTTCAAGGCTGCATAGTATCTATATTCATTGGTTTTATATTTGCTAACTAACTGATTAATATTTAGCCCCTGGATCTCAAAACGGTTTCGATAACAGCGGCAAACTCGGCCCAGCCAACTGGCAAAAGGGCAACACCGTCGAACTCACCCACAAGGCTCTCGATGTCCTCATCGAACGATACAGCAAGCACGAAGGTGTGGTCGACGAAATCAACCTCATCAATGAGCCATTCCCTCAGGCTGGTATCCAAGTCGAGCCCCTCAAGGAGTTCTACCGCCAGGGCGCCGCCAAGGTCAAGAGCGCCAACCCCAACGTCGCCGTCGTCATTTCGGACGCCTTCATGGGCCCATCCAAGTGGAATGGCTTCGACCTCGGAACCAAGACCATCATCGACACTCACCACTACGAAGTCTTCAGTGCTGAACTCGTCGCCTGGAACATCGACCAGCACATCAAGGCCGCATGCGACTTCGGCACCAACGAGCTCGCTCAATCCTCCATCCCTGCTGTTGTCGGTGAATGGTGCGGTGCCCTGACCGACTGCACCAAGTACCTCAATGGCCGCCACGAGGGCTACAGATACGATGGCACCCACAAGGACTCCAACCCTAGCACTGCCGTCCCCAACGGCTGTGCTCGCAAGACCGAGGGTTCCGTTGCCCAGCTCACTGATGAAGAGAAGGTCAACACCCGCCGCTACATCGAAGCTCAGCTTGACTCCTTCTCCAAGGGACACGGATGGTTCTGGTGGACCTGGAAGACCCAGCGAGGTTCTCCTGGCTGGGACCTGGACGACTTGCTTAAGAACGGCCTTTTCCCACAACCTATGGATGCCAGGATGTACCCTGGCCAGTGCAACTAGATGGATAACAGGGCAATGACTGGCGCAGGACGGACGTCTTTCCCTCCCTTCTTTTACACTTCATTAATTCCTTTCTTAAAGTATAGGCATAGGTTAGCATTGGATATTGGGATAATGTTTATATCCGCCATCCCCCTTTTTGTGTACGGTAATTAAATTAATTAGTACAGTCAAATAGACAAGACAGATAAGATACATTTTTGACCAATCAGTTTAACGTAATATTCTCAGTCTTGCTTAATCTTTGTATACCGTGATACTCTACTATAGTTTAGTCTACCAATCGACGCAAGTAAACATCTTCTTTCTAGTTAACTCAGCATTTATTCTTTCTTTCTTTATCCAGGGTATTCGTAAGCCTTAGCTAAACATCGATAGCAAACGGGTAGAGGGAAAAAAGGAAAGAAAACGGGGACGATATTGGGTGGTGGCGGTGGACGATAAGCGGTGGACAGGGGTGGATACACAGTTGCCTGTTTTTAACTACGATTCCAACTCCAACTCCAACTCCAACCCTCATCTACATAATCCCCAACTGCCCAAACCCATTAACGACCTCCCTGTCAACGTTAACTAGCCATTCGTCTCTAAACCGGTCGGCTCCTCCACAAACCTGTACCAAAGCCTGGAGGTGCTGCCCCACATACTCTCGCAGATTGATCTTGTGAATTGCGTCCGAGGCGCTCCATGCGCGTCTGCGTGTCGTCTCAGGGGTTTCGGACTCATGGTATTTCTCGCCCTGGGTGTCGTTGGGGTCGAAAACAAGGTAATCGCCGTGTCGGGCGTCGCCGGGGTTTACTTCAGGACCATCAGATAGATCGGTTATCAGATCCGTCCAGATGGTTAGGTAGGATTGTAAATTGTTTAGTAGGTATATTGGAGCAGGAGATGAGGGGCCGTTGACTGTTAGTAAATGCGTGAGGGCCATGGTATGCAGTTTCTTCTTGTTGACGTCGCCGATGTTGTCGAAGTGGGCGAACCATTCGTTTAGTATCCAGGTGAATGTTTGTTCTTCGGAAGAAGTACTGGTTGCTGATGTTATTGCTGATATGCAGTTGCGTGGGGAAGCGAGGGCAAGTCGTGCAAGGACTGATAGGTGGTCTGTTTCAGCCACGCCGTAGATGGTGGCTTGCCTCCGGTTAGGTCCCGTTGTCTGGCGGGACTGGTGTGCGCCATAGAGGGCGGAGAGGAGAGTTTCCATAAACCCAGTGCTTAGCATGGACTTGGCGATGGCGCCGTACACATTCTCGCTGTTCTCTTCGGATGTGGATTCGCCAGTTCGTATGAGTAGTTCCGCAAGGTGGGGGACTAGGCCGATCCGGGGAGTGACGTCTGGATTGAGGAGGTTGTTGAAAATATCGAAGAGGCGGAACCGGACGTTTTCGTCAAGGAATTCCTGAGGTGCAAGGAGGATGTAGGATTCTGTGACCTCGAGTGCCTGCCGTACAACATCGGTGCCGATTTCAAAAATTGGGAATATAGATGGGAATAAGGCGAGAATTTCAGGAGATGGTGGGTTTGGGGTTTCAGATAGCACGGCAGACCATAGATCTAGAGATTCTTCGAGGAGGTAGATGAGAGTTTCCTAAACCGTTATGTTAGTATCACCGTTATACCTTGTGGGATGGGGCACCTCAGGACATACTGAGCCGGGTTCAATGGATTTTTGAATAAGGGGTAGTATCATAGAGTGGTATCTGGTTGAGCTTTCTCTCATCGAGTGTATTAGGGATGACAAAAGTGTTAATATTGCCTGCTTCATTAAGTGTTCGTCACCAGATTGCTCCCAAAGTCCCGGTAGAAGGGATACAATCTGATCTGCGAAAGGGGTAATCTATATGAAAAGAAAAAATGGTAAGTATAACAACTAATACCAATCCATCGGGGTTACTAATACTGACCTGCCTTTCCATCTTTACTACCGCAACTCTTACAGTCTCGAGTAGTGCCATTTTAGTCTCAGTAAGAGAGACCTCTTGGATGAGCTCCATAAGACCTTGTAGGATAGGCGTTGAAAACGGTTGGAATACTTCCGCAGAGAACTCGAAAGGATCTAGAACCTGCCTTAGCTTCCGACCAGCCGTTACACGAACGACTTGATCGTTCACGGGATCGTTTTTATCCAAAAGATGTTGGAAGATGCCGTATACGGATGCCTTATCGATTTCACTTGGTTTCACTGGAACCCATTGCCCCAGTATGACAGAAATTCTTCGACGAAGGATATTATAGCCTGGACCCTGGATTTGAATTTCTGGTACGAGTGTAGATACCAGGAAAGTGTTGAAGTCTAAATGATTCTCCAGGCATGCAGCTGCAAGGCCAACGGCGGAATAAAGGGAGTCCTTCAATAAGATATCCTTATTCTGAGGGTCTGTTGCACTGTCAGTTAGTTTCACTCCTATATTATATAATATGCCACGGGTTGACTTACTGGCATAAGTGTAGAACACATTGAGCAGTTTTGGTATGAGCAGTTCTTTGAAATTGATAACCAGATCAAGGAACAGTTTCTCGGCACATGACCGAATTGAAAACTCCCAGGCATCTGTGATCTCTTCCTCTTGCTTCTCCCACTCTTCGGGCTCTTCTTCCCATTCTCTGAGATCGCTGGCTCTAAAGACAAAAAAGCGAGTGACAAGCAGCTCCATGACTTGAACCACGAAGTCTTCACTGAAGATCTGGGACTTCATCAAGCCAACACATTGATTCTTCTCCTCCTTGGCCTGCTGATTTTGGTATCTGAAAGTATTCGTGGGGTAGAATGCAATCTTTGCACATGCTCTAAGAAGTAAGAGGGCCTTGAGACCGAGTTTTTCCAAAAGAGGCCTCTCGTCGTCATCTGCATCGCCGTTCGCCCCAACTTTGAGTTGAGAGAAATCTGTTGAGCCGTAAGTCTTGCCTAGCTCAACTACCAACCCCCAGTAAGATTTAACCATATCAACAGCCTGTGGAAGCAGTCCAAAGGGTGCTGGGTGGGTTCTGGCCATTTCCAAATGAAGCTTGGACAGCTGGATGATGTGTTTCCCGATCAACTTTTCAACTTCTGAAGCCAGCGTAGACGACCGTCTCTGTATCAAGGAGTAGAAATTTCCGAGATGTGTTAGCGATAGGGTCCAAAATCCTGAGATATCCGACTCCCTATTTGGATTCTCAAATCCAGCGACTATCAACCGTCGGATGACTTTCAGGGACATAAGGCTCTGCTCAATTGCCTCTAGCGCACCGCCTTCGTCGTCTCCGCCGGATTCCAAAAAGGTACCCCATTTTTGCACTTTGTCGACGTATATGCTTGCAACAATATGTAGCAGCTCTGGAGCAACAGATCGTAATCCCCTTCGAGTTTTCTCTAGTCGTCCGGTGGAGAGTTCCTTAATTACCTGGAGGAGGATAAGGAGAGTGCGTGAGAGTTGAACTGGATTAGCACCGGGCCGGATGGATGCGCGAAGATGCTCTATTATTTCAGATATGGCTTCTGGCCTGTATGTAGATTGTTAGGCATGCCCTCCTTGCAGTATTAATGAGGATATTAAATGCTCACCATTCAACTGGGAATTCTGCCCGTAATATTTTGGCCACGATCAGGGCATTTTGCAAAGCAAGTTGAGATGCAGGTTCAACAACTCCAGCTTCTATAGCTCTTCTCTTGATCTGGTTTTTCTCATCCGGCTTGATAGCACTGTAACAGGTTTTCCCCATATTAGCACTTCTTCCACCCAAACTAGATAATCCGTCATAATAGGTACAGGACATACTTGTTTGCTGTCTTCCGCCAGTATCTGTCTATACCGTTCTTTAACTGGATAATTGAGAGGTATCGGACTTCGAAGGGAATAGAATAGTCGGTAAAGACATCCTATCAAAAAAGAGAGACGAAGGAGAAAGGTCAGCCGCCAATCAATGTCAAAACAGGAAGAAGGACGATGTACCTGTAATAGCGAGTGAAAGCCTGGCTGCTTCCCCCATTCCTGGAGCTGTGCTGTTCCACTCTGGCGCTGATGAGGCAACGAAGAGCCCGCCGTCGTCAAGGCATGTATAACGTTTTGAAGGGTCAGCGGGTTAGCTTCCCCTGGTACCTCGATAGCTACTTGCATGATGCCACCAAACCGAAGCAGAAACAGCTGTGGAAAGAGGAAGACTGTCAGGCCCTAGAGAGAGCGAAAAGCTCATGTCAGGATGTCTCTCTGGAGTGGCTGAAGGAGTGATGGTTTCTTTAATGCGGAAGACAGCTGAGGAGAAAGACGGTCTCTTCTTTTTTTTGATAAGTTAAATCAATGTTGATGAACCCCACCATGTCGATAAAACTAAACTTTTAGGCATAACTAAAGAGCAAACTAGAACTAACTACTAGAGAGACCCTGACGATGCGGCTCTGTGGGGGAAGACACAACACACTCAGGGGCAGTAGAGTAGTAGAAGAGGAAGAGATAAGCGCCTATAGCAGAGAAAATATTAGGGCAGTTATGGTTCCTCTTTAGCCGTTACAAAAGGCTCTTTAACTAGCTAGAAGGTCAAACGGAAGTTTTGTTCATTTCTACCTAAGCCAGGATATGGCCTCTCTCTATGCTTGAACCACAACGAAGTATTTACACATCGATGATAGCCATTTAATGTTTAAACATCAAATATATCAATCAATTAGACCAATGGGCGAGCTTGAATAGAAATATTCAACTCTCTCCCTGTTTTAAACATAGATTTGGGCCTATCACGTGATAGTTGAACCTCGGCTCAAGCAAAGTTGCTAGTTTAGTTAAGCAAGAAGGAGGAAGCAAGACGAAGAAGATACGAAAGGACGAAAGAGAAGAGAGAAACACAACCTCGACGCTTGACGGAGGAGATACAGAGCCGGTTCAAGAGCGTAGCCAGGCCGAAGATGCCCCCGCGATGACTTCTGCAAACTTCGCTGCAGCACAAGAGCGTGTGTTGGAACGGCGCCGCCAACGCGAACTCGAAGCTCGAAATCGGCTCGCAAACAGAACATCGCGACTCCCGGCCGCAGCCAGCACCCTCCCATACCCGCTATCCAGCTTGCCTACTCGCGGACTGGAGCTATGGGATACCCTCAGAGGCAGAGAAGGGACGAGACCGGCCTTCCGAGTGGGACAGGTTGACGCGGAGCTGCTGGATGAAGAACTTATAACCTTGCTCAAGGGGCAGGTCGGAGAAGGATTGAAATACTTTGGTGTAAGGGTCCATATTCAACCAGGAGAAGAGACACTAGAAGGAAATGATGGCTGATGTTATTATAGCGGTATATGCGGGACGACTGGAACCACGAGATCGATCTGGTGCTGCGTGCGATCCTTTTCAAGCTGTCTGTATGGGACCATAATGCCTCGTACGGCGCAGCTCTCCAAAACTTGAAATACACCGATAGCAGGAGTAAAGGGCCTGTACACTCGGATCCAACCAGGCTTCAAAAATCTTTATATGGACTGTTGACGGTCGGCGGGCGTTATGCATGGGATAAATGGGAAAGCTGGATAATCCACCAAGGGGGAGACTATGACGAGGTGCGTTGTATACTTACTACCTATCTCGACATTCAATTGAGAAAAGTAACAGCAGACTAACCCAGCTCCTCTGATGACAGCCACCGTCTTCCAACACGCGAGCACTGTCGAAACTTACCTCTCTCCTCTCCACCGCCCATTCGATCGCCGCCTTTGCATCCTTCCTCATTTTCCTGGTTAACGGCCGATACAGAACACTAGTCGACCGACTGCTGTGCATGCGCTTAACCCCGCCGTCGATGCAGGTTAGTCGAGAAGTATCATTCGAGTATCTTAACCGACAGCTCGTCTGGCATGCTTTTACAGAATTCCTTCTGTTTCTGCTACCCCTTGTTGGAATTGGGCGCTGGCGCCGATGGGTATCTCGAGCCTGGAGAAAGACCATGTCCTCGCTTCGATCGAGTGACGACGACGGCAAGGAGAAGAACCAGGGTGAACTTGGCTTCTTGCCCGAGAGGACATGTCCTATATGCTACCAGGCGCAGAACCCTACCACCACCTCGGAGAGTGATATTATGGGGCCTGGAGCTGCGTCAGGCGGTATCATTGGCTCAGCGCAGACAGACATCACGAATCCCTATGAAACCGTGCCATGTCGGTGTTTGTACTGCTTCACATGCATTGCCCAGAAGCTTGAGGGGGAGGACGGAGAGGCATGGACCTGTCTACGGTGCGGTGAGCTTGTGAAGCAATGCAAGCCGTGGAATGGAGATGTGCTGGAGGAGACTCAACCGCAGGCGCAGTCTGCTACTGCTGCGACTACTGTTGTTCGGAAGAACGTCGAGTTTGCTGTGGTCGATAGCCATATTGTGCCCTCTGACAACGGGGACGACAGCGACTCAGCGGCTCATGCTGATATTGATGACGGAATGAATGAAACCAGCCCATGGGCGGCTGTCGGCGTTGAGGAAACTGATGACACCAGCGTTCACACCGAGCTGGACTATAGGAAGTAGTAATATCTGCCTGTTTCAGCTTTTCTTCTTTTCTTTTCTTCTACTCTATATATATACTGTATAATTTTTGCAATATTGATACCACACACCCTTTTTCAAGCCCTTTCTCGTCCTATAGCTATTGGCCAGTATTGCCGAACAAATGGTGCTCGAGTATGCGTATGCATTGCAGAGAGAGCTACGGGGATTCTAATATATGTGTCCAGCAATAGCTCCTAGCTACAGACAAACATACCTAGAATCAATGCAGCCTCATATATTAGATCCAATATAATATTAATTACCCGTCCAATGGGTGTCCCAGCGCGCCCTTGCACCGGCCAGCATCTCTCTCCGTGACTCCGAGGTTGACCTTGACTCTGACCAGAGACTCGCAGGTTATCAAAGTACCGACACCGAGACACGACGCCCTAGGCGCACACCAACTCCATCAGGGCACAGCGTCAACCACGAATCAGGCGCCAGCTTGACCCCGGGCCTTGAGAGTGTTTCTGGTAAAGAGTCTGATCTACAATGATCCAAGGGTCGAGCAAGCCAGGCTGCAAGATTTTCCGTTGGCAGGGCAAGATCTAGACAAGCCGGCTCGCTGCTGTCAAGGATAGCCGAACGTCATTCTAGGACGTCATCTTGAAGGCTATCCAGCTTTTTCCTTCTTGGTTAGGGGGCGAGTGCCCTGTCCAATTAAGCAAAGCTCCAGACGCTGACTCTGCGGCCGGCTGGGTGTTTATAAGTGAACGGGCTGGTACTGCTCCTTCGACAGAGATTACCCTCCCTCCCCTACGATTCTGCAAGACATCCAAAAGTACCGATACCACCTACTATAGGACTCGACGTAAACCGACCCAACTCTCAAGGATTAAATTTCTCAATTCGACTTTTTTTTGCAATCATGCCTGACGTTTCGAGCTGTGTGCGGACGGCGCAGGTGATCGGGCTCACTACATCTGGGCTGATGGCTGGTAAGATTGATCTAGCAGAGGATAACGAGAGGACGACCATAGTTGTAGATGCAAAAGAAAAGGAAGAAAGGAAAAGAAACAGCTGACATGAAGCAGGCTCGATCATCACCTACTCTACCGCGCTGATACCTACCATCACTCTCCCTGCCGGCAGCGGCCCAGCCAGCTACGACTCCAACCACAAGCCTGGCAGTCCCATCTCGCACGTTGCCACCCAATGGCGCCACGCCTATAACATCGGCAAGACCTCGATGCCCTTCTGTGCCATTGGAGCGGGCACAGCCTACGCCTACCTCTCCTACGTCTTCCGCCACGAGACGACCCTTCGCGCAGCCGACACGCGGACCTCCAACTGGTACCTGCTCGCCTCGGGCCTGGTGATGTCCATCATCCCATACACGCTGCTGGTGATGAACCCCACGAACAAGAGCCTGCTTTCGCGCGCCGAGGTGGCGGACGCAGAGGCCATGACGGGCGTGTCCAAGGCAAAGGAGGCAGCCAGCAAGGCCAGCGGCGACTCCAAGGCGACCAGGGAAGACGTCGAGGTCTTGAATTGGCTCAAGGGCTGGGCTGAGTTGAACGTTGTCAGGGGACTGTTCCCCCTGGCGGGAACGCTCGCTGCACTCTATGCAACGCTCTACTAGTTAGGCCCTGGCTTCCTGAGGCCTTTCTACCTTTGCCTTTCTGCTGCTCCTGGTCGTCCCGTCCCATCTCCCCTGCCGTGCCATGTCATGTAGTAACGGGATGAACTCCATATACCATTACCATTAATGATGCATAATAACAGTAATATCGGACATGGCATCTATATCGCTCAGCGTTGGGTTTTTTCCGGGGCCTGTCTGCCTGTCTCTTGTCTCCCGCTGTCCCTGTGGTCAGTCAGTGCCAGTGCCTGTATGTAACTATAACCAATATAATAACCAGCCAGGGCCCTCGGTCTGCAGGAAGCTGTGTTTTCTTTTTTGCTCTTTCTCTTCCATCCTCCTTCTTCTCGTCTTCTGCAAAACAGGGACTGCAGAGTCGCACCAGGCCTTAAATTCTTTTCTTCTTCTGCCTCATCTTCGTCTGCTTCTTCTTCCTTGATGACGTCCACTCGATCGTGCATGGTCATGTGATAGGCAAAACGCAGCAATAACACAAGCCGCTTTCTTTTTCCTTCAACATCAACATCGACACATCAACAGCGCCAGCAGTGAAAGAAAGCAAAAGAAAAAAAGAAGGCGGATAAACGAGATGAAACAAGACGGGAGGAGGAAACCAGGGAAAATGAGGCTGTAGAGGTCGTACGATCACATCTGGCACGACCACCACCCACTACCCACCACCCACCGACCCGCGCCAGCCACGGCTATTGCTATTGACCACCCTTACGCCCCTTACGCCCCTTCCTCCCCGTCCTCCCCTACAACTGGCCACGGCATCGCGGGGGAAACTCCGAGTCGCTGCGGTCTTTTCTCCCCTCCGCGATCTCTCTCTGTCCATCTCTCACTAACGCCTGCAAGTAACAGCCTAGGTAAAGCACTTTAAGCCTGCTTCTTCATCGAAAGTATATGTACAAAGTAAAAGCGAAAACTGCATGCACACAGCTGCAGCGCGAAGCCAATGGATCCCTGCCCACGGCCAGCCAGCATATTAGGTAAAAGCAAGTCGAGTTTAAAGCGCAGGAGGTAAAAAGGAGAAGACCACAGCAGTGTTGAAACACGCCAATTGGCCGCTTGCCGGTTTCTCGCTGACTTGTCCGACCCTCAGGCGTTGTTGCGGGACCGGGGTAGAGCCGGTGCGAGTGTTGCAGGCGAGTTGATGCCGGCGAGTGTATTATTGTGTGTGCCAGGGCAGTGTCTACGTAGTTGGCTGGGTGCAAGAAGTGCAAGAACCGCACGGCGTATACAGAGAGATATAGAAAGTGATTGATGGAGAGTATGTACGTATGGATGTATGTATGAAGAATGTGAGTGAGCAAGTGATAGAGCGAGTGCGGGCGAAGGCTGCTTGGTTGCTGCTTTGCCTGCTTTGCCTGCTGGGGCGCTTTCTTTTCGAGCGAGCTTGCGCAGGATAAAAAAGCAAAGAAAAGAACTGCAGCAAGGGCTCCCGCACTTCTTCTGTGGCCGTCCTGACCTCCGATCTCCCTCTGAACACCGCACTCGGTTTCCTTTTTAATTTTTGTTTTCTTTGCCCTGGTCGGTTGTCTGGTGGTCGGCCGTTGCTACTGCTCCTTCGACATATATAAAATAGCGAGCGAAGGAGAGAGAAGAGAGAGAGGGAGTAGCCGTGCTTGAAATACCTGATATATTTTTCTTCTATATTTCGTATATATCCCGCCGCCAGCTAACACCTGCTTATAAAAAGCCGTTCGAGTTTAACATCCCTGTCCCCTTTTCTTTTCCTTATATAAGAAAGAAAAGAAGGGAGAGAAGAAGAAAAGGAAGATAAAAAAAAGGAAGAGACAGTCCAGGCCCTTTTCTGCACTCGATTGTAAAGCCCAGCATGAGCTCTACAGAAGTTAATGGCTTCGGTGGTGAGAAGCGGGAAGAGAAATACGTCCGGTTCCCCTGCGTTGATGACGATGCGACTCGGGATGGCAAGCCGGTGTTAAACAAGTACTCGCATTTCATCACAAAGGACCATGACTTTCCCGGAGCTCAGGTACGCATTTATTGCCATAGCCATAGTCCCTCGTCAAAATAGAGAGAGGGGAAGCGAGAGAGAAGACCCTAGGACCGAGCTGACATTTTGGGAAACCACGGTGTAGGCCATGTTGTATGCTGCTGGGGTACCTGATAGGGAGAGCATGAAGAACAGCCCCCAGGTAGGCATTGCGTCCGTATGGTGGGAGGGCAATGCCTGCAACATGCATCTGCTGGACCTTGGGAAGACCGTCAAGAAAGCCGTCACTGGCCTGGGGATGCTGGGCTGGCAGTACAATACAATTGGCGTCTCTGATGCCATCACCATGGGCCATGAAGGTTCGTTCAAATCAACATATACACACACATACATGCATATATTTACATACATATATACGTATATATGTACATATATGTATATCCTCTAAAATTAGAGGCTCAGGACCTATGTCGAACTAAACGTTAGCCACTGTCTAGGTATGCGGTTTTCCCTACAGTCAAGAGAGATTATAGCCGATAGCATTGAGACGGTCACCTGCGCGCAGTACCACGATGCCTGCATCGCGATTCCCGGCTGTGACAAGAACATGCCGGGAACCGTCATGGCCATGGGACGCCATAACCGACCATCTCTGATGATCTACGGTGGTACGATCCAGATTGGCTATTCCAACGTCTTGCGGCAGCCAATCAATATATCGACGTGCTACGAGGCTGCGGGAGCGTATGCGTACGATAAGCTCAAGCAGCCGGACGACGGCGGCGACCAGAGTAAGACCAAAGACGAGATCATGGAGGATATCGAGAGACACGCCTGTCCCAGCGCCGGTGCCTGCGCGGGCATGTTCACGGCCAACACAATGGCCACTGCTATCGAGACCATGGGCCTCTCCCTGCCCGGCTCGTCGTCTACTCCGGCAACGGCCCCGGCCAAGATGAGAGAGTGTGTCAAGGCCGCGGAAGCCATCAAGATCTGCATGGAGAAGAACATCCGGCCTCGGGACCTGCTCACAAAACGGTCGTTTGAGAATGCGCTGGTGATGACCATGGCGATGGGCGGGAGTACCAACAGTGTGATCCATTTCATCGCCATGGCCAGGTCGGCAGGCGTGGAGCTGACCCTCGACGACTTCCAGCGCGTCAGTGACAAGGTCCCCTTTATCGCCAACCTCTCGCCCAGCGGGAAGTACTACATGGCCGACCTGTACGAGATCGGAGGCACGCCGTCCGTCCAGAAGCTGCTCGTAGCTGCCGGCCTGCTGGACGGAGACATCCCAACAGTGACGGGAAAGACACTGGCCGAGAACATTGCCTCTTTCCCCTCCCTCTCACCGGGACAGGATATCATCCGCCCTCTCGACGACCCGATCAAGACCACCGGACACCTGCAGATTCTGAGAGGGAACCTCGCTCCAGGAGGCGCCGTGGCCAAAATCACAGGGAAAGAAGGCACTAAATTCACCGGTAAGGCTCGAGTGTTTGATCGTGAATCCGAACTAAACTGCGCACTCTCCCGCGGCGAGATCCCACGGACAGAAAATCTGGTCCTCATCGTCCGGTATGAAGGTCCCAAGGGCGGTCCCGGCATGCCAGAGCAGCTCAAGGCCAGTGCTGCTCTCATGGGCGCCAAACTGACCAACGTCGCCCTGATTACGGACGGACGGTACTCGGGCGCCAGCCACGGCTTCATCGTCGGCCATATCGTTCCTGAGGCAGCCGTGGGTGGTCCCCTGGCCATCGTCCAGGACGGAGACGTCATCACCATCAACGCAGAGACGAACGAGCTTTCGATGGCCGTTTCTGATGAAGAAATCGCCGCAAGGCTCAAGAACTGGACGCCGCCGGAGCCGCGAGTCACTCGAGGCGTCTTGGCGAAGTATTCTCGATTGGTTGGAGATGCATCTCACGGTGCCATGACCGATTTGTTCTGATCGAGACATGGGTTGCAGTGATCTTTTGCTTTTCATTGCTTGCTTGCTTGCTTTCTTCCCGGTATGTCCCCTTTTTAGGTAGTTGTCATCACATCATAGAACGTCGAAGGGAGCAGTTCATCGACGCAAACACAAAAAAAGAGAGATATAAAAAGAAGATAGAAAATAAGATGAAAAGATGAAAAACCCTCAGCTGAGGTTTTCTTTGGACGAGGGAGACGGCGTGTGTGGTGGTGGCATGGAAATTCCGGCCTTGTCCATGTCATGTTCAATCAGGGGTTGTTGCTGTTGATCGTATTCTCCAGAGAAGCCGTTTTGGCCGCCCAGTGCTTTAGCAGCGATGATCCGCGGGTATAAACAGAGTACTCTCATGGCGTCTTTGCCCTTGACGCTAGTAGGCAGTTATCTATCTCTTCATTCGGCTGTCTTTCGTCTTTCGTCTGATATATCAGTCATTCGACCAACGCACACGGTAGAACACGGTAAAACAGTAGCTTTTAACTAGTCAATATACCCAACGCAAACAGCGACAGACTTACTGGTTTATATCCATAAAAATAGGTAGCTAGTTTTAAAAGACGATGACTGTTAATTAAGGCTGAAATTAAATGAAAAAAAAGGAGAGAATGACGTCGTCTCTAGTGGAGTTTGAACGCGATGCCGATTTTTCCTTCGTCTTCCTCCTTCAACCGTTTCATGTCCCTAAAAAATAACTAGTTAAATATCTTACGGTGGACAGTCGGGAGTGAACTCCTGCTGCTCTTATATACTCCGTGTAGCTGTATCCTTGCTAGCCGACCTCAAGAGGAAGAGGTCACATCCGACCTGCAGCAGCGTTAGTTACTTACCTGCTAATTATGTATGTATGTGACCACCAGTTCGTTAGCCAACGAACTCCTTAACTAGCGAGCTAGCTAGTTAAATAATTAGTTAACCAGCTAGCGAGCAGCTTGCTCAGCCTGTTACAGCGCAGAGTGCGAGCCTGTGGCACAGGCACAGGGACAAGGAGCTGAACCGCGGGTAGATACATATCCTCCACCGAGCCAGGCTGGTCGCCCCGGGACGGGTTTGTTTCATAAATAGCTAGAGAAGGCACCAGCTGCTGGACGGTGCTGCCTCGCAGTCTCTTCACTTGCGCTTTTCGCAACACACTCACTCGCCTGTCAACATCGCCCACTCTTCCATAACTACCTAGGTACGGCCATGGCTCGTTATTCGCCGTCTGCCTGCGATGCTCATCAAGCGATACCGTCGTTCTAACACAGTGACTCGTTGGCTTGGCTCGTGTTGACTACCTGCAAGGTCGATCTGGTGGTTGATATCTACTACATACGACTGACTCCCTCTCTATATACAACAAGAAGTTTCGAGCCTCATCCGGCGGGGATCAAGCAATAAGAAAAGCGAAAGTTGACTTGACGTCTCTTTCAGTCAATCATACAGACAGAGTTGCTCTGGATTACCCTGGACGTAACTGAGGCTGCGGAAGAGTCGCGGCCATGGCAAGATTCCAAGTGCCGAGTGTCGGGCTATCGGCCTGTGACCATCTGCTGGAGAGCATACGGGAATCGTGTTACTACCAGACATCGCGGCTTATACACTTCATTCTAGACTTGAAGGACCGGCTAGATCTAGACCGCATTGCGAGCTTTGGCTGCTATTACCAGATATCCGCCACCATCGTCCTGCTTCTTATCGGTGGTGGGATAATCTCGTGGAGGCTCATGAAGCATGGCCCTGATGGACAGCGCATCCTTAACTCGAGGACCATATCCATACATACCCGAACAAAACAGCAGCCGGTTGATCCTGCATGGATCAACACTGTACTAGGACCAAAAGGCTCTAGGCTGAAGCGCTTCCCCCCCAGTACGTCGGTAGCTCATTAGAATATTGACTTTTCTCTATATAATTTCTGACAGACTTAATGATATAGGGGACGATGATAATGATCCAGGCATACTGAAGAAGCACTCCTCTTACCATTCATATACCACTTCAGTGGCTACTTATCCTAAAATCCGCACATTCTACTACCCTCATCCACATACAGAGAAGCTTCCCACAGAACCCAAGGTCCTCCCACTGCTGGTATTCATCCACGGACTAGGTGGGTGTTTGGCACAGTTTAACCATCTCCTGCACAGCATGATCACCATTGGCCCGTGTTTTGGCATCGATCTCCCTGGCTGTGGGCTGTCGACGTTTGCTCCACGGAAATGGTCGGCTTATTCCATTGAAGCCATGGCCGAGCTGGTAGCCAATGCGATCGAAAAGCAGAGAGACGCTGCTCGCAACCAGGATGTTATAATCATTGCACACAGTATGGGCTGTTCCGTCGCGGCTCTGATTGCCTCATCTGACTCTGGGGCCATGGCCGAGGTAAAAAAACACATAGTTGGGATAGTTGCCATTTGCCCCGTTTCCGAGCCTCCCGACAAGGAGACAGTGAAGCTGTCTAGAAGGCTTCTATACATACCAGGCTTCATATTTGACATATGGCGCTGGTGGGACCGTATTGGAGGGCATTATAGCCCGAGCGTCCGAAGACTTGTCAGTGATGAAGCTGACTGGGAAACCCATGATCTCCAATATCGGTATAACAAGCTGAGTCGCACGCCGGTATGGAGACGGATGGCATGGGGCGCTCTTCCGAGGTATAATAAGTCTGGCCAGGCAATTAGCGGCATCCCTGGGAAGGAGGTATGGGACAAAATACATATCCCCCTCTTCTTCGTTGGAGGAGAGTCAGACGGTGTCACAAAACCGAAGGAGGTTTTGAAGCTCCTGCGTTATTTTGACCACAAAGGAGCCTCAGGTGGTGATACTGGTGGAGCAAGTTCCGAAATACAGGGTGACGAACTCCCCACTGGGGTGCTACTCCATAGTTTCGCTCAAGTGCCCGAAACAACAACTAGCCGGCGAATTCATCATGAGAATGCAACCTGGCTAGTTGATCCAAATGGCACTCAGGCCGTGGACACCTACGTGTTTCCGGCACCGGCTTCTCACTCCTTGCTGTTTGATCGCAGCACTTACAGGACGTTATCAGGCCATATTCAATCCTTTGTGGCAGCAAATATTGACCTCCGTTTAGGCCTTGGGTGGCAGCTGCAGCATCTGACCACGTCTGGCAAGTGGGACGTGAAGAATCTTGCCAAATGGCAGGCTGTGACTCCCGTATCGGAGCCAATAGGGCGTACCTTTGTTGCCATGAAGACGTTGCGCGAGGTAGACCCTCACCACTCTCCAAAGCCGTTCGTTGAGGACTGGCGTGGTAAGATATACGCTGTTATTGATATCAGCCATGAAAACCCAGTGTACGACTACTCACAGCTAGAGGTGAACGGAATCAAGTACTTCAAAATCCCCACAGTCTCGAAGATCCCACCGTCAGTGGACGAAGTCCGAGAATTCTTCAATATCGTCAAAAATCTCAAAGAGGAGATCATGTCTGACGCACTTAGGCGGGTAGGGAGAGTGAATCTTCGAAACCCTGACCTCCCGAAAATCGCCGTCCATTGCCATTATGGCTTTAACCGAACAGGTTTCTTCATTGTCTCGTGGCTGATTGAGGTACATAACTATCTGATCTCAGAGGCCCTGGAGGAGTTCGAAAGGGTCCGCCCGCCAGGAATACGCCATGAACACTTTATAGACGCCTTGCATGCGCGTTATCATATGATTGATCAAACGCGCTCACGGCGTGAAAATTGAGAGATACTATCCCGTTTTTCTCCTGTTTAAGTCCTGGTTTGCTGTAACCGCGTGAACCAGGAGCCGCGTAACTCTTTATGGCCCTATGATATATATAATTAGTCTATAGAGTTCAATTCTACATCAATTCATGCTATCAACATCGCAACCGTTGTTGTTTTTGTCTTCGACTTTGTCGTTGTCGTCGCTTTTGGGCCAAAACAATATCACGTGATATCCACGTGACTTCATAAGCGAACCCACTTTTTTCTCTTTCCACACAAGGTCAAGTCTTGGCGCACACCAAAGCGAGAAAAGCGACTTTGGAAATTTCACATCGAAATCTGACGATATTGAAGAACCGCTCCGTGTGTGCGCGACGACAACAACGACAACCTCACGCCCTCACCCTTTAAGACACCGAGTCCTTCTCCCTTCTTCAACCACAGTTCCTCCGGTTCCAAAGTCGCAATCATGGGTGGCGTTACTGTTCGCGATGTCGATGTAAGTTGGCTCAAACAAAAGTCGATGGTGGTTCTTGTCGTCTGCTGCGTGGGATGGATTGTCGTTCTCGGACGGTTGGCTTGCATAAATGGTTGCGGTGATGGTTCAAGAACATGCGAGGAGTCGCCGGTCGCCAAAATACATTTGTCGAGCTGGCATGAGTGTGGTGGACGTGTACGGACCTATATACTTTGATCGATTCACCCTTGGGGTATGGATATAGCTGAGGAATCGGGCGCTTCAAGATAATAATGGAATATGGATATTTGAGGAGAAACCAGCAGACTTGTCCAACTCGTGGAAGACCATACTTGCGCAGCAGACGACGGAGGGAACTGGGTACATTACACATTGTCTGAAAGATAACTAACAATGTTTCTTTTGCTATGCAGGCTCAAAAGTTCGTCGAGGCATACTCTGCTTTCTTGAAGAGACAGGGAAAGCTCCCAATCCCAGGTTCGATGCCTTACATTACATTTATCTTACGGGAGATGTGTTAACAGTTTTACTAGGATGGGTTGATACCGTCAAGACCTCCAACTCCAAGGAACTCCCTCCCCAATCCATTGACTGGTACGATTTATCCTCCTAATACTCAATGCCCGGTTTAACCACGCCACGACCACTCTATCATTGCGCTGGAGCGTCTATATAGTCTTAGTACTTACTTCTTACAACAGGTACTACGTCCGTGCTGCCGCCGTTGCCCGACACATCTACATGCGCAAGACCGTCGGTGTCGGCAGCCTACGTAAGGTTCACGGTGGCCGCAAGAACCGTGGCTCCGCTCCATCCCACCACGTCGATGCCTCTGGATCCGTTGACCGAAAAATCATGCAGTCCCTTGAGAAGATCGGTGTCCTCGAGCACGATGAGGACAAGGGCGGCCGCAGAATCACCCAAAGCGGCCAGAGAGATTTGGACCGCATTGCCAGGACGACCATAGAAGAGGACGAGGATGACGAGTAAATTATTCTCATGTGGGGGATAATTTGTGCGCTGTGAGACGATTGAAGTAAGGGGGAGAAGAGGGCCGGAAGACAGAATAGGAAAATGACAGAAGGCCAGAATTCTTAATGTTTCCCTCAAACAAAAGACGATATCACGGTTTGGTAAAATAAATTTTCTACATTTCTCTCTCTATTATTTTCTTCATGTCATGCAGCTAGCGGGATCTTGAGTGGAGGGGAGAGAATATGCCATGGATAGAAGGACCGTGGAGCTTTTATCCCCCTTGTTTCGATGCTCGAGCTGGAGATCTGCAGCGGCTTTGCCGATGACATGTTGATATGATGGCCAAACGTCACCTCCTTCCCGACCTTCTATATCGCCCTTCAATCGAATCTCTAGCCTTTTTATTCATTTTTGCTCTTCTGTCTATGACAGTTACGGCCTTAAACCTACCCGCCTTGACGTTAATAATAAAAAAAGACTGTTAAAAATTATCAATTACCTTTAGTATTAACCAGTTGGTTCCCTTATCATCTACCTTTACTTTTAAGAATCAAACCACTTATTTATTTAACAGAAAGGACTGAAGTTAGACTAGTTAACTAAGCTATGGTACAACTAAGGACAAAAACACATACTTCAACATACACCAACAGAGAACCCCTTAACCATCCTTTAGCACAAGACCACCAGCTTCCCCTTGCCCTAAGGCAGACTGACCACCAACTTCAGCTCTTAAATGTATGGCTTGTCAGGCTAAATTTAGCACAATAAATGAGGACAAGAACAAGAAGAAACATAAACAGAGAATCAAATAGAAAACAACATAGGTAGAAAAGCAAAGTACTTCTGACAGCAATAATAGAAATGAGTGAAGAAAAAGAAAGATATATGATAATATCTTTGGTTTGGAGAGAATTGTTGAGAAGAAAATCCCCCACGGTGCTGGTAGTAGGAGACCTTTATTCTGGCACATCTCGTATGTTTGCGCCCACTCCTCCGAACCATTCATGGACTCGGGTTCTTGGGCCGTTTGGGTTGACATTCTGCACTGGGACTCGCCCAGCAAGAGACGGAACAGGGCGGAGAGCAGCACCTAAGAACATTGGCTGACGTTCTTGGTTTCGTACTGGGCTATAGCGGTTGACCCATGGCTGGGGATTGTTAGAAGAAGATGGCCCGGGAGCAGCTTCTTCCAAAATACCATTTTCAACCTCGCTCTCCATGCCGAGGGTATCGTTTTCAGGGTATTTATTCTCCTTGTTTTCCTCCTCAGGTACTGGGCTAGTACTGGGGGTGTCGAGGTTGTCAATGATGATAGGAGAGATTGAATGTTCTGGTATATCCTCTGGTAAATCCTCTGGCTCCGGTTCATCTTCCCAGATTCTTGCTCTATTGATGGTAGAAGGCCGAGTATTCCCGGTTGTAGTCTGCGGAGTGTTGATAGCATTGCGACCGGGGAAGAGTCTGTTGAAAGCTTCATGACCAATGACATTTGCAAGAATTGGATCAGTGTACCAGATATTCATGTCCTCGGTGGCAATGGGGTATGGGTATGTGGTATCATCGTCATATTCTATCTCATCCTCATCTTCAGTGTCATCATGGGATTGGGTATCATTAGCAGAAGCAGAAGCAGAAGCAGAGGTTGCTAATTCTTCGTAATCCTCGTTTCTGGTTTCATTTACTTGGGCTTCAAGTTCAATGTCAGACTCATAGTCTTCATTGTCTTCATCGCTCTCTCCACTGGTTTCCTCGACTGATTCCGCATAATAGAGATCGTCAAGGTCATAGTAGTGCACGCTTTCAGCCGAACTACTGCCTTCTCCTGGAATCTGAAAGGCGTTGTTCTGAAAGAGACTGTGACCTTCAGTCTCATTCTCAATCATTGCAATGGACTCCTCATCTGGGATCCAAATTCGGGTTTGCATATGACTTTCAATGGTATCAAAAACAATCTCTTTAGTAAAAGAAAGTTAGCCAACACATGTAACATTTCCAGGGCTGCTGGTTCTTGCCCATCGACTGGAGATATAGATGACTTACCACCAAAAGTCCTAGGATCAACACTGTCTAAATTGGGAACTTCTCCATCATGATTTGGTTCAAAGACTGGACCTCCATCAGAGTCATCATCACCAAAGTTGCAGTCAGTAGATGCTCCACTGTCATCGGTGTCGCCCTCGTAACCATCATCGCCAGTATCTCCACCATTTCCATTACCAGTACCGTTGCCATTGCCATTGCCGGGACCAAAATCTCGGTCTGGTCTTTTTCCATTCTTTTTACCTTCGGTTTCTTGTTCTTTCTCTTCATCTTCACGGTCAGATTCGTCTTCCTCATCATCCTCTCCGTCATCTTCCCTCTCATCTGCACCAAATTCTCCCTCAGTGTCATAGCCCCCTGAGAACTCACTCATGTCTCTGTCTTGGCCTTCAGAAGGAGGTACATGGACATTTGATGGTAAGGGAGTGTTCTCGGTAGCTAGATCCAAGCGAGGCACCTGGCCAATCTGATCTTTGATTGTTCCATCAGCATTACGCTTCTCACCCCTTGGGGTCAGAAACTGGTTTGGTTTGCTATTGTTTAAGGTCAGTCAAGTTATTGATATCTATTAAGAGAATGCAAAAGACATACTTTGGGCCCTTAGCCGGAGGTTCCTGAATATTGGAAGCCATGTTGCGGGTTACTTCCCCCTGAACACTCTTTCACACCCCTTGTCTTGCGGGTATCCTGGCATCAAGGGTAAGACTAGCAGCGGCCTTTTAATAGATCAAAGTCGCGTTCCTAGAGAAGAGTATAATAGTGAAAGGTATAGGAAACTGCTTCTTAAAGGAATTCCCCTACAGAGGATATAACATTAGTGTTAGACGCGACTTTAGTTGTTTGCCCCTTATAGAGTAAGGGGGAAATGACGCGGGAGTAGTAGGCCAGGGCAATACCTTAGGTGCACCCTAGCACTCTAGAAGAGCTAATAAACCAGAACTGAAATTCACAAGGTGATTTTGCACCTTATGGATTGTTCAGTTAATAAATAAGGGAGGGAGAGGAGAGCTTTTTATATATTTGTGCGAGGAGGACTGCTTTGATACCAATAAGGCTAGCGTACTTTCTTGATCAACAGAACCCCCTTAGCGCGTTTTCCCTAGAGGAGACATGACATTGCCAGGTGACTCTTTTTTTCACTTAGGACACAGGCAGCTTTGTCCTTTTAAAGCTCTTGCTCTTTATGATATCTCCTACCACAATCAAAAGGTACAGGTGGCCATAGATAATAAAAATGAGGACTAAGCCATATATTATTTTGATAGAGAGGTATCCGTCTTAGAAAACCCTTAGAAACAGGATATAACAGGATATATAAAAGGCCATGATATGTACATCCTTTAGGCAGCAGGTGTTAGGCCAGGTTCAATTATTCTGCTCAGCCCGGAGGGGATTCGTGAACCTTTCCTATGGCATGTTATCACCATCCTTGTGGGTGGTAGGATCCCAGCAGACATGGTGGTACTCATTAGTATGGAGAGATTTCATGTCATCTTGAGAAAGCTCAAAGTCGAAGATATCGGCGTTTTCCAAGATGCGCTTCTCCGTTGCAGATTTCGGCAGAGGAACAAAACCCTGTAACAATTCTATTATCAGTGACCAGGGAATTACTGGGATTATAAGGAAGTTCTGAGCTCTTACCTTTTGTAAACTCCATCTAACTAGAATCTGAGCGGGGCTTTTGTTATGCTTCTTTGCAATTTCCTGGAGTTTTGGATCATCCATCTTCTTTGCCTGAACAAGCGGACTGTACGCTTCGATGACAATATTTCGCTTCTGGAGCCATTCAACAATGTCCGAACGAGCGAGCCATGGGTGCAGTTCGTACTGGCCCACGTCTATTTTACCGCCAATGGATTTGTTGTACTCCTCCAGCTCATCTAGGTGGTGGATACCATAGTTTGAAACGCCAATAGAGCGGACTTTTCCTTCTTTCTGAGCTTCTACCAAAGCCTTCCAAGAGCCTTCGCGCTTCTCTTTACCACCGTATGGTGCATGAAGAAGAATACTAAGTTTCGTGTAAGTCATTATTCAACACAGAATGCGGCCAACGACGCCATTGACGAGATTGATTGTTTTGGGGAACCTACAGATCGAAGTAGTCCACCTTGGCATCTTTTAGGCTTGATTCAATAGCCTCCTTGGTAGTTTCATAACCTAGTGCTCTCCATGGGACCTTTGTTGTAAAGAATACGTCCGAGCGCTTAAGTCCCGATTTTCTGATGGCTTCACCACACTCGGCTTCGTTACGATATGATCTTGCTGAATCAATCTAGGGCAAAAAAGTATTTGGTCAATATCATAGACACTGACTTGGCTCATAGGGAAGAGTGATTCGCCACAACATACATGCCTGTAGCCTGTTTCTAGCGCTTTCAAAACGCATTTCTCAGTAATATCTGGTGGGCTATTTATCTTATTAGCTTCATAATGGGAATTGAATTGAATATCGTCATTACGTTTGATAGACCTGTTCGATGTTTTTAGTAACGACACAGCAAGTAAAGGAAAGCTCCGTACGCCACGTACACCAAATCCAACTACAGGGATCTCATGCCCCGAGTTCATCTTCTTCGTGGACTGAAGATTTGATCTTGCTGCCATGGTTGCTACTTTTCTTGCGCTTCGACTTGATGTTCTCACAAAGGATGAAATAGAGTGAGGGGATATGACCGTGGGTAGGCGGACAACAGTGGCCATTTATATGATAGCAGGGCTTTAGGGTTACGTAGTGAGCGGTTGACCAGCAAAGGCTATCCGAGGTACTTAACGCCTCTTTAGTGCTTATTATCCCTAGTTTCAAACAGCCAATAGCGAGGGTGTCGGTGGCATAGTTATCTACCGGCGTTACATTAATATTTGACATGCGGAGATAAGATGGTGTTAAGGAATTCTCCCGAGCAGGTTGTGGAGAGTAACTGGTGACTTCATACCTTGCTGTCCTTGCATGAACCACCTGCGTACATGGCAGTCACTTGATGCTCATTATTCTTGGTATTCTCGTTACGTCTACCGGCTTCCCAGGTGAGAAACCGAGAGTCCAAATCTATGACGTCGTCAAGCTAAGCTTCGAATAACTATGCTTATGTAATTAGACGATTTAGCACGTGATTTTCTCTTACTAAGCGAACCTTGCTCTTCTCCATGTCGGATATCAAAAAGGTTCAACGTTCACAACCAACATCTTGGTGTATTTATTGACAATATGCAACAAGAAAGGCAGAGACTTAGCACAACAAGAATACCACCCGCTATCTAATTTTTCATATAACAACTCCCAATATACTCTATTGCCCCTTTTGACTCTTTATTTGTGGGGTCTGTATGTCGATTATTCACTTACATACATGTCAGAGCCCCGCTGATCATACAGTTGTGAAGCAGATTCATCTCTCAGGCCTGAGCAGCTGCCTATCCCGCAATCAAATATACCGCCCTATACCCTAGAAAATAATATCTTTGGCTAGCTTCGGACCAAGTAGTTCTTATCCCTATATAGTGGCGTACTACGTCCTTGAGCGTATGGAAACCTTGTGCAGTACCAAAGCCAAGACAATTCCACCACTCCGTCAATCTACTTTTTGATTGAATGCAGGCGCTTGGATAAGGTAACAATGCGCCTCATTAAGCAAAACATTGAGCGTAATGGCTCGGGCTCAGTCACGCTTTATCCCGAAGAGCCAGAAGACATGGTACGGGGATAATGACTCCCTGCTTTTTCTTGCATCAATCTTCCTTCTTCCCTGCTTCCCCTTTTTACTAGCCCAGTGATTTACTTGAGCGAGGCAAAAATGCATAGTCATGGATAGTAAAAGCCACATGCTAATTCTACCCTGCCTTTGACCTTCTTCGCCATCAGTGGCATGCATACAATCTCATACGGCCGAATGACCTTCTAAAGGCTAGTGCAATACGCAGGGTGACTACTACTTCAGCCACGGGCACAACCGCCTCATCTCGTGTGCATATGAATCTGCAGATACGCGTGAAAAGTCTTGATTTTGATATCCAGAGCTCTCAGCTCCATGTATCTGGCCAGATTGTTGTGGAGACGCCGTACACGAAAATTGGTCAGCATCATACCCTTGATTTGGAGCTGCAGAGAAACTTCACCCTAGAAAAGGAGGTAGAAGGCTCGTCGCTTCCAGGTGATGGATCAGCAACGGGAACATCTGCTGGTGGCTGGGATAGCATGGCAATTGAGATGTTAAAAGATGCCGTTGATGAAGGGGGGAAACGAAGAGCGGAAGCCGTAGCAGTGGTTATGCAGGAAGGCCTCGCAAACATTTGTTTTATTGGACAATTCCAAACTGTGCTCAAGCAGAAAGTTGAACTTACTATCCCCAGGAAGAGGCAAGGCGGTAGCGACTATGACAAGGTCAGAATCATTATAACCGCAAGATTTTTCTCCATAAGTTATTAACCCTACAGTCTAGGCTTTATCAAAATTCTACCAGCTCACTTTGGATAATCTCCTGCGGCTTATCGAGTTCAACAGCGCCACAGGCGCATCCCTTGTTACTCCAGCCTCAGGCAGTGACACGTCCGCGAAGCCTATTCTTCTCGCATCCCCGGGGTTTACTGCAGCCGGATTTCAAAAGCATGTTCAATCGGTTGCCAACACGACTACGCCGTCTTTAAAGCCCCTTCTGCAAAGCCTGGTTGTAGTTCATTCGTCGTCAGGCCACGTTCACTCCCTTAATGAAGTACTACAGTCCCCCGCCGTTCAAACAAGGTTGGCTAATACAAAATACGCCCGTGAGACCGCGTTAATGGATACGTTCTATGCCCACTTACGGAAAGACACGAACAAGGCTACCTACGGCCCTAACGAGGTGGAATCAGCCGTTGATCAGGGAGCAGTAGGGAGAGGAGGAGGAATTTTATTGATCTCTAATAGATTGTTCAGAGCCCCGAATGTGCGTGAAAGACAGAGGTGGGTGTCTCTGGTAGACCGCGTACGGGACGTAGAAGGTGGAGAAGTCCGCGTTCTGAGCTCTGACCATGAAAGTGGAAGGAGGTTAGACGGGCTAGGGGGCGTGGCGGCGATTCTGACGTTCCCTATCGAAGACAATGACGAAGAGCATGACGAGGAAGATGATTGAGAATAACAACAAACTGATAACGAGCATGACTATACAGGATACATTCCAACGATATGTCCACTAACTGGTTAATTCAAGCTGGTAAACATGATGTGCATCCGAGCTTCCCTGACCATATTGCCTTCCCGGCCGTGTTTTGTTGGATGTTCCTACCAATGCGATGTATCCATTGAAAATACCAGGTATTCCATGTAATATCCCACAAGGGGAGATGCGATTAATCCATGCTCCTTGACCGCGTAAATCTTTGTAAGCAACTAGTTAGTTCAAGCTCCCCTGAAAATACGGCTAACCACGAGGGTTATTTTCTTAAAATTGTTCTCTGCATAGTTGAGGTAGTGATGGAGAACTGCATTCCGGTAAAGGCAAGTTTGACTGGGATATGAAAGCCACTAACAACTTCTTCTTCATCCGCATAGGAAAATGTCCATAATGTTGGTTTTCTACAGGGAAGGTAGGTTTGCTGAAGGAATTGAAAGGGGAAGGAGATTTTCCTGGGGGAATAGGGGTCGGAAATTAAAGAAGAGCGGTATTACACAATGCTCTAGAATTAAAACGGGAGAAGCAGATAATTATAGATATGTTCATTGGCTGGTTTCGAGCGGCAGAACTCAGGCATTAGTGTCTCTTCGGCATCCCACCGATATTTTCTCAACAATAACTTGTATACACATAGGAGAAATGTAAACGTATGCCCGAGGAATGTAAAAGATATAAATATGAAACTTTCCCAAAATGTAAACCAAAAGACCAGAGACCAGATAAGAAACCGCAGAAATAACATAGGGAAAAAAAGGAAAAACAAATCTTAATCAGTAAAACCAAGTCATTAGCCCGTAATATCAAAAGTGTACTCCGTATATGTGTAGATGGATTTGTGCCGCCGATGATTATGTGGAAGGAGAAAATCGGTAAATTTTGGGTTCAAAAATATGCTGGGTATCAAGAATGGTGGATGGTAGATGGCCCATGGTTAGATGATGGGGTGATATGGGAGCATAGGTATGGATGTGTGTGTGTGTGTATGTGTGTGGTATATGGTGACGACTGTAAAAGCCTCTCCCTGAAACGCCGTGTGGAAGGAAATGGTGCTAGTTATTGAGTTCGAGAACGTTTCGAGTAATGTTCTTCGTCATCGTCTTCGGCCTCTGATTCTTGTTCTGCTTCTGATTCTTGCTCCTCCGTATCTCTCGGGCTAGTCACTAGAGCCCGACTATGTGTTTGAAGTAATTCCCATTTTTGCTCACATTGAGAAGGAGTCCACCTCTTTGTAGCGCCAAAGTCTTGTATCTATAAAGATAGCCAGTTAGACAACTTAGCTTCTCTGCGATAATCCTTCCTGTCACGGACCTTCTGTGATATGATCTCGAACTTTTCAGTCTCCCAATACGTATGAGCATTCTGAAGGGCTCGAATCTATGAGAGGGTGTTAGTCCGCCTGCTATTTGCTATGAAAACCAAGGAAGCGAGGTTGGGTGGGAGTTGGAGTGTCTATCAATGCAAATCGAAAATAGGTGCACGTACTCACATCATCCTCAGACCACCCTTTCAGCGCACGTTGATATCGACGAGTTATTCGCATTTGAAGGCGCGAGGCAGTGTAACTGGAGTTGTAACGATAGTTTACTCGGGACACGACCTCCTTCCATGCATGGCCATCCTTCCTAAGGTCTATGGCATAATCTGTCTCTTCTTCTAACTGAGTTGATCTTCTTCGAGCACGTCGACGTCGTTTAGGGTTGCGCTGGGGCTGCTGCTCCTCCTGACAGCTCTGTCTCTCCTGTTCCAACTGCCGGAGTCCCGCTGGGTTGGGGGCAATGGTGACTGGTGTGGGCCTCATAAGAACAGGTGTGTGCGCCGGGGTGTGTGATGGCGCTCTTGAGGTCCTCATATGTGCTCTTTCCCTTTCATAGTCGGTTGACTCATGCTCCATCATAGATCTATGAAATGGATTATATGAAGGCATGCTGGGTTGCACATAGCTCAGTGCAGATGTTCCAGTGATTCCGAGCCCATGTTGAATCCCGCCAGCTCCCATGGGTGGGTATCGTGGACCTTGATGATGCTGGGGGCATGGACTGTGTCGGGGGTCAAGAATAACACCGTCGGAGAGGCTGATTGGGGTGAGCATGGCTTGGTTTGCGTGTGAGTTTGAGACATATGGATTGGAGCTTGGAGTGTATGTCTAATAGCAGTATGTTAGTATGCAGATGACGGCGAGGGGCGTTAGAATGGGCTATGCAGCAGCTTTCGTCCATACCGTGCCAGGAGTAACCCATTCTTGGTCTTCAAGCATGTTAGACATTTGGCCTTGAAAAGGTGATTCTTGCCACGAGCTTGTAATATTGCTGGCTGACATGAGGGGCACTATGGGCGGGCAGTGACGAAGTAGTATAAGGGCAGAGTCAATACAGTAATCTCCGCACTAGGAGAGGTATAGAAAGATAGAAGAGATCGGCTTCCGATAAGGGCGTGTAGATGAGACGCAGGGGGTAGAAGAGTATATAACCAGAAACACGCCGTGATGGACAGTTGAGCTTGATGTTGAAAGAGTATTGTCCGAGTCTGATGCGGGAAACTGGGTAGCTATATAAATGTTGCCTTCTTCTGAAGAATTGTGGAAAACAGAGGAATATAGCTTGTCCAGTCAACGAGTAACGAGGAGCCAACTCCAGCGGGCCAAATAAATGTAGGCAAATCAGGAGCACAGACGATGCAACGAACGCTCCCGCATCCAAGATTTTCAAATAATGATCTGAGGTCATCGTTCGCTTCTATCTCTCTCTTTTTTTCAAATCTCTCTTTCTCATATACTTACTGCTTCTCCAGAGCGGGAACAAGAGAATAGAAAAATTAAAGGTCCACATGCTGATATGACTGTGCCACTTCAGCCAGAGAAGATCCGCAATAGCAAATTAAAAATGAAAAAAAGAACAGAGGGAAGGAAAAAAGAATGAAAATTAAAAAGGCTGCATCTAAGCGCCGGCTTTTGGCCATCTTCAAGGGGGTGGGTTTGGTCCATAGGGGGAGGTAGAATCAAGATGGCCCCCATTTGGCCTCAAGAGTCTAGGATGCGATTTTAGGCAACTGACAGGGGGAGGTAGGTACCTCTAAGCCTGCGTTTAAACCCCATGTAGAGGCCATGAGCGGCCTGATTATTACCGTTCGTAACGGTTTGAGGCAGGTTGTGGTTGTTAACGCTGATGCGGAGAGCAACGCCTCCTCCTACATCCCCCCCAGAAGCGATATGCCAGCCAAAGTAACTAAGGCGGGAATAAAGACAGCCAGGGGGGAGGGATGTTGCTCAAGAGGACCTTAGTAACATCCGACTCAGCGAAGGAGGACCTTTTTTTTAGCGCAAGAAGGTTAAAGGAACTCGTTAAAAGAGGAAGAGAGAGGGAGCAAGAGAAAAAAGAAAGGAAAAGGGAAAAAGGAAAGGGAATAAATTCCCTCTTCCCCTGGCCGGCAAGGCTTGTCAGGCCAGGCCGTCGACGAGAAAACAGGCAACCTCGATCGTTGAGGGCAGGCGACAGACAGGGAATATCAACAGCCATCCTATCACTGCTCAAGCCACTCGTCCCAGGCGGACGGAACCGAATCATAGCTGGCCCCTGCTGCTAAAAAAGAAACCATAGAAAGGCAACTGTCTTTTTTTTTGTTTTAAGTTTGTTGCCCTTCTATCCGAACTGTGTGCTGCTGTACGTATTATCTAGTATTATCCCACTAGGGCGAACATCTCATAGGGATGAGCAGCAGCGAACAGTAATATTAATAATGGCTATGGTCGTGGCCGATGTGGACGAGCCGTGATGCTCCGTGGGCATATACCAGTATATACCTCTTTCTGTGCAGGGGGCCACATATATTAATAACGCCCAGTCAGAATCGGTAGGTGAAAAGGGGCAACACTGCGGCGTAGGGCAGTTAACCTCATGGGAGGAGTGGACGAGCCGGCTGTACTGTACAGAGATGCTCCCAAAGGGGGAGAGAGCGGGTGCTCTCCTTTTCCTGCGTCTTCTTCTGCTTCTGCCTCTTGTCGCTTTCTCTCTAGCCGTACGTGGTAATCGGGCATGCATGTCGAACGTTCGTACAAGGCAAGAGGGCCGTCGATATTGTTCCGAAGTTGTGCCACTCCACTTTGAGGTGTCTTGGGGGCCTTTGCAAGTCTAGTACGGAATGTGTACGGGCCGATCATACATTTACTGATCTTCTTGAACTCACGTAAATGTGAAGCAGGAGAAAAAGAAACGAACGGAGGAAAGCGAGGGGGGAAGGCCTCGTCCATTTTCCCCTCATAGATTTTACTTTTTCGCCGAGTCAGTAAGACTTCCGGAACAAAAGGAAACAGGTTAGAGGGAGATTCGTATCCACAGCATCGAAAGCTTTTGATATGAAAGCGAGATGGAGATAGCGTATATGCGAGAGAGGATCATTTGCAGGTGGTGGGGAGGGCTTCGAGTTAACTAGCGCGGATGATAGCCTATTCGACTTTGTCTCTCGCTCTCTCTCGCTGTCTCTCCACGGATGCCTCGGTGCGGTGCGTGCGGATGATGGAATATAGGGTTAGCATCCGCAGCATACGGACTGCTATCGACTAGTTTCTGTCAAGGGCGGAACTGATGGTCCAAGATGATCCAGACAGAGATGCCTGGCTCATCATAATGGAGGATCTGCCATGTCTCTATGGACCTTATTGGCCAGGGAAACCCTTTTTGGGGCCCGTTCTCTTTTGAACGAACCTCCGCGTGGCCGCTTTCGTGGCTAGCCGCCGGGCGTATTTCCTAACCAGGATGCGGCTATTGGTGACTCGGCACTAAGAACGGAGCGTTTCGACCACGTATACATGGCGATGAAAGCTATGTACGTGTTACTCCATACGTACGTAGTACTACGCAAGAAAGGTTGGATGACGATGAGGCTAGTGGAGGGAGGGGGGGAACGAAAGGCAGCCGTCATACGTTAGAGGTCACTTTGGCCCAAGAAGATTGGTGAGCTTTGGAGGACAGACAGGGTGGGTTGTACCGAGAAGCTTGGCGGCAGTGGAGAGAAACGGCCAGGGGAGAGAGAGAGAAGGAGAGTAATAGTGTAGCGTAAGATACTCAAGATGAACGTTTATGGGGGAAGAAGATGGAGAAGACGGAGCAAATTGCCAGGGAGAGAAGAGAGACCATCAAGAGACAAGAGCTAGATAGCGTGTGGATGTTGTCTTGTGTGCATGGATACAGCAAATGGTTTGTGGGGGTTGGAGCACTGAGTTTCAGTCCCTGATGGGCTCCGCCAGAGGTCGAGATGGGCCGTCCGTCCGTCCGTTCCTTGAGGAGGCTCATAATAACCGACAGTTATTGACACAGAAGAAAGAATGGCCCATCCGAGGATCGTAGAGCTGCGAAATGACAGAAACAGACGGAACAGACGGGACGGACAAGACAGGCCCTTCAGCTTGACCCGTCAGCTGCGAGTTTCGAGCAAGGAAGACTAGAGCAAGATGATCAGGCCGTCCAGCAATCAGGAGAAACAGACAGCTCCATTGGGTTATGCATGAAGGGGGCCGTTAGCTAGCTACTTCGAGTCGGGACATCAACAATAACGGAAAGCAGGCTCTACACATACCATCGCTGGCACAGAAAGGCACATATGCTGGCACAAGCACGGGCACAGGCACGGGCACAGGCACAGGCACAGGCAGTCACTCGCCCGTTCGCTCCCTCGCTTCTCCATCCGAGCCCACTAACGGGGGGGACATCCGGCCAGCCACGGCAGGATGATCGTCGTGCACAACCCGACTGGATCACGGCATGGGCATAAGAGGAACACAAGAGGCTAGCCAGTGTGGTATGGGGCGGCGAAGGAGTCGCTGAGTGGCCGCGAGAGGGCTCGCAGATGAGGTTCGCGATATAGGGGGCTGGCGCTTAACGGGCGAAGCTGAATGGAAGACGTTCAGGGGGTTGCCGGGACGCGATATCACGTGATCAACACGACGCCGGCAGAAGGAGACGACATGCCGGCAAGCTCGAGGTTTACCCCTGGCGGCCGCGCAGACAGCGCAGGCAGACAACAGGGAAGGGAAGGAAGATGGAGGGTCCAGGCAGCAGAGGAACGAGCGAGCGAGCGAGCTAGTTATCCAGATCCTAGCTAGCGAGAAAGAAGAAAAGAGGGAGCAAAAAAGTCCCCCAACTCCCGAGTCAGGCAGATGATACGTCGAATCTCTGTGGCCTGCATCGCCCTGCAAAGCTGCCTGCCAGGTCAGACAGCGATCCCGGAGCAAAACAGCCATTCTAGAAAGGTTCGATATGTCGAAAATCTGCTAGTCTGCCCGAGCCGGCCGCCTTTTTCATTCCTGGTTGCGGATTGACCATGGGCAGATCTCGCGGTTGTCGTGCTGCGCCGCAGCGAGGATAGTAACTACCAGGTCTACCCCTTCTCCCTCTCTCTTAGTTACTAGCTACTAATTACGGAGTACCGGTTGCTTTCATCAAACCATCCCCCCAGAAAAAGGGACAATTTGCGCTTTGCCCCGTTCACGCTAATACGTGAGCTCTAGGTCGTCGATATTAGTTATTGCTCTCCATGAAGTTCTAGGCAGAGAGTGGGCTGCCTTAGGATGGAGAAAGCTTTGACCGGTTTATAGAAACGGAGGATTATCGTTATATCCTCCCCGGATATTAATACATTCAATATACCAAACAACAGAGCGCCCTTACATGTTGTATGGGGCAACAGCCCTCTTCCCTCCCCATAGTTGATGGGTGTATTTTTATCCTCCATCAGCGGGCTGTTGCCGTGAAATCTGTCCTCTCACCGTCCCTGCAGAAAGAAAATCGGAGTAATAGTGTTTATTTTATTCCTATCATTTCATTACTTTTTTTTTTTTTTTTTTTTTTTTTCAGCTTGCACTTCCAACAGTGTAATGATGTGTTTGCTGTTGGTTCCTCCTCGTGAAGAATGCTCCAGTGATTGCACTGAGACCACGAACTTCGGCCAACATAATTGGGATTGGTGATTTCCCGCAACCCAGTTTCATCGTCTGGGGGCTGCCGCTATCATCCTATTTCACAACTACCCTAGCTATCGTCGGTCCGCTTTGCACAGGTGGTTTTCTGTTATGTCTCAAATGAACATGGCAGTTCTCGAGAGGGAGAGAAAATTTTTTGAAAAAAAAAAAAAAAAAAAAAAAATAACAATAAGTGCAAAACAACTGCGCCGTTTGCATAAGGCCGTTGGCAGACATACATATGGTGGCCTATTTTTATCCGGTATAAGCCCCATCGTCCACCGTTTTATGAAAAGTGCCCACCACTTAGGCCACGATATCGACTAGCTATGAGGCCGGGAAGCCGCATTTTCTCTCCGAAAACTTGAACTCCACTTCTCCTTGCTGACACAGTCGAACTTGGACGTTTTGGCTGCTGCGGCTCAGATCTCAGAACTGAGAGTTGCCAGTCAGCGAAACAAATATGCGGTACGACTCAATCGGCTTCCCCCCTCGAGATGTCATGTCATGATATGTCGCAGCCCAACAGATTACGCCCATGGAGCAACTTCACCCTACTCTCCCTGTTTATGAATCCTTGAACACGGAGTACCAGTGCCTGCAAGACAATGCAACAGCAAACCATTATATCGGTTTCTGTATACACATTTAATCTTCAAAACCTGGAGAGCTGGAACCATCGTTTTGGGAAAGGTTGAACGTGTACTTCTGTTAATTATGGACAGAAAAAACAACCGGGCTGTGCTCTAACGAGCCTCAACGCCGTACTAAATATAGTCATTCGATAACCCTGAATGCATACTCCAGAGCCCGTCTCGAGTTGTCTCTCGAGAAATTTAAGCTCCAAAATGGAATAGCAGGGACACAGACTAATGCATCTCCTGCGAGGAATATGATCTATACCTACCTGTCTGGGCTAGACATATTGCTAATCCAAGATCATAAGATATGCATCCTTGGAAAAAAGGATGACTTTCTCAGACACACTATACGCAGGTGCAGGCGCTCTTTAAAAGTCTATTGCAACATAGAGATGTAACTGTGTTTGGCTTTCTTTATTTTTCTTTCCCTATTTTTCTCTCTCTCTTCTTACTTCGGTTCCGGTGATCGGTGTTTCTTACGAAGAAAGTCTTTGGGGGCGTGTCGAAACAAGAGTGGTCGACATGACAGGTGCTGTTGACTAGGGGTGGGAATATTGAGTGCGAGTCGCTCTATCCAGGCTCCATTCTGGGGACGCTAATGTGCTGATGTGCTAATAGGAGCGACCACCGCGACGGCCCTGCAGGGCGTGAATCCCGTAGATGCATGCTCTCGACGCCATGGATATATGCGATTGACCTTACAAACCCAAGTAGCGGCGGGGTTTTTTGTACAACGGGCTTCCTCAAAACATGCGGACAGACTGGCGGGACTGACAGACAACGACAACAACGACCCAAGGAATGCACGCCAATGAAGTCTACTATGGCTCGGTTAAAGAGTCCATGTTAAGGGGCGCTCTCCTGCTGTCGCTCTTTTCTTTTGCACCTTGACGGACATTTATCCTCTTTCTCTCACCCGACGGTGTTGATCTGCTCCGACCCTGCCTCTTTCCCGCCCAGATTCCACTGTGTCGGGTTTTCACAATAAAGAGCCTGCTGCTGCTGCTGCCGATGTTGTGAGAGTTTGGGGTCCGTTTCCACTGCTTCGGGAACAGATTGCTGCAGGAGAAACCAGGTGTGATCCGAGTTTAAGGGGTAGGAGGCTGTATTGATTGATATTGGGCCTGAGAGGCCTGTAAATCACATTTTGAAGGACGAAGGGGGGAGAAAAAAAAAGATAGTCGAGGGTCCAAACCCGACAGCTTGGGTATAATGCTTAACATGCAGTACAGTATTACTTGCTTGGTCACCCTAAACGAGGGCTGAACGAACGAGCAGACTGATATCTGAGAAGGTGAGTGGTCTTTTGACCCCCAAAACCCAAACAGCAGCTAACATGCAGGTTGACGCTTGGCCAGTGCCATCGACTCTTTTCTCGACCCTGAATACCGACAGACAGATTCACCGCCGGCTGTCCATATCGCGATGAACCGAAAGCCAAAAGAAAAGAAGGAGGTGTGACATTCATCGGGAAACATGAAAAGTTAGCCATCAACCTGGTGCCGAGGGCGGAGTCTTCGAATCCGTCCCAGGGCAACAAAGAAGGGCCATATTTAAAAGAAAATAAGACAATGGCTTCAGGTGGTCATCGCATGCAAGTTAGTCGGTTCTTGGGCCCTTGCCAAGTGAGATATTTATCACCTAATAAGTGAACTAGTGAGCCTGCATCCCTGGTCCTTCTGCTCTCTTTGGGGATTAAACTGGAAACAGGCAGTGGCCGTTTTTGGTAGCGGACAGGTGGTGTATATGCACGCTTCACTCCCCAAGCTCCAGCAAGAATGCCACGAGCAGCGCCTTACATCATTATTAATAATGGCGACAAGTGCAGGGCTCATACATTAGCCTGGGTCTTTGGGCGCCGGCTTCGTGGCCAAGTGTAGTCGATATACGACTATTACTGCATCCTACTTCATACAACCGGAGCCATCTTTTATTTAGTTACGTCAGATCCCCGATCTATGAATGTAACTACGGAGTAACTAGCTATCTCCTGTCTACCTGTATGTATAGGCACAGCGTGCTCCGTCAGCTTCCTGCAGCATCGTGCTGGCCTCCAACGTGTCAACACCTGAATGACTCTTGCATGTGGGTTTGATGTGATGCAGGCTTGATTCTCAGCCCCATCCGCACTTCGAGAACTGGGCGGCTAGGGGCCTCGAATCACATCTTCCCCCCCGTACATAACGAACTATCAGTCATAAGTCATATAGGCATGTTCCAAGGGAAGGACGATCATCTCCCCGTTGCCATGAGCGAGCTAGCTAGTCAAGATGCTTGACTTTTAAATCCTGCCGCCAAAAAGCATCCTTCCAGCCCTTTTGGAAACCTACCCATGGGGAAAGTATCCATCAACGGGCATTTTTATTGGGAAATACATTGCTGTCACCACTTTGGCTTTTTATGGCCCTCTGCTCGGCAAGAGGTCGATCCAGTCTTCTGGTAAAGCATACTCAGGGGGTCGCAATACTATCCCCGAGGCGGGAGAAGCTAGCTAACTACCCAAGTAGCCCCCGTCGCTCCGATTTTCTTTCTTGTCACTCGCTTGAGTAACAAGTCAGGCCAGACAATAATCATCCTCCCCCTACGACAGTTTTGCACATGCACCTGTCACTTTGTGCATGCACGCATGTATGTTTGCGTAGGGCGAAGGGAGCGACGCATTCTCCCGGCAGCAAGCACTCAGAACAATGTGCCGGGAAATTAAAATACAAATACGTGAGGGTCGCCTAGTCATATTATCACAGTGCTATCCGTGGCTCTGGAATTCATCTGGCAGGCTTTTCGAATCGACCTATTCTTTCTTTGGAAGGTGTATGGCTAGTCGCAAAATATCAGCCTGTCCAAAGTAACCCCCCTGGCCCACAGATCATCAGGAACCGCATGGCTAGCCGTTACAAGAGAAGTACAGTATTCTAAGCCATGCGATGGCTTGCTTTGGCCTCTTTCTCTGCTTTTTAATACTCGCGGAAGGCCTTGTTTCCGGTTGAGTCAATCCTGTATCTGTACTCCGTATACAATTTATGCCTGGCGCTCAGTTTATGCTATATCGCTCCTCAACCGAATTTATGGAGCCCGGCCGGGATATCCGGCTGATATCACTACAGAACAAGGCTGTAATTTCAAGGGTGGATGTACTTATAGTAGTAGGATTTCCAGTAGTTTATAAAGGATGAAAGAATGATCCGCGCATCTACGGGTAACATGCTTGATAAGGGGTCAATAAAATATGAGATTCAACGGCATGTCTTTATATTAATTATGTAAATTTTTTTCCTCTTCCATGGAAAGGACATACAGAAACGGGAAAGAAAACGGGACAAAACATATGCAAATACACCACCGGAATACTCTTTTTCGGAGGGAGCAAGATGGAATGAGCTGAAAAGAATTGCAACCGGTTATCATTAAGCTTGTTAACATGAGGTAAAATGGAGAAAGAAAAGGAGGAAAATAACCAATGCTCCTGGATTAAGGGTATATTTAAGAAGAATGTGCAGTGTGTCTAGCCACCAGTAAATTTATCCTGAGAAAATATAGTAAACAAGAGAAGACCGCGAAGCAAAAGCCTCGCACAGACACTTCACATCACGGGGCTGCTCTTAATCCCTCGAGGAGCCCACACCTCTCTCTCAACATTCAAAAGCGAAGAGACGGCACATTTTCGCACGGCGCCTTGAGTAATTTGGCGAACACCAGGTTCTGCGGTTCGAGGCTGTCGGGGTTCGTCGGCTGCATGACGGAGATCGCTAGTACATTGCTCTGCTAGCGGGTGAGACCCACGACGATAAACATCTCTAAGGAGACCCCTTGAGGGAATTAAAGGGGCTGGTCCTGGTCCTGGGCTAGGGCTGGGTGTGGGTAGGGGAATCGATCGGATTGGTGGTAAAGTTATATCGTGAGATGGATCAGATATAGCAGGCTGTGATAATGCGGCTTGGAAAGGATATTTGGCAGCAGTGTTGGTGGTCGAAAGTGGAGGGAAAGAGTATCTATGGGTGTACTGTATATTCGACAGCCTGGGAGTGTCGATATTAACATGGAATCGATGGCTTGGTGGGGACGAGTTCCTGTCGTGTGCTGTGCTAGCATGGGCCATGGGTTGTGTGTTGGGGCCTGGACCCGTTGGTAATAGCTCCATCGGATACGAAAGCGATGGCAATCGCTGATGTGATGCTTGAGAGAAAACCGGGGAAGACGGAGGGAAGTAGCTGGGAACTGGCTCGTAGCGTGGAGATGGGGTTCGTGTGTGTGAAGGGGTAGAATATTCCCGCCTTGAGTCCTCAACGGGGTAATGAGTTGATTCCAGGCTGAGTGAGGAAGATCGTGACTTTGCACTTCGTCTTCGGAGATTGCCAGATGACATCTGATGATAGTGCAAGCGACAAGCTAGTTCGGTCTTACACAGATGGGCTGCAATACGTTTGTATGGAGTCTTCATCATGCGGGCACGGTAAAGGTAGGCATCCTGACCATGGTTATTAGCATAGGCTTCAGTAATCAGCCTCCTACTTTATGCGCAGCTATACACACCTCTTCTTCAGTCCATGCTCGTCCACCGCAAGAAGGCAATGATTTGCTCTGTTTTTCGATTCCGCATCTCATTGCTCCAAGGCATGAAGGCTTGTATTCAGCCAGAAAAGATGGAGGCGATGGTGGCCCGTCAGTATAAACCTGTCGGTCCATCTTTGGCGTCTATTGAATGGGTATATGAATTGATTTGGAAGGTATATGTTGCTGAATGCGTGTAATGCGGGCGAAAGAGCTGACTAGAGTCTTGAAATTGCGAAAAGTCGTAGTTCGTAAAGGTTGTTCTTCAGGTATCTGAAAAGCGACGCCCGGACGGAAGCTAATTTGGGGTTAAGGATATCGAACCGTGGGTAAAACGCACTACCGCGCAGTGGGTAGAAAGAAAAAGGTTATGATGAGATATATCTCTCTTCCGCCTCCACAAACAAAGAGATGGGGGGGGGAAAGGTAAAAAGGAGGCCGAACGAAGGCCTTTATTTATCAAGTAGTATAATAGTAAAGGGAGCAGAGTGAACAAATATCCCTCCTCTCGAAGTAGGGTAGATAGCAGACCGGGTTTCTGCTCTGAGCCACACAACAGTGAACAAATGATTGAAGAAAGGCCTAGTGGTCAAGGACTCGGCTATGGGCAACAGTTTTATTATAGATTGTTTGCAGTGAATGGATAAAAAAACAGGTTGGGGTTCCAGTCCTTGACTGTTGTAAGCAGCTTAAGTTGTTGTAAATGAAAAATGCTGCAGGACTGGGGAAGAAATATGATAATAGTTGTAGATGACATAGCAGCTTCCTCCAAATATGTCTTGCATGTCTTGCAGGCCTTGCCTTATCATACCGTGCCTTGCCTTGCCACGGCGGAGAAGGCATGGTTATGTAACAGGTTTGTAGCACACTGCGGAGTAGGGAGGAGTATGTTTTGGCACGATCTCATTTCATTTTTCATCCCTCATCCTGATATATATCATGACAAAGGCATGCACACCATGACATATGTACGAAGTGGGAGTAGTTGCTACTCCTACCATCAATCAGTATGAATCCGTCGTGAGGGACAGAGTGCTGTATTGTGTAGGCATTTTCATTTCCCACTCCCTCCGCCTGCTCAACAACCACCCGATAAGCCCGTAGGATCGGTTGTGATGGCTCTGCGGCCCCCTTCCCCTCCAACGGCTAATAGGGAACAAGAAGAGCCAGGGTTATAGAAGGGAAGTGGAGGAGGAAAGAAAAACATTAGGAAAAATAAAAATAAAAATAAAAAATAAAAAATAAAAACAGACGAAAGAGAGAAAAGAAAAATACCCAAAAAGGTATTTTTGGCAACTGATCTACGCCCGTTTCATGATTTGCCATGGGTTTATGGCTCTGCATTGCCACGGGTACAGATCAGATGGCGGCGTGGTGCTTCAGAACTGGTGCAGGGAGCAAGCATGAACCACTTGACGCCATGGGTACATCGCCTATAAGGAGCAGCAGGGCTGAGCAAGCACAGTACAGCAGGTTAGAGAGATGCATGTTCGATGTGCCAAGGTGGACATAAGGAGTGGATAGTTTCAGCCAGATTGACGTAATAACAATAATTAATAGTTCGCTTGACGGAAACCGATGAAGCTTGAGCAGGCAGCGGAGTTTTTTTTTTTTTTTTTTTTTTTTTCCCTCGAAGCTGCAGTTTTGATAGGAAGGCTGGGAATTAGTCTGACCGGGGCTCTTGGACGTTGCTTGCACGTATATGTATATTTGCGACAGTATATATAGGATTCAGCAAGAGGGCGGTCTGCAGGTATACAAAACGGTTACTTAGCCTGCTCGGGGGTTAGCTATATCGATCTTAATATCATCGCCTTCGGTCTCAGGAGAAGGACGGTGTTTATCAGCGGCAGGCGGATACGTACTCCGTTCCTTACCCCCTCCTCTCCTCCTATCGAATAACAGGAATGGAAAGCAGGGGTCAAAAGAAGGGCTAAACGGTTGCAGGCGAGAAAGTTGAAACAGTTCTTGGGCGACTCAACAGGTCGAATGCATGGAGCAAACTGCTTCGTCTGCTGCTTCTGCTGCGTCTGACGTTGTTATGTTGTCTATATGAAACAACGCGCGAACTACCAAAAATAGCAAGAAGTTGGCGCAGACAAGCAGAAAAAGGCAGACTGAGTCAGCAAAGTCACGGGATACCTGAAACAAACAAACAAAAGCTATTGATGAGTCATCAAATGATCAAAGCGTCAAGGGGCTACGTGATTACATAAGATGTTTAATCATCAGGCTTGGCATCAGGCTTGGTCATTTACCCTCAGGGGCTGCAAAAAGCGCGATGGAGACGTGTAATATTTCGGCAGCAAGATGAGAGAAACATTCAATTCGAAACCCGGAGTTCGGCTCGCGAGATCGAGCATGGCACCCCGTGTTTGTTTTGTGTCAAGCGGAACGTCCTTCGACCCCGTGTGACCTCTCCGAATTGTAGGCGGATATCGAGCCGCGATGGCATAGTTGTATCCGTGGTTGCCGCCCTCTTTGCTTGTGCTGTGGAAATCGGATCTTCGTCGCATAGTTCTGTACACCGAATCTAGGGGAGGAAGCTAGATAAGATTAAGGGCCGATGCATGCGATGCAGTTTGTGATGCTGATGCGGATGCGGATGCCGATGACATCTCTTACACTCACCGGTCTCCCGGGTAATGCTGGTGATGAGGAAGCCTAGCGCTTAGTACTCCGTAGACAATATGGATATAGTCGGGGTTGGTAACTGATGGAGCCGTCCGTCTCAACACCTCTTGTAGATCAAAGGACGCAGACGGTTGACAGCATTGACCAAGCGGCACAGTGGGTGCGGCCCCTCATTAATTCATCAGTGATGGTGTCTCAAAGGGGGTGTTCTCTCTAAATTATCTGGCAGTAAATCGGCTCTCCTGTTGTGTTTCTGGGGGCCTCCTTTTCTTTATGCCGTGCAGTCGTCAATAGCCGTTCTTGTTTCACCATGTTGGATCCATTACGGATGATGTCCACTGTGAGTAACGAACGCCTGCTTATTGATGCCGGCCGGTTGCCCAAATAGTGCTCGAGGCTGGGCCATGGAGGGACACCGCTATTCATGATTGGCGATGTCATCTGTAACAGTTCCTTAGCGAGCCATCTCAGCGGATTTACCACCAACTGCTAGCACATTCAGATTGCATACAAGACATTTGACTAATCAAGTGGGCTTGCATGCATGCGTGTATATATATACAGAGTAGAGCAAGAGAGAGACGATGCACTCTTGTTATTGAACATTAAGACAGAACTGATGATAGCTCAATTCGGTGTCTTGCTGTACCTCCTGCTCTGTCCCTCACTATATGTGAGGGGCAGTAGTAACGGTGTCAGCTATCCTGGGTATTATCAAATGCATCCCTGCTTCTATTCACAACGAGCCGCAGCTTTTGTAGCGAGGATGCGACGAGAAAGGAAATATTCAAAGAAAAAAATTGAACAAACAAGCGCTGTGTGTTTGTTACACCGCTTGGCGGGTTTTTGGACGTATACATAGTTTCAAAGCGACAGGCCGTCAACCCTACTTGCGAGAACGGCCTCGTGGGAGCCCTTACGCTCTAGGGGAACGTTCCGTGCATGGGTGCGGCGCATGAGTTTCCTTCTACCAGATGTATCAAAGCCGCGGGAAGGCCACCCAGGAGGCGGTTTTGAGGGGTGGAAAGAGGTCCATGTATATTGAACACACGCCTTTCCGAGGTCCTAGTTCCTGGGACAGCAGATCAACCAAACCCTGTCTGATCCGATCAAACGCTGCTATGGCTTGATCGACCTCGGGGGGTTGTCCCCTTGGCCAACGGGTGAGGTCGAAGACTCCTTCAGACGCGGAGAAGCTCTTGATGGAAACAAGGCCAAGGAAAACGGTGACGTCCTCTACAACGCGTGGTGAAGTCTGGCCATGATCTGCAGGAAGATGCAAGGGAGGACGCTCTCTGTGCCAGTCTGGCAGACGTCAGATAGATAGCCATGAGATACAAGACAAGACAAGACAAGTCAGGTCAAGACGGGCCGTTGTTACAATAGCGCAGCAGCGGCCCGGGCAAGCCGGTTGATGGCCAGGACTACAGCAATCAAGCAGCGCCAACACGAACGAACGAAGCAAAGTGTCAAAAACAAGAAGACGTCAGGAAGGGAGGACGCTTCTTCTATCATATTACAAGGCGAGGCGACCTGGATCCCACATACGCAGCTTTCCTCTCTCGTTTTCTGTCTTGTTTCTTCAATCATAGATAATTGACGGGATATATATAAGAAAAATTCACCGGAGAGAGATCGTCCTATGGATGGATGGCTAATCCGATAGAGAGGATGGTATCTACCTTGAGGAACACGGAGAGCAACCATGTCTTACGAGATGCGCTCTGCTGGGGGTATAACAACGGGCTTCCCATGTGTACCCGCGGACAAAGCCGAAGAGGGAATCCCGCGGGAAAAGCAAAGGGAGACAGAAGTGCATCAGCAAGCGAGTCGTAAATGGCACGGCATGGTCGGAAGTTATTTACCACGGAAGAAGTGAGGCTGTCGATGACACTGGACGGGTAGCCATAATTATCAAACGTCAACAACTGGCAGGACTGGAGGTCAGCAGAACAGAACAAAACAAGACAACACGTACTCCGTAAATGCGGAAGACCGAGGGAAGCAGAGAGAGGAGAGAAAGCAGACCCTTTTAGCCAGCTGCATGGTGTCGTATCCTGGACCAGATCCAAAGGGAACGAAACACTCCAGACCCGCTTACAGACATCACTGCCTCTTCTCTCCCTCCCTCTTTTACTAGCAAGTGCGAGGGGCCAGTTGCTGGTGCTGCTGCTGGTGCTGCTGGTGGGAAATCTTCGACAGATTTGTGCGCATCAAGCAACACTAGGGTAAACAAATAAAATGCTGCGGAGTGGGAGTACAAGATTGTCTTTCCACTCTTAAAGTGAGTGACTTGAGGGCCAGGTACCTGCTCGTGCCGTCCCGGGCTGCCTATGTTCTGTCGTGTTGCGCGAGAGGGAAACTGCTGATTCCCAAGACTGGGCCGGCGGAGATGTCCAACCGAGCAGCAGCGGTTCGACTGCTGTCTGTGTACTCCCGTCCTATCTTTGATCGAGCGAACAGGAAGCGCGAAAGCAGGCAAGCTGGAGGACGACGGGGCACGTCAAGGGGGGCAGGGAATCCCTGACTGAGCACGAGCGCAGCAAACAGGTGTACTTTGCAGCGATGTACAGGCCTAAAGTAACGAGCTCCGTACGGAGAAGTGCGCTGGAGCCAGCCAGGTAGGTACCTTGCTTGGGCTACATTGAAATGCACATCAGATACGTAACTACTCTTGGTTACGGAGTACTACGGAGTCTACTGGGGGCGCAGAAGTAGCTCCAGGTAGAAGCACATCAGCTTCCCCAGCGGCCCGTCGATGACGTCTCAAGAAACATTTTATATCTCCATTGTTTATGGCTCTGAAGACCCTTTGACAGCATCGACACGACCCGTCTGCGTCTCTATCGACCTCTTCTACCAGCCGTCCCTCCGATGCGTGGTACTCGGGGCGCTTTGTTTATGCCTAGTATTGGGACGGTATTACCGGGGGCGAGGCTATGTCTAGCGACTTCTCGCCACATACAAATTCTGCGGGCCGACGAAGTCACTCTACATCAACCGACCTTCCCCCGCACATCAACAAACCCAAGAAGGGCAAACCTTGGAACTTTTCCCTTCTTCTTCTTCTCTCATCTTGCATCTCGCATCGCTCGCATCGCTCGTGGGTCATCGTCGGCATCTTCTTCTCATAGGGGGTGACGGAAAAAAAGCCAGATCACCAGTTCGGACGGCAAGGAAGAACGACACCAGACGACAAGCAAAGGGACAAGGACAGGAAGACACGACAAGAGACAAGAGACAGCGACCAGAGAGAGACCCAAGGTTGAGTCTTCTCCCTCCCCCAGCGCGTGCTTCGAACCCGGCTCTGCCTGTCTAAAGTGAAGGGAGTATATGTACCTCTAGCTACAGTACGTCTATCCTCATTTCCTGCCTGCTCGCTCTGCACCGCCAGCTTCAGCTCTACCTTCAGCTTCGTCGTCTTTGCTCCATCTACTTCTCTGTCGACTGGAAGCTTCCTTTACTCTCTGCTCTCTCTATATCTCATCTTTCCCTTGGGTGTCTCTTCCCCCAGTCACTACCTGCCTCACACGCCTGGCTCGCTGCCTGCTGCTTCGTACATCGTCCACCAGTCAACGGGTATTCCGCAAGTCACCGGCTGCTGCTCCTTGCCTCCCTCACTCCCTCCTCCACCCCCCCTTCGTTGCGATCAGGCCCAACGCTTCCTTTTCCCTTGCTCTTCCGTGTAACCTGCTTGTCCACTGTCTGCCGTGCCAGAGAGTGCGTGGGAGAAGGACAAATCGGGCAGAGACAGAGAGGCAGAGCGAAAAGAGAGAGAGACACACACACCCACCCAAGAAAGGACAGCTTTCTCGGCAAACACACACCCCCCCCCAAGGACGGAGTACATGCTATGTAGCTCAGCTCTCAGAACCAGCCTGGCTAATTCTCCTTGCTCCCCTTCGTATCGATACAGATGAATTGGGTCTTCCCATCCAGGTCTCCCCTTCCGGACATGAAGTGAGTTACTCGTCTCTCCTTTGTCACTCCCAGGTCCCCATTTCAGACTCGCTATACCCCCTTCTCCTGCTTCCACCAAGTCTTCTAGCTCTTCTTCTCCTTATTCGTTCCTTCTTCTTGCTATCCCTTCTCTTTTTTTTTTTTACTTTTCCTTTGCCTTTTCTCTGCTCGGTTCCTCGGGAGTTGCCTCTAGGTTCCTCGTCCTCGTTCCCTCCACTCGTCTTCCCCGTAGCATAAAGATGCTCGATCCGCCTACATATATCCTCCCTTTCTTGTCTCTCCTTCTCTACTCTCATCTCTCTCTTCCTATACGTCGACCACCTTAGTGAAACAATTGACTTGATCATCCCCAGCTGACTCGTCTTTCTCTCTCTTTTTCTTTCCTTTCGATATAGTTCTCCACACCGTCTCAAGACTGGCGTAGGTCCCAACCCGCCGGCTCTTCCTCACCAGCACCAGCAACACCAGCAGCAACAACCGCAACATCACCAGCCACAGCAACACCAACAGCACCACCAGCACCACCAACATCAGCATCCTATCCCGCTCTCTCAGCCAGGTGCTCCCTCTCCATTTGCTCCTCCAAACCCCTTTGATAACCCAATGGTCCCTGCGCCTCCAGTCCCAACTACTGCTCCAGCCCCGTCACATCTGCAAACTACCCACGTTCAGCAACAGCAGCCGCAGCAGCAACAGCCTGGCCAGGTGCATCCGCCTTCGTCGCCTGCTAACCCAAGGAAGCGTCGAGCCTCCATCCAACAACCAGGCTCATTATCAAATATGGGGCCTCCAATGGCTGGATCTAATGCTACCGATCAGGATGGCGCTACGACTGGTACTGCTCCCGCCCCTGCTCCGGAAGCAGGCGTCAAGAAGAAAGGCCGCACCAATACACCTTGGACCGCAGAGGAGGAGCAAAGGCTCAAAACTATGAGAGATGCTGGCAACACATGGAGTGAGATTGCTAAGGTACGCACTTACTTTTGTCAAATATGTTACTCTCATTGCTCTAGGTGATTAACTAGTGCCAAAGACATTCCCTACCAGAACTGAAGGCAGCGTCAAAAAACATTGGTACAAAGACATGCACTATGCGGAATTTGCAGAAGACGAGGTGATTTTACCCCCCCTACCAAAATATAAGCTCATTTCAATACAAACCTAACACACTGCATAGTCCATAGCGCTGCGGGATGCAATCAAGGAGTATGAATCCAATAAGTGGAAAGTCATAGGCCAGAAGGTCGGGAAGCCAGCAAAGGTATGCATATTCTTTACACCTGTTACTCAGCGTTTTTCGAAACTTGGGAAATAGTACCTAACACGTCCATTTAGGCCTGTGAGCAGTATGCCAAGGAGCATTTCAAGAACCTGTAAAGACTCGATGCCCAAGAGGCAGCCGTCTTGGGATACCTTTCTGGTCCGTCCGCAACACAACTTCAGCTCCTGAGATACACCAAACGCGCCCCCTCACAAGCCAAGTGGCTCCCCTTTTTTTCGTTTCTTTTTTATGGGCAGCCTTCCCTTCCCTCGACACAAATTGGACTTTGTTTGGACCATGATGGCAAATGCCGAAACTCTGCCGCCCGGTCCTGAGAGTGAAACACTCCATCGGATATATGACATGGTTATCATCCATAGCCAATCCCAAAGCTTAAAAGGGATGTTATGATTGGGCCGCCATTTTTGTTTATTATATTACTATCTTTATTTTTCTCTCACCTCTTGTTACCACAGGTTGCTGTCGTTACTTTTACTTTGGTTTCCGAGGGAGTCTGGATCTGGGCATGTCTGGGCTTGGATGGGCGTTCTTTTCTCTTCACTTTTACGCTTCAGCATCCAACCTTTCCTCCTCTTGATCTCACCTACACGCGTTGCTCTCTCCATGCTTCTCTATTTTGCAGCGGCTCTGCAGAGGTTTAATACCCCCTTTTCACTGGATTCTTACGACACGACGGGACCCTGCCCTTCTTATTCGTCTTTATTTATAATTTCCTGTTCAAAAATTTCCCCCTTATCACTGCTTGGAGCGCCTTTTTGGATATATCCCATAAGCCATTGGCTGTCGGCTCACGGATCACGGACCACGAACTCATTACTCATGTGCGGCTTTTTTTTTTTTGGTCTCGAGTACTTTTGTTGCTTTGCTTTGCCTTGCCATTGGCCGCAACCATTTTTTGTATCTTTTTCACTTTTTATTTTCATTTTTCTTTGCTGGGTATGTTATGAAGGAAGTACGGAACATGGCAGGGCAGGTCAGGGAATGGAAGGCTATATGATGCAGTTGACGCGATATCAATAGGATGATGGAATTTCTGATTTTCTTGGATAGTTTGTTTTCCATTGTTCTTTTTAGCTCTTCTCTCAATTTTCTAACTACGATTATTCCTCATCTATCCATTTTTGCCTGACGCTGTCACCTTTTCCCATTTACCTCTGCTCTTGATTCGGGAGGCAGGAATAGGAGGGGAATGTAACTCTGTTGATTGATCGGGAATCTTATTTTTACCGGTGCCTGGGTGATCTACACACGATTAAGTTGTTATGATGTCAAGCCATGTATGTGTATTTCATGTAAAGGGTAGATGCAGGAACTTGGCTTCCACAACGCGAAGCTCCACCGAGTACCGTGACCGCCAAGTACTTCCGCACCCTCATCCAGCTTTATTTTCACCTCACTCGTTGAATGTATGCAGCTCGCCAGCGACAGACAACTCGACAGCAGGCGGCCAGACGGTGCTTACGGAATATATTCTGGCCTAGCAGCTCTATTTTTCGCTGTCAAGGCCGGCCTCCACGATAAAAATATATGCAAAGTACCCGTTTGTCAGGCATACGGTGTCCCCAAGACGGTAGAGCTTGGATCCGCTACTTGAAAACCTCCAACCTTCAGCCATGTATCGCTACATTTCCAGCAGTATCTTCTATGGATTGCCCGTTTGAGTATCGATTTCACCAACTTGTACCTTCAAAGTAGCATTCATGGACTCACCTTGCGAGCAAAGGATAAGTCAGCCAGACATGATAGCCATGATACCCACTACCCCCATGCGCCCAATACAACAACGGCTCGATCTAGATGCCAGTGGCAAGGCTCCATACCGGTGGCAATAGCCCCAGGAACATATCCTTACATATTATTTCCCCTATTCTCATCCAAGATCACCGTCTCATCTGCATGGTCGAGTTCAGATTGAGATCTCACAAGGAATAAAAGAAGCCATACACGATCCGATATGCACGCCGTGTTTCCCCCAGAAGTTAAGTTCAAATAGATCCACGGATGGCTTCCCTGTCTACAACGCATACGGGCTGCGATACCAGCATTGGCGGGACAGATTCAATGGCACAGATACCCTAGATACCCCTGCAAGGGCATTGTGGATTATCCCGTTAGGGGAATGGGAAGGGAATAACCTAACTACACACTGCCTTTGCCTGGCCCTTAGCCTGAGTATGTGTGGGTACCAAATCAGTGAAGGAAGCATGAATATTGCGCGGCCACCTTAATGCTGTATACGAAGCCTAGAGATAGGGGATGTGACATTTTGGACAGATCAGATGGTACCGCATGAGATTGGGCCTAATGGACGGCTGGAAGGAGACAGTCTACATGCATAATTCGAAATTGGTAGAACCATTGAGAAGCACATCCATGGCTTTTTCTGTATGAAATTGACTGCATGGTGTGGACGTGTTGACGAATCTTTGACTCTACCCACTACAAGGAAGGGTGCAGTGATAAGCGGGTCGATATTCCGTTCTAGTCTTCTGGGCCAACATATCCATCCGGGTACCTACGTCTTTCTCCTCTCCTGCTGATACCAAGGGACAGGCTGGCGTTTTTAAGCTGTGCGGATCAGCCTGCAGCATGCGTCTATTTTCGTCCATTTTGATGTTAGCTACCGGGGCCCAAATCATAGCCGTTGGGATTGAACTGTCCTCATGATGGTTTTTTCTTTTCGCTTTTCTCTAGAAAAGCTGAATGCTCATTTGGTCGTCGTGCTCCATGATCCAAGCCAATCACAACTGCCTCAGGACACGCGTTGTGGATTGCCGTTCGCCTAATGCAAGCCTTGCTTATCCGGCCAACGCATTCTCAGTTACTTCGTACTGATATCGGGAATGAGGAGTGTGGAGTATACAGGGAAACACTGGAACGATTTGCAATATTTGCCTGTTAGTCTGCTTCCCCTGGTCCTGCCTGCATGGTCATCCCAATCCATGTATTGGGGTTTTTGTTGTATGATAACGTGACAGCGAATGAAATATTGAATGTAATACCCCGTGGAAGGAAGACCAGTATGCCTGTTCT